GATGAGTATGGCATGCCTAAGAAGACCAATCTGGCAGATCCTTGGGAATCGCGGCACGGCATTGGATCTGCTTTCAAGGAGCTCGCTCCGCACATGGCTAAGCAGCAGCTTGATCCTTTCTTTGAATTCCTGATTGAGAGCGGGCCTTTGGGCGACCAGAACGCCAACGTCCGTAGCGAGATGCTAGATGCAGCCATCCACGCCATTGATCTACATGGCAAGGGAATGGTCGACAAGTTGATGAAGGTATTCGAGCGTACGCTCGAAGGTCCGGATAAGAACACCGAAGCGTCGGACCGTGTCAACGAGGCTGTCATCATCATGTACGGTGCGCTTGCGCGTCACTTGAACCCGGGCGATTCAAAACTCCCTGTGGTCATCGATAGACTGCTGGCGACCTTGAGCACACCTTCCGAGACCGTGCAGTACGCCATCGCTGATTGTCTGCCACCTTTGGTACGGGCTTACGGAGACAAGTCATCCAAGTATTTCTCTCAGGTCCTTGAGACTCTGTTGACTTCTAAAAAGTATGCTGAGCAGCGAGGTGCTGCTTATGGTCTTGCCGGTCTTGTTCAAGGCCGTGGCATTTCATCACTCAAAGACCAGCGCATTATGATGACACTGAGGGGTGCCATGGAAAACAAAAAGGAGGCGAACCAGAGAGAAGCGGCCCTGCTAGCATACGAGCTTCTTTCCACCATCCTGGGCCGTCTCTTCGAACCCTACGTCATCCAAATCGTCCCTCAGCTCCTTACTGGCTTTGGCGACAGCAACTCCAACGTCCGAGACTCCTGCCTCGCAGCGGCAAAGGCCTGTTTCGGCAAGCTGAGCTCATACGGTGTCAAGAAGATTCTTCCTACCCTGCTCAACGGTTTGGACGATGACCAATGGCGCAGTAAAAAGGGAGCCTGTGACTTGCTGGGAGCCATGGCTTATCTTGACCCCAATCAGCTGGCGCAGAGTTTGCCGGACATCATCCCCCCTCTCACTGGTGTTCTAAACGACAGTCACAAGGAGGTCCGCTCGGGTGCCAACAAGAGCTTGAAGAGATTCGGCGAGGTTATCAGTAACCCTGAGATCAAGGGTCTTGTCGACATCCTTCTCAAGGCGCTCAGCGACCCCACTAGATACACGGACGAAGCCTTGGATTCTTTGATCAAGGTCCAATTCGTGCACTATTTGGATGCGCCGTCACTGGCGCTGGTTACAAGAATCTTGCAGCGTGGTTTGGGTGACCGCTCAAACACCAAACGCAAGGCAGCACAGGTCATTGGCAGTCTTGCACATCTCACCGAGCGAAAAGACTTGGTTTCGCACTTGCCAATCCTTGTTGCAGGACTCAAGCTTGCTATCGTCGATCCGGTCCCCACAACTCGTGCCACGGCATCCAGAGCTTTGGGTTCACTCGTGGAGAAGCTGGGAGAGGATGCCCTGCCGGATCTCATCCCTGGCCTCATGCAAACCCTCAAGGCAGACAACGGAGCTGGCGACCGTCTCGGTTCCGCTCAAGCTCTCAGCGAGGTTCTCGCTGGTTTGGGTACCACCAGACTCGAAGAGACTCTCCCGACCATTCTGCAAAACGTCGAGTCGACCAAGCCGGCTGTTCGCGAAGGCTTCATGTCTCTCTTCATCTTCCTTCCTGTGTGCTTTGGCAACAGCTTTGCAAACTACTTGGGCAGAATCATCCCGCCCATTTTGTCCGGCCTTGCTGATGATGTGGAGTCTATCCGTGAAACTGCTCTTCGTGCAGGTCGCCTTCTCGTCAAGAACTTTGCTGTTCGCGCCGTTGATCTGCTACTCCCAGAGCTTGAACGTGGCTTGGCCGATGATAGCTACCGTATTCGTCTCAGTTCAGTCGAGCTTGTCGGCGACCTTCTCTTTAACCTTACCGGTATCAGTGGCAAGGCCGAGGACGAAGAGGAGGATGAGGAGAGCGCCAGAGAGGCAGGAGCGTCACTCCGCGAGGTCCTTGGCGAAGAAAAGAGAAACAAGATTCTCTCTGCTCTCTACGTCTGCCGCTGCGATACCGCCAACGCCGTCCGCTCTGCTGCCGTTGCTGTGTGGAAAGCCCTGGTTTCAAGCCCTCGCATTCTCAAGGAGTTGGTGCCGACGCTTACTCAACTCATCATCAAGCGTTTGGGAAGCTCCAACATGGAACACAAGGTCATTGCTAGCAATGCTCTTGGCGAGTTGATTCGCAAAGCTGGAGATGGTGTCCTCTCCACCCTACTCCCTACTCTCGAGGAGGGATTGCAAACCTCCACCGACACAGACGCGAAGCAGGGTATTTGCCTTGCCCTCAAGGAACTTATTGCCTCGGCTTCAGAGGATGCCCTGGAGGACCACGAGAAGACGCTCATCTCTGTCGTCAGAACAGCCCTCACCGACTCAGATGATGACGTTAGAGAGGCTGCCGCAGAAGCCTTCGACTCTCTCCAGCAGATCCTGGGCAAGAGAGCTGTGGATCAGGTACTGCCATACCTGCTCAACCTCCTTCGCTCTGACGAAAACGCCGATAACGCCTTGTCAGCCTTGCTTACCCTCCTCACTGAGACAACTCGCTCAAACATCATTCTTCCCAACCTTATCCCCACGCTTATTACCCCTCCCATCTCTGCTTTCAATGCCAAGGCTCTTGCATCCTTGTCAAGAGTGGCCGGTGCTGCTATGAACCGCCGTTTGCCCAACATTATCAACTCGCTGATGGAGAACATCATCACCTGCGAAGACGAGGCTTTGCGAGAGGATCTCGAGACATCTTTCGATACTGTCATCCTGTCCATCGACGAGTACGACGGGCTTAACACAGTTATGAATGTACTACTTCAGCTCACAAAGCACGACGATCACCGAAGACGTGCAGCGACGACCCGTCACTTGGGCAAGTTCTTTGCCGCTGGCGAAGTGGATTACTCGCGCTACAATCAAGATATCGTGCGGTCGCTTCTCATCTCCTTCGACGACAGAGACACGACTGTCATCAAGGGGGCCTGGGCTGCACTCAGCGAGTTCACCAAAAAGCTCAAGAAGGAGGAGATGGAGGGCCTGGTTATTTCCACCAGACAAACTCTTCAGCAGGTCGGTGTGGCTGGCGCGAACTTGCCTGGTTTCGAGCTTCCCAAGGGTATCAACGCCATCCTGCCTATCTTCCTGCAGGGTCTTATGAACGGCACGCCGGAACAGAGAACACAGGCAGCTCTGGCCATCTCCGATATCGTCGACCGGACAAGCGAGGCTTCGTTGAAGCCGTTTGTCACACAGATCACTGGTCCACTCATTCGTGTTGTTTCCGAAAGGTCCACCGACGTCAAGTCTGCCATTTTGTTGACTCTCAACAACCTCTTGGAAAAGATGCCTGCGGCACTGAAGCCATTCTTGCCTCAGCTCCAACGCACATTTGCCAAGTCTCTTGCAGACACATCGAGCGAAGTCCTCAGAGCCCGCGCGGCCAAGGCGCTGGGTACCCTTATCAAGTACACGCCGCGTATCGACCCGCTGATTGCCGAGCTCGTTACTGGCTCCAAAACATCGGACCCCGGTGTCAAGACGGCTATGCTCAGCGCGCTCTACGAAGTCATTAGCAAAGCTGGCGCCAACATGGGCGAGACATCGCGAACCGCCGTTTTGGGTCTCATTGACATGGATACCGACGGGAGGGACGATGCTATGACAATCACGAACGCCAAGCTACTCGGAGCCCTGATTAAGAACGTTCCCGAGGAGGCTGCTAATGGATTGCTCAAGAACAGAGTGATGAATAGCCACTGGAGCCATTCTTCAGCACTTGCGCTGAATGCAGTGCTTGTGGAGTCCCCGAAGAGTCTCCTTGAAAGTCCTCTCGCGGACGACTTGCCCGACCTCCTCGGTCAGGGCATGTCTCACAAGAACGTAAGTAGATTATGGCAATGACCTCCAAGTAATGCACAACTAACGCATGTCACAGCCTTACATTGCCGACAATATCATCCTCGCGACAGGCAAATATCTCCTCTCAGATTCGACCAAGTCTTTTGACTCAAACAAGAAGATTTTCGAGGCGCTCGCCAACACAATTCAGCCGGGTGGCCCTGTCGACTCGCGCCGACTTGCTCTGGTAATTGTCCGCACGATGAGCCGCGTCGACATGGATATGGTCAGGCCGCATGTTGCTGCGCTTGCGGGACCCATCTTTGCTAGTGTCAGAGACCCTGTTATTCCGGTCAAGCTGGCTGCGGAAGCTGCGTTTGTGGCTCTATTCAACGTGGTGGATGATGAGACACGGGTCTTTGATAAGTACGTTGAAAGCGCCAACCTGCCGTCCAACACCAAGAGGAGCATGCAGGATTACTTCAAGCGCGTCACAATGCGGCTGGGTGCTCAAGCACGTGAACGCAGAGAGGCTGAGGGTGGCCAAGGAGGCTTGGGCCTGTCTAACGACGAGGTCGAGGACGAGAAGGAGATCTGGAGCGTGGGCAAGGTCGATGTGGGTGAGGATGTGTTTGGCAAGTAGATAGGTACGACGGTTGTAGTAAAAGGAAGGGGTCGATATTGAAATTTAAAAGTTTTGTTTTACATGATCACTGCGCGGCTTTGATGAGTAAGAGATTGTTTGCCCCCTAGCTTGAGGGTCAGGCAAGTACTGTAAGTTGTGCGGTTCTGAAGACGGAAGACGATGAAGGCAAGTCGTGGTTGAAGTATGTAGATATGGATCCCCATCAAAGGATGAACGGCGATGAGCGAGACGACATACAATGCCTTACTTCTTGCAGCAGCTACCGAGATGCCAGACCTACTGTATCTTGAAATGACTAGTGGATTCAAAGTGCAAACAGTCTCAATGAGTTCGGCGAGAACCATCTTATTCTTGAATTGTCCACAACAGCCTGCGCTTACGAGAGAGTAGAAAGATGACATTAATTTTGAGGTACCTCAGGTACCTTTGGCAAAGGTCCATGCGGAGCAATGCTCATCTTCCTAAAGTGCCCTGAACATGTTGTGGAAGTACCTGAGGTATATCTGCTCTGCGTGCATCTGCCCCTAAGACACCCCAAAGGGCCTATGTCGTTGGCGACACGTGACCTAGATGCGAAAGTGTGGCCTCGATTTTTCCGGGCTCGCTTACCCATCGCCCCACATCGCCCACACAGAGTCAGCCCCGACTCTGCTCTCACACTTCGCCTTTCAGAAAAATTGGCCTCCTGTCACCCCTCTCGAAATTTCAACACCCTCGACTCCCCCGGTAGGTACGACCATCGACTAGGACAGCATTCAAGATGTAAGTTATCACGATACGAGCACTGCACCATTCTTCCACCGAGCCCAAATCGATCTGTGTCGCCTTCTGCATTGGGCAAGCCTTATTCAGGGTCTCTCGAAGCCCGGGACACGCGGGGGCGACGAAACCGACGACGGCATCCAACAATTCGACGTCGGGGCGACGATATTTGTTTTCTCCCATCACCAAGGACAAATTGCTGATGTCCAATGTCTTCACAGGGTCAATCTGCGAACTCAGAAGCGCCTTGCCGCGTCGGTCATCGGCTGCGGTGAGCGCAAGATCTGGCTCGACCCCAACGAGGTCAACGAGATCTCCAACGCCAACTCTCGCCAGACCATCCGCAAGCTCGTCGCCGATGGCCTCATCATCCGCAAGCCCGTCACCATGCACTCGCGGTCCCGTGCCCGTGAGCTGAACCTGGCCCGCCGCATCGGTCGCCACCGTGGCTTCGGTAAGCGCAAGGGTACCGCTGAGGCCCGTATGCCCAGGTTCGTCGACACCATTCCCATCAATCGGTCCGCTGTTGGAGGTTTCTTTTGGGATATGACTTGGGCATTCCCCTAAACGTCCGACAACGATTCCCACAAGTTTCCCGACTCGCGGACCGATTTGACAAATCTGGCAGTGATTCATACTGATTCCCAATACAGCCAGGTCCTCTGGATGCGCCGCCTCCGTGTCCTTCGCCGTCTGCTGGTGAAGTACCGTGCTTCCGGCAAGATCGACAAGCACCTTTACCACGAGCTTTACCACTCCAGCAAGGGTAACGCCTTCAAGCACAAGCGTGCTCTCGTTGAGCACGTAAGTCTCGCTCCAGCTATACCTTTGGATTGCAGCATTGGAGATGAGTGGTGGGCTAACGCCGGATACCCTACAGATTCACCGTGCCAAGGCCGAGAAGGCCCGCGAGAAGGCCCTCAAGGACGAGATGGACGCCAAGCGCGCGAAGACCAAGGCTGCCCGCGAGCGCAAGGTGGAGAGACAGACGGCGAAGAGAAACGCTTTGTTGGGCGAGGGCGAGGAGGAGGCCAAATAGATGATCACGATCGATCTCGGTCCTTAGGCGGCTGCATTCGGAGTCATCGGGTTGGGTCTTCTTTTTTTACGTCCTACTGTCCCTATTGTCGCAGCAGGGCTTTGGCATGTAGCATTGAAAAATGGAAATCGATGACATGGCAAATTACGGGAACGAAAATGAGTAGCAGCAATTCTTTTACGGTTCTACATATTCATGAGAGTCCTCGTGACATTTTCCTGGTCATGTCTGACGATAGATACCCTTTTTCAACCCCTCTCAGAATCGTTCACCAAATGGACCAAACGGCTCGTCTCTTTCTCGGTGAAGTCTAAGCGTCATACACCGACTGACTATCACCGGTCATCAAGCATTGACCACCACCATATGGGACTGCAGGGCAAATTAATGTTTGCTTTGTTTGAACTTGAGGATATGTTCAAACAATTTTACCCTGCAGGAATCAGAGGGTGGCGTAGAGCAAGAGGTAATGGTTGGATACCAGCACCCATTTATCCCATTTGGATCGACTTCGGTTGAGTGCCTGCAGCTGCTCAAATTTTCCATCGACGGGTCATCAGATGATGTCAGTCTGTTTGCAGCCACCGTGTGGTTTTGGCATACAAAATCAGACTGGAAAGCGAACGAAAGACTGATGGGCTGTCTGTCATCGTTTTTTCGACATATGTTGCTGACGATGGAACGGGTTCTTCACAGTCGGTAGTTCGAACATGATGCTTCATCGTTCGGAAAGGTCCGTAGCACTTGCCAGGATCCCGTCCCCGATTGTGCTCCGAGGCACGTCTTTAAACAATGTTTGTTCTATCTAGAGGAACGGGACGGATTGGAAGAATACTTCTCAAACCGTGTCCGTCGCGTCGACCGTCGAGTTAGAACGGAGGAAAAAAAACCAAACAGAAACAAAATAAAGAAGCACAACATGGATTGGATCAGATTGTTTCATATTGTCCTGAAAAAAAGGTGGTGAGGACGCCAGAACATTTCATCATGCACCCGCCGAAGCGGAAGAGCTGATGTGACAATAAGCGTGCTCGTCATCTCCAATTTAGTTGTAAGGAAGAGAAGAAGAGAAAGGGAGAAAATCAAACTCACAACGCGGCCTTGAAAAAGGGTAGAGAGTGTGGGGCTGGGGCAAGCGCGGCGGGTCTCTACCGAGGGGTCCCGTGCGCGGGTTGCTTAACGTTCTCAGCTTTCCACGGGTGACAGTCTTGAATGATATCAGTGCCTTATTAGGTGTGTTTCTTGTCCCACAACGATGGGCCGATGCGATAAGCACTGATAAGCGCGCAGCGCGGAGCGCAGGATGGTACGGAGTACCATGAGGTGGTTGGAAGTTGGAACGCAGTGCGCGACGGACGACGAGTGCGAGGTCGGAAGTTGAGCCGAACCCCGGCTCCAACCGCCAACCACCAACACAGCATTGAGCAGCTCGGCCACCACACCGGGCGCTTTGCTTTGCCTCGTCTCCCGCCTTCTGCTCGGGTCACATTCCGCCTGAAGCTGCGGCAGTCGTCCCCCGAAACCCCCAATCCCCCAGGTCCTTATGTACCGCGGTCCCCCAATGCCTGTGCACGCCCGCCGCCACTACATCATGGCATTGTGTTAGCTGTGTCAATTGGTTTGTAGTTGTAAGCCCCGTCCCTACCTTATACACCGGTACGTCGTCCGCCTTCCTTCCTTAGCCGCCACCTTCTCTGTCTCATCCTCCAACTTATTCTCCTACATACCCTCCTGTCTACTTCAAAATTCCCAACGACTATTGGAACGAGCCATTAATATTCTCACTTCACAGTTCTCTTGTCACGCCGGCGTCATGTCACTTCCAGCAGTTCGAGGCACAGCTCGTGCTTCCCGCTTCCTACCGAGGGCGGCGTCAGTCCCTAGCGCAGGTGGCGTGAGGAGGTTCATCTCGACCAAGAGCTTGGAGGGCCAGCAACAGGTGCGCATCGCTACCCCAATTGCGCCTCGATACACCTGGAAATGTCTCTCGACTAACTCTACAAGCAACAGCTGCTAGCAGCCAAGCTTCAGCAGGCCGACCCCGCCGTTTACGACATCATCGAAAAGGTACGAGCCCACTCAACCCGTCCATAGCTCCCCAGCACGCAGGCTTGCGCGCCGACAATGCTTCCTATAGGGCATGCCCGCTGACATGGTTGGACATACATAGGAGAAAACCAGACAGAAGCACTTCATCAACCTCATTCCCTCAGAGAACTTCACCTCCCAGGCTGTGCTCGATGCCTTGGGCAGTGTAATGCAGAGTAGGTCCCTTGCCGGCTTAAAATGCGACAGAAGCTAAGATTCTCTCCAAGACAAGTACTCTGAGGGCTATCCTGGCGCAAGATATTATGGCGGAAACGAATTTATCGATCAGTCAGAGCGTCTCTGCCAGCAGCGTGCTCTTGATACGTTCGGTCTCGACCCTAAGCAATGGGGTGTCAATGTGCAAGGTGCGTTTACTTGACAGCACAGGATCCCGCTTCCTACTTATTTGCTTACACCTTCCTCTAGCTCTGTCCGGTGCGCCGGCCAACTTGTACGTCTACTCGGCGTTAATGGATACCCATGACCGCCTCATGGGTCTTGACCTGCCCCACGGTGGTCACTTGTCGCACGGCTACCAGACACCGACTAAGAAGATCTCCGCCATTTCCAAGTACTTCGAGACGGTCCCCTATAGATTGGATGAGGCCACTGGGCAGATTGATTACAACAAGTTGGAGGAGCTTGCTATGCTCTACCGACCCAAGATCATTGTCGCAGGAGCTAGCGCGTACAGCCGTTTGATCGACTACCAGCGATTCCGCGAGGTCTGCGACAAGACCAACGCTTACCTCGTGGCCGATATGGCCCACATCTCCGGTCTGGTCGCGGCCAAGGTCATGCCCAGCCCGTTCGACTACGCCGATATCGTTACTACGACAAGTCACAAGAGTCTGAGAGGACCTCGTGGCGCCATGATCTTCTTCCGTAAGGGAGTGCGTCGCCAAAACGCTAAGAAGGAGGACGAAATGTATAACCTCGAGGGTCCTATTAACGCCTCCGTCTTCCCCGGCCACCAGGGAGGTCCTCACAACCACACCATCACCGCCTTGGCCGTTGCCTTGAAGCAGGCCCAAGCCCCTGAATTCCGCGCCTATCAGTCTCAAGTCCTGGCCAACGCAAAGGCACTGTCCCAGCGACTGGGTGCTCCCAAGGAGAAGGGAGGCTTGGGCTACAGCATCGTCTCTGGCGGCACCGACAACCACCTTATCCTTGTGGATCTCAAGCCCCAGGGCATCGATGGCAGCCGTGTTGAGCGTGTGCTGGAGCTGGTTGGTGTTGCTGCCAACAAGAATACTGTACCAGGTGACAAGTCAGCACTTGTGCCTGGTGGATTGCGCATCGGTACGCCTGCCATGACGACGAGAGCTTTCTCCGAAGAGGACTTCAGCCGCGTGGCCGACATTATTGACCGTGCCGTCACCATCGCCATTCGCGTCAACAAGAGCGCCAAGAAGACGGCCGAGGAGAAGGGAGAGAAGAAGCCCGGTCTGCTGAGACACTACATGCAGCATCTCGGTGATGGTGAGAACGATCCCGAGATTGTTCAGTTGAGGTCAGAGGTGGCCGACTGGGTGGGCACTTACCCCTTGCCGTGGGACGTCCACTCCTCTTAAGTGATGGGATGAGACCAGCTCCGACGAGCTTATAGGTCGCGGAAACTCGTTCTTGAAAAGGGCACTGGGCACGGGATCTCTTCTTCCTTTACGGCGTTCTATGGGGGCATTTTTGACGAGTTTGGCTTTGCGAGAACGATTTCGGTCTCATTGTTCCAGCCTTATTGATTTTCACATCAAATACGGGTCCTATATCCACGAGATTACCCACTCCTCCAAACTGCATATGCATCGTTTTGGGGGAACTTACAGACCAACCAGCGTTGACAAAACTTGACCATCCTCAACGAGATGGTGGAAATAGAAATTGCAGCTGCAGGTAAATACGGTCTTGAACACGTGTTTTGTTCACATATGACTGTGACAGTTAGTGAAGTTATGTATCCATGGTAACAAATTCGTTCTGGACAAAGAAAGTCAAGGCTTTGGGGAAAGAAGTATTATGCATGGCTGAAAAGTCTACATTGAACTATTCCAAGTTATGAAAAAATGCGGTGTCCGCTATCTGAAAGCTTCGCCCCCTATGTCCCTGCTCCCGCCTTTGTAGCTCAGTCTTTCTGCGACTCCTTGCCTGAAAGACTCTTACTCGGTCGCGATGTCTCGGCCACACCTCCAGTCTTTTGGTTCACCGATACAGCCTCTATGGTATCAGGTTGGTTTCCATCAAGGATCTTTGTGGCAGACTTGGTGGACTTGATTCTCTCGTAGTACGCCTTCAGCTTCTTGTTCGCTTCCAGAGTTTCCTTGTTGGCATCCTGGAAAATGACGTGCAACACTGGCCATACGGCGAAATCGGCCAACGAGATACTCGGGCCTGCAATGAAGTCGGCTTCGCCTGCGTATCCCTCCCAAATGGCAAGCTCTCGCTTCAAGGGGGCGAGGTCGCGCTTCCCTGATTCGCTATCCTTTTCGAGCCCTCGCCACTTGTCCAGGAGCGCGAGGCCATCCTGGAAACGGGCGAAGATTCTCGCGATATCGGGCTGCGGTCTATCTGACGCTCCCTTCTTTCCTGATCCGTGTACTGAATCCAGGTAGAGCATGATGGCCAACTCGCCCTGAACTGTTGACTTGGCAACGTCATTGTCGACGAAACGGATCGGCAGCGATGCGGGAACAGCCGTTGTGTCCTTGTCGCCGGCATTGCTGTCCTTCCAGTTGAAGGAAGGAGATATGCTCCCTTTGGCGTACGAAATGCCGTACTCGGCCAGTATCAGGGCGATACGCATGTTGACGACGGGATCGGCCGAGGCGGAGAGACGCGGCGAGGTGCTCATGTGGAGGACGTCGAAGCCCTTGCCGTAGTACTTGTTCCAGTCAAAGTCGGACGAGTGGTTCTCCGTGCCAAAGGCGTGGACCATGTCGACTGCCTGTGGACACTGACCATTGATGACGGGCTGGGCCGTCTCTCTGGTCTTGCTGGTGGTCCCTTGACCCCAAATAAGAGTGCTATCTCGATCCAAGAAGGTGCCAATCTGTCTGAAGGTGAGGGAGATACGTCCCCCGTCGAAAGCCAATTCGGGAGGCGTCTTGTCTCGGTCCGTTCTCTTGTCCTGGCGGATGGCGTGCAGCCATCGACCATTCGTCACCAGGCCCAGGCGGCAGAGTGAGTTATGCGGCAGCTTGGCGCGGCAAACCTGTCGCTGCAGAGAGGTCTCGCCCGACGGTGTCGCGGTGCTGGACGGGTCCTTGTCCCGCCTCTTAGTCCTAAACACCATCGTGCGCTCTGCACCCAAGCTGACGTTGGCGATGTACGACCCCTTGACGATATCGAGGGTCTTGTCGCTGTGTTCAGAGATGTAGTCGGTGCCGTTGCGGTAGAACTGAATCAAGACGTGATTCAGCGGGTGTCCGAGCTCCTTCTCGACCTCTGCCTTGATTTTCTGTACTGTAGGGGTGAAGGGGAAGAGAGGGGGCGATTCGTCTGATGGATGTCTATATACTGGCATGCTGCCGTCGTCGGCTACTTCGCCTTGGACAGCGACCAGTCGAGGGACCTCCCCGCCCTGGTGGGACATTCTCTGCCATGAGACCTCGTCTCTGATCTTCTCGAAGATGCCCTCGGCCAAGGCAGAAGGGAGTATGTTGTTAATGACGGTGGTGTCACCCTCACAAAGAGGTTCGGTAGCGTGCGGTGAGTCATCGACCTCGATGGTGTCGTCCATGGCAGCAGGCTTTTTGGCTGGTCCTGGCTTTAACTCTGGGCTCGAGTCTGGCTCGAGTTCGATGTCGGACGTGGAGGATGCTTTCTCGTCGGCGATTGTCTTGGTAAGTTGCTGCTTTTTTAAAGGTGTTTTCTCCGGTACCGAATCTGTGTCGATTTCTATTTCAAGACTCCCCTTGCCTGCCGTTGGTCTCTTTGGTCGTTTGTGAACCTCTTTGTCGGGTGAGTCACCGCCCTGGTCCGTCTGTACTGCGTCTGCATTGTCATCAACTTCCAAAATATCAGAAGCGGTTGCACAGCCTGAACCTCCCAAGTCTCGGCGTGGGCGTGAGATGGAAGGCTTGCTTTTTGAGGAGTTTGAACTGTTGATTGAAAGCTTGGCCAATTGCTCTTCGAGTTTGCTCTTATACGAATCAGCCGAGGGCGGCGTTTGGCCACCACTGGCTTCCGCGATTCTCTTGGGTACGACGGGTGATGACGAGGCAGGCTTTGACTCGGATTTCGGCTGCAGTCCCTTAATGACAGCATCGCTCTCTAATACCTCGCAGCCCGTCACATCGACAAGCTTCCCTACGGAAGCGGAATGACGCACTTCGGAGCGGAACCCACAACAGTCCTCGACTAAAGTGATGGAGTAACCGAACGTGGCGGCATCCATAGCTGAGGCGTGGACGCCAATGTTGGCAAGGGATCCGCAAATATAAAGCTCATGGATGAACTTGACGCGCATCATTTGCAGCAGCTGGCCGGAGGAAAAGACTGAGTAATGTGACTTGGTCAAGTTGATATCCCTCTTGCCGATGGCTTCCTTGACGGCGACGGGGTAATCGGCACCAGGAGTGCCAGAACGGACGACTTTGGGGCCGGGCTGGCTGAGGAAAGCCTCCGGATCGGCATCAAAATTTTCTTCGGGCTCTTTCTTAGATGCAATCTTTCTTCTAGCGCGAGACTCGGGAATCTTGAGCTTTGGGATTTTGTCGGTAGCCCAAATCTGTTCTGCCGAGGCAAGGCGATACTTCTCGAACTCGCTGCGCACCCAGATAACGTCGCCAACTTTGCGAAAGGCCTTGACCAGCTCCAGGGTGCGTGTGACCAGCTCGCTACCGTTTGTGACCGGTAGGGCGCCGTCGGCAGACAGGAAATCGTTATTGAAGTCGACCACCAGCAGACCCTTGCGCGTTGGTAGCGTGGGCATGGCGGTCGCATCGAAAGGAAACATCTTGGCGGGGGCTAAGCCGGAGCCAGACTTGTGACGGAGACCGAGTGATGAGTGTCAGGTGATGTTGAAGGCGATGTTGTGATCAAGACCTCTTCTTTCCTGCTATCGAATATGCTGACTGGCGTTGGTTGAAGTGTAACACGTTATCCCAGCAGCATAATCAATATTGGGAAACCAAAATGTGAGATGCAATCAAGATGCCGCCGTTGCCAGTACACAAAATGCTGCAGTCTTCATCAGTTCACTGCCTTGTGGTGCGTAGGATATGGGCCGTACGATGAGGGAAGTGAGGATATGGTAAGTTCGGCAAGCGAGAAAGGGAAGGAGGCCGAGAGCTCTCTGATTAGTCGTCGTAAAGTTATGTTGGGTCGTCGGCGGTGTATGTATATGTACGGAGTCTCGCACTCGAAATGTGGATGAGCTCTGCGCCGGGACAAGTGAGTCTTTCAGAATTGGGCGAGACCGCAATCGGGCAACTGAGGGTTAAAGCGCAGGGCAATCCGTGCCTGCTCGAATCGGCTCTTGTCCGATTTGGCGGTGGGTCCAGCGGGGAGCTAGCGGCCTACGAATAGCGGAGGGAGCCGTAGGCGGGAGGGGTCAGGTAGGGCTAGAACAGGTGGGACCCTGGATCTGCTCACTTTGAGGTGGAGGACCAGCGTAGTGTAGAATATGAGAGGCCGACATACCTAGGCAGTCATCATCTAGAAAGTTGAATGAGGAAGAATACAAAGTTCAACAATTTAGAAGCAGCCTGACCTACTTGATCTCTAAATGCGTCTAAGTCTAGGTTGTGTCTAATTCTATAAGTAGCTCCATGTCTCATTCCCGTTGTCTATCTCGCGCCTAATCGTTATAGAGACTCCACTTATTCACTTTCTCTTGAAGATTCAGAAACCTCTCTTGGACCTGGCTCGTATATCTTACCGCATGAAACCTAAAAGCCGGGACAACAGAAATCGCCTTTTCGGGCTATTGAGTTTCAACCCAAGGCTCTGAGAGAATCGTCCACGTCGGCAAAGGTAGGCCTCTCAGAGACAACTGAGCTGGAGCAGCGAGTGTGCAACTCCCGCAAGCTTTGCAGAGTCTGCTGTCTGCCATCACTATCCTCGACGCGAACAACCCCAAGCATGTCATCAATGAGGTGAGCGAATGCAAGCACCTCCAGCTTCTCAAAGTTGAATCTACCGAGGTGCTCGTAGATCGTCGCTGCCCCAAAGTCGCCCAGCAGAGCGTGTCCGTCGTCGTTGAAGAGAATGTTGTGCGCATACAGATCGCAGTGAGACACCTTTCGTCTGTGAAGATGAAGAGCAGCTGCGGCAACACCACTCAAGAGCTCAAGGACAACTTTGACTGACAACTTCTTGCCTGGCTCGTACCGGTCTCGAGTGCAAGTCTCCAAGGAAGGCGGCAGGCCTAGGCTCTGGTAGTGGGGTGGAATGAGCTGCATGATGAGACCGTGCTTCTCTGGATGGCCCTGGATGCTGGCCAACGTGCTGATGAGGTTATCGTGCGATCCTGCTGCCAAACAGGCGCCCATTTCATCCAGAGGTGTTCCATCGCTTGTCACCTCCCCTTTGAACAGCTTCACGGCCACCTCCTCTACCACCGAGTCAGCGAGCATCCACCGCGCCTTGAAGATGTCGCCAGACGCTCCGTGGCCCAGCAACTCCCTCATCACAACATCCTCCCAGTTCACCTTGCGTAGCAGAGCGAGCTCTTCCTCGAGACTAACGGAGCAACAGGGATTGCCAGCAACTGATAGAAAGGCGAGTTCGGGGGGTTCGAACAGCCACTTTGGCAAGTCAGAGAAGTTGTTGGCGGACAGACGAAGTAGGCCAAGTTTGCTGCAGGCCACCATCTCATCCGGGAGGCTCGTGAGACTGTTGCCGGCAAGCATGCACTTCTGGAGTCGGGAGCAACGGTCGATGCTCTGAGGCAGTGCCTCGATGCGGTTATTTGTAAGAATGAGCCACGTAGCTTAGGTGGCAAGGAATCTTCTGGGATGGCGGTCATGCCGTTGGAGCGGAATGCCACCATATCGAGTTCGGGACACTCTGACAGCTGCTTGGGAAATATGGCAAACCGGCAGTCGGAAAAGAAGGCCACCTTGAGCTTGCGCAGCCGGCTGAAGTCATCGGGGAGGACAGAAATGCCAGTCCCAGAGAGGTCCAGATGTTCGAGGGTTTCGGCCAAGTCCAAGATTCCTGAGGGGAATTGGTCCAAAGTGCTGGTGATTTTGAGCTTTTGCAGACCTTGGCCGCGATAGCCTCCATTGCGGAGGGTTTCAATGTCCTGCATCGTTGTATTCGCCGGTCAATGAGTGAGCGATATTGTTTGGTGTTCCCGCCAGGCGCAAAGTTGAAGTTACGCCCTGATCAGGTTGAAAAGGGTTGGGAAAGCAAAGACAACAACGTAAACAAAAGAAAGCGATAAGAATTGCCTTTTGAACTGGAGGTAAATGAACGCTAGTAGATAGTATGAGGAAGTCTATTGTTGGACTACCTTATGAAAGGGGTGAATTGAGGCGCTTGACTCAGATAAGAAAGCGAGCACAGGCTGGCTGAGATGGGTCTCCCTGAATTAATTACCTAGACTGGGTAGGGTAAGTAAGATATGGATACGAAGTACAAAAGTTCTCTTATTGTACATATGCGCCTGTTGGCTTAAGAATAAATAACGAGCAGGTTGCTATAAGTCCAGTTTTCTCTATGGCTCGGTGGAACTTTGAACGAATAAGGCAGTACGTCTTTAGGACAGTGATGAGAGTGCATGGAGTGAACGACAGCAATGCTCAAAGACCACACCTCAATTACAAGTAAAGCAGAAGTCATGTCACTAGGGTAGTTAGCTGAAAGATGTCGTGTCTTGCGAGACCAGGTCGTACGTAAGTACTCGACACGGAATAACACCAATGTTGGGCTTAAGAAAGAGATAGATGGCTTCGAAGCAAGTGAGGTATTCCATCCCCATCCATGTCGTTTCTTCAGGGTACCTATTCCACTGAGAAGCACGATTGGTGCAGAGCCTCTTCAGGCGCTAAAAGGTGGATTCAAGTCTGATTTCAGTGGATGGTCAGCCGCGGAGCAACTGCCGAGCCCCCCAGAAAGACAGAAAAAGAGCCGCATACCAAATCCCATTTTTTCCTCAATTGTCGGTACGTACCCATGCGCGCAAGGTAGCTCCATCTGCACCTCCCGTCCGAGGCGCAAACAATCTCGAATCTCGGACCTCAAACAACCTCCTTATACCGACATCGCGCCTTCTTCTACCCCAGGCCCGGATCCAACAATACGAGAGCGCGTCATATCCTTTATCGTCGCATTTTACTCTGCCTGGATCTGCAGACGCGCCCGAAACTTCTCCTGTCCTCGACATCCGCGCGTGCATTGCGACATCGCCGTACCACACCTCCATCGAGCTCTGTTCGACGTCGGCCATGTCTTCACCTTCCGCGGCAACGACTCCGATCAAGCGGAGTTCGTCTAGCGAAGACGAGAACCCAAGCATTAAACGGCAAAAGACGAACAACGACGCGCCTAACAGCCCTCCTACCGCCGACGATGAAGAGCCAAACCTGCCAGGCGCGACCAAAGTCACCATTCCTTCTCTGGATTACCAAGCAAAAAGTGGTCTCGAAAGGAGTATAGGACTGGCACTGCAGCAAGTTGGCTTTGACTCCGCTACCCCGGAAGCGATGCAGGGCTTCTTGGGGGCCGTAGAGACCTGTGAGATGACCAAAGGTCTTGTGAATACTGATGCTCGTAGGCGCTGACTCTACGTCCAGACATGGCCTCTATGATCGCTGATTCCAAACGTCTCGCCCTTGCTGCCCGACGGGAGCAGCCGACCCCGGCCGACTTCGAGTCTACAATGCGACGCTACACTCTGAAGACGAAGGCGATGCGGCCCCACGTTCGTCATCCCGTACCAAAGGCGAAGCTAGACGTAGAATACTTCAATCCGTTGGTCGATGATCCAGATGCGTACACAACCTTACCTCTCCTTGGCGAAGAGCTGAGCGGCAAGGCCGAGAAGGAAGCCAAGCCGTACATACCAAAGTCCTTCCCCGACTTTCCCAGCAAACATACCTACAAATACACACCCAAGGAAGATGACAACGGTCGAGACCCCCAGAAGACGAGGGAAGAGGCGGCCAAGGCTTCGAAGCAAGGCGAGGAGGCCCTACGAGGCCTGGTGAGGGCAGCAAAGGTCCGAAAGCAGAAGGAAATCAGATCTCTGTCGGAGCGCGATCCCATGACCAAGGAGCGCTATTCGCTATGGGCAGCCGCTATGGAAGGTTTCGTCAAAAAGGAAGGCGGCGCAACCGGCCAACAACTCGAAATTGCCGATCATAGCATGATTGTCAACTCGGACGCCCGGCATTCGCGTAGGGAAGTACAGCGACAGAGCAAACGAGCCGCCGGGCAAAGCTAGTCATCCTCTCTCGGTAGAGGCCGAAAGCGCGAGTCCGGTGCTTCAGAGGACGGGCCCGTATTCAAAAAGGATGGGCAATGATCAGAACTGATGGGGTTGGGTTGCAGAGGCGAGTGTGTCGGGTGCCAGTCAAGGCAGACACAGAAATTGATCGTTTTGGGAAAGGGGCATGCATTCAGCAAGGCGTTTGGGTACTTTATCGTATGGACGGGTTACAACAAACTACCTCACTTCCAGGTTGAGAATGAGGCCACTGAGGCAGGAGGACCACACGACCACCGGGTTTGAACACTTTTTAAAGCGACCGCAAGGACAGAGGCAAAGGCGTGAGAGACTCTGCATAGGCCGCAAGCGATTCCTCAAGATTACTCTTAGCTTTTTCGACAATACCAGAGCGTTCAACAGTAGCTTCCCGCATTTCAGCCTATCTTGTGATTCAGGTTGAGAGACTAAGAATACGACAGCTGCCATGAGAGGTCTGGGTGCGCAGCGTGGGCGTTTGATTCGAAATGCAAGAGTGAAGTTTGAGCTCATGGGGACCACATCTGTGGGAGAGACTTCAGTCATGGTCTTGTTACGTTGACGGCCTAAGGTAAGTAGGTGGCATTCTGCGAGCCCCTGCAGCGAGTGACATGCAAAACTGAACTTCCCATAAGGGACCCGGAATAATGGACCTGGCCTTCATTCCTACTACCTACCTACCACAGCACCTCAGGTACTAATGTACTGTTCTGATATGGGGCCAATCAGCCTCGTGCGAGCAGTTCAGAGGAAGCGCAGCCACGAACGGCCCCCATTGGCCCCAGCCCCACCTCGGTGGCCCACACCCAACGCAGCAGGAGCAAGGCTGGCGCTCTTTCCACCTGCCAGGCCCTAAGCGAAGTTTGCTAATTTTTTTCACCCACACCCAAAATCCGGAATCTCAGCTCAAGCTCCCCAAGGGTCAAAGGCGTGACGCTCAGAATCAACTCCAATCTTTCTACCTTTCCCTCACCACTCAATCGACCTGATTGCCTCACTTCCCAATGGCTGAGCAGTTGATTCTCAAGGGTACCCTCGAGGGCCACGTAAGTTGCTGCCGTCTTACTTGCCCGCACGCCGCTGCGTTGCGCCGGTCATTTTTGCTTTGTGCTTGAGGCTGACGGCGATGCTTTTTGCAGAATGGCTGGGTCACCAGCCTGGCTACCTCCATGGAGAAGTACGGCTATTCCTATATTCCTCTTCACTTCCGATCCTCCCTACCTGCCTACCGCTGCCGCCGAAGTTGATTTTCGAGAGAAGGACGGGATTCTTCGAAATGAGCAACGACTCGGAAGCCCTGCACAGTGGCGCCGGCGGGGGGAGGAGGAGGCCAAGAATATCGAAGGACAACGATCGCTAACATTTCGCCAGCCCCAACATGCTCCTGTCCGCTTCCCGTGACAAGACTCTGATCATCTGGAACCTCACCCGTGACGAGTCCCAGTACGGTTACCCCAAGCGCTCCCTCAAGGGCCACTCCCACATCGTCTCCGACTGCGTACGTCTCTCGAACCCCTCCGATTTTTACGAAAAATTTCCTCCGCCCTCTATTGCTGGGCTAGGATTACTGGGAACTCTGGGCTGATGGGAAGGAAAACAGGTTATCTCCTCGGACGGCGCCTACGCCCTGTCTGCCTCTTGGGACAAGACTCTCCGCCTTTGGGAGCTTGCCACTGGCACCACCACCCGCCGCTTCGTCGGCCACACCAACGACGTTCTGTCCGTCTCCTTCTCCGCCGACAACAGACAAATCGTTTCCGGCTCCCGCGACCGCACCATCAAGCTCTGGAACACCCTCGGTGACTGCAAGTACACCATCTCCGAGAAGGGTCACTCCGAGTGGGTTTCCTGCGTCCGCTTCAGCCCCAACCCCCAGAACCCCGTCATTGTCTCCTCTGGCTGGGACAAGCTCGTCAAGGTTAGTTTCAAGCACCCCCCCCCCCGTATCTGCTTTTCCTGGAGAAATCGTCACAACAATTCGATTCGACATGATGTTTGCAACCAAAGTATTTGCTACTTCAGAGCCTGCCGTGCAGGCCATGAGACCACTATTCACCATTTGCCCTGATCTCGCACCTCCGATTTTTATTTTTGCCTTTTGAAAAATTCCGTACGCATCAGTATGGCTAACAATGGCAAACTTCTAGGTCTGGGAGCTCAGCACCTGCAAGCTGCAGACTGACCACATCGGCCACACCGGCTACATCAACACCGTCACCATCTCCCCCGATGGATCCCTCTGCGCCTCCGGTGGCAAGGACGGTACCACCATGCTGTGGGACCTTAACGAGTCCAAGCACCTCTACTCCCTTAACGCCAACGACGAGATCCACGCCCTTGTCTTCTCCCCCAACCGCTACTGGCTCTGCGCTGCTACCGCCAGCAGCATCATCATCTTCGACCTTGAGAAGAAGAGCAAGGTTGATGAGCTCAAGCCTGAGTTCACCGCTGTCGGCAAGAAGAGCCGCGAGCCCGAGTGCGTGAGCTTGGCCTGGTCCGCCGATGGCCAGACCCTGTTCGCCGGTTACACCGACAACATCATCCGTGCCTGGGGTGTCATGTCGAGAGCATAAACGGGCGTGAAGCTCTCTTCTGTTCTCTCTCTCTGGGTTATGCGATGATGGTGACGAAGTGTGGTGGGGAAAGGGCTCTCTTGGTAGATCATGGCGGGCGTCCTAGGCTGGCTTCCTCGTTATGTCTTTCGGGATGCGCAGGGTCAAAACGATTTGTGAAAAATTGGGGATGAGACTGCATGGCTGGCTTATAGGTAGCCCACGAAAGGACTCGGACATGAACCCGTAACGCCCAAATCAAAAGATCCTGGCAAACTCAAAAAAATCCTGTTTCTCGTTCATTCAACTCGTGATGTTGACTTGGTCAGCACACAATCGTACCAACCATGCCTTGAGTGATGACTGTGAAAGCCTGTACTACAACACGATATCTGCAGACTTGGGATTATGGCAACTGCTGTCCCCCATGTGGTACGCGACATTAGTCAAGCGCTATTAGAAGACGCAGGTTGCCCTTCGTGGCGTGAGACGTAACGGCCGAGTCTCGTTCTAATATACTTTTTGGTCACTACGTTTTCAAAATCCCGTGTTCCCACTTCGTCACATAGAGTAGGGCCTGATGCCATAGATATATGAAGACTTGACATTGTATATATATACTGAGAATGTAGCTTGGTCATGTGTGGAAGAGAAAATTCTGCAGAGGTAGCCCCTTTTCCCCATGATTGAAGGCACTCGCTGTGGCCAACATGGTACGAGTAGTGAAGCCTTCCCCTCCCTGTCTAGAAAGCAGGCTTGGCGTTCTTGAGCAGCATCTCGAAGTAAGCCTGGTCCCACGTGCCAGCCTCGGGAGACGGCTTGTAGGCGTCCGACTTGCCGCAGAACGAGTCGTAGCGCGTGGCGCTCGAGTCGCTGGTACCGTCGGACTCGCCGCCGGGCTTGACCCAGACGAAGGCGTCGGCGAGCTCGAGGCCGGTGCTGCCGCTGGGGCGGAGGCCGAAGCCGGCGCCGTTGACGTTGCACCAGTCGCCCCACTCGAGACGGAGGCCCTGGACGCCGTTGCGGCCCGTGTCGACGATGGCGTGGTTGGGCATGCCGGCCGTCTGGAGCGCGGCGCCGAGGAGGGTGACGTACTTCTTCTCGTTTTGGGCCTTGTTGTACTGGCCGTCTGGGGCGTTTGCGAATTCGCCGGGCTCGGCGTCCCTGTGAGTACATCATGTCAGTGAAATGTCTCTGTAGTTGTTGCTGCTACTCCTCAGTGTTTAAGGATATGAGCTAGACTTACCAAGAGTTCCATCCCGCAACGTTGGTCGCGATGCCTCGGAGCTGCGAGGGGCTGCCGCCAGCCTTGTATGCCTTGGCGAGCTCTTCGGCACCGGGTTTGAGGTTTTCATTCCACTATAAACAAGTCAGCAACATGATGATGACAAGCAAGCAAGATAGAACAAGAACATATCACGCGGGTTATGGTGGTGATCAAAAACTTACCCCAAGCCAACCTCCGTGTCCAGCATCGAGATACATGACAACGTTGGGAAGGTTAAGAGCCTGGATGGCGTACGCAACGCCATCATGGTAGCCCGAGGCCGACGCCTGGCAACTCGCGACGTTGGCGTTGGTGACCAAGTTGGGCAAGGAGTCAGGCTCGATGACGAGAGCAAAGGCGGTCTTGGGGTTCGCCTTGAGGATCTTGACAATGGGGTCAATGTACTCCGTCTTGTAGCGGTTCAGCTCGCCGACTTTGAGCTCGCCGTTGGAAGCCTTGGCGGCACAGTCGCGGCCGGGGAGGTCGTAGATGACCAGGCCGAGGATGTTGTTGCAGGGAACGTCGGCGATGGCGGGCGTGAGACGTTGGATGTTGGCAATGGTGTCACTGTATTCCTGCGGCATCAGTATCCATGTTGCTCGAAGAAGGGTTATAGGTCTTGGGGTTCAACATACAGCCAGAGGAAGGAGCCGACATCAGCAACCTTCAGGGCCTTGGCCTTGAGCGTACTGTCCGAGATTGCTGCGGCGGCAGCTTGAATCTCGGCACGATAGAAGCTGTTGGGATGTAAGGTGTACTTGGAGAAGACGTTGGTCTTTGCGTCCAGGGAGACGTTGGCGGAGCAAGCAGAGGCGGCTTGTCGAGGCTGTTCCTTGATCGTCTGGGAAGGGGCAGCAATGGCCGTTGTGGCCAAGGCTGCCAACGTAGCGGCGGTGAACTTCATCTTGATGAATGACTGTCTTGAGATGGCGAGCTCTGCAGTAGTGATGTTAAGGTCTTTGTGATGAGAGCTATGGATATATCGGGAGACATGAGACTATTTATCCACAGCAATGATATCTAGAAAGATGGACAATATCCCAAGTCTCACGTCTTGTTCATCCCATAACCTCCGAGTAACGTTAATCAGGCACCAGGCCCGGTGGCTGTATTCATTTCGGTCTCAAGCCTCCGAACCAAAAATGTCTATCCAAGGGGGCGGCTCGAATGGGCAAGATGATGAACACTCTCATGACGGCAGTCAGAGAAAGTCTTTGCTACTCGGTGTCCACCTAGTACCTCACGATCAAGGGTTCTCGTAACGATGTCTACCGCCAGATTGACGACTTCATCTAATGGTCAAGCGATGATTGGACTGCAAGTCTAGCATTAAAGTGACCGGTGGTTAGAGCACTCAGAACATTGTGGTATTTGCAATATTAGACAATGTGACCTCGTCAGATCAACCTCCGCTTCGACCATTCGAGGGCAGATCTCCTATTCTTCACAAATAACCCCAACCGTGGGTGAGTGATGGTGCCATACAAGTCCACAGAGTCTCTCAAAGACGGGCCGTTCCAACCGGAAACCGTCAGCTCCCCACTAGGTTCGGCACAGGTGCTGTAATGGCGAGCTGTAAATGGGGAAGTTTCGATGCTCTGGGATTCCCTGCGCTTCATTTGCCTTCCCCGGTGGTCTTCACCTATTCCTCTCCTCTTGCTGTTGGAAATGTGTTATGTAACAAACCCACAGATAAGTCAACGAGAAATGAAGCATGAGTTATGTGAACATTATTCAAGAAATCGCTGTTGTCCGAAGAATTACATTGCGAGATGGGAGTTTGATGGTCCAAGGCACCTCGGAGCCTTCGGGGCAAAATAGTACTACAACATAAGAGAGGCAGATGAAGTAGCCAATGACCAGCTCCAACTGAAGTGGTTTGTCCCTCCAGAGTTCCTGAAGACAAAATAAAGTGTTACGAGCTAGGGTGGTAGTGGTCATTTTAGCCGGCAATAATCCCAGATCAGCGAGGGGGCGATCCTTGTGCTAAGTGCTTGATTTCTCCTTGGCCGGCTAAAAACTCCGATCCTGACTTCGTGGCTTGGCTATGTACTCCAACTGTAAATTGGTCAGATGCCGCCGGATGAAACCTCCTCTATTCACCTACAAAAGCCCGGATGGTGAGACAATTCATTGAGATTAAAATGCTGTCATGCCGCCCCGGGCTCGACCTCATTAGGAAGGAGACAACCGTCAGCATTACTAAAGTCAAAGGCCCTGAGACTCATCGATCTGTCAAAAGGTCACCTGGCCAAAGGAAAGCTAAGACTCTCAGCATCATGAACCCTGCTTAAGATTTCTCGACGTTTGCGAATCGCTTTACATGAAAGCCAAACACGCTGAAATGTGGGCCATTTTGAAGAGTCGACGGTTAAGCCATCTGGCCTATCTGTTGTTCACTCTCGGAGTGGGAGATTCTGGTTTGGCTTCCAATGTCAGGTCGAGACTACTTCATCTTGAGGCAGCATCCGAAAGAGAAACAAAAAGCGTCAGGCCAACTTCCAGAAGGGGGCTTGGAAGAAGCTGGCAGACAAGGACAGATCATTCAGGGTCAATACAAAGACAAAGACGATTTATCATCTCATTCAAAAGACAAAAATCCGCTTAGAGCCATGGCACCTTCATATTGAAGGAGGACTTGCACACCAGGCTCAAGCTATGCATCCTATGTCTCGCTCATTGGAACAACAGTGAACGAACACCGAAAGGGGCGGCAAAATGTGTTACAATGCTTTTGTAGTTCAACTCGTGGAATGTCTTTTTGCCACGTCAGATCACCCTCTCTATGAGCTTCTGATGACCCTCTTTCCGCTATGTTACATTTGTGTCGATGGTGACACTGGGCCTCTTGGCCATTGGCAAGGTATGGCTATCCTAGCGAACAACTCGGGGCCAGACGAGAAGTTGCCAGCGCAGTTGGTCGCTTCCGATAGTGCCGGCTTGTCAAATAGCATCCTTACATGAAAGGAGGCAGGGAGAAGGGGTAGCCGCCGTTCTTAATGCGGAAAACGCTGAGAAGGAAGCTGTACATGATGAACAGGACACCAGCCCAAGCCAGAACAGCAACTTGCTGTCTCTTGTTGTCGCCGATGCGGGGCACCTTGACGGTGAGAGAGATGGCACAGAAAGCCAAGACACCGTCTACTTTTAGTTAGCATTTGGACTTGACGTGGAGAGGGATAGACAAACAGATAGCGGCAACGATCTGAGTCTCCAGACCGAACTGGTTCTGGAAACCACCGGCAAAGTAGCTGATACCACCCCGGCCATCTCCAGCCACGTAGGGAACCTTGCGAATATGGTTGAACATGTGGCCACTGGTGAACAGTAGAATGGCAATGAGACTGATGGCGGCCCACAAGTTGCGGTTCTGAATGACAGGCAGGATGTAAGGCGAGGCAGTGACGAGGACAGTGCCGAGACCAAGGACGATGGTGATGCTAGAAATCCATCGCATCCAGTTGATCGGGCGCTTCACCGGAGGGTGGGGTCGGTCAGTAAGGTGTCTCGACAGCCAGGCATGGACCTGCTCAGCAGACTGAGGTCTGATTTACTGTTAGCTTATGCTGTTGAGCATTCAGTTCCCGAGCAGGTAACTCACCCGCTGGTAAAGTCATATTGCAGAGGATCGGCGGCAGCAACAGCGTGAGGGCCGATGGTGGGCTGGAACAGGAGCAGGACGGGTGCGGTTTGGAGGCCGAGCTGGTAGTGGTCGTGTTAGTTCTTGGCCGAGTCTGGTGTCACCTGCTTTGAACCTGGGTTTGCCTACCGACATGAAGACCTCACGGCCATCAGAGAAATCGAGAGTACCGAAGAGAAGGCGCGAGTCGCCCTTCTTGTCGCCCTTGGTCCAGGTCTTACCCAGAAGATCCCATTCCGGCTGGAACTCCCGGCATAACTGGCAGCCGAATCGGTTCTCGAGAGCTGTCAGAAGGACGGCAACGGTGTAATCGCGGGGAGCAGAAGTCAAAGACTTGTAGCTAGTATCGGCAAGCTTGATTGGGGACGAGGTGAGAGCCTTTGCGTGGAAATCGTTGAACCGCTCTTCGGGGGTCTTCTTGGCTGCAAAGGCACCGGCAGCGAGAAAGGTTCCCGCTACGAGGGAGCGAAGGAAGTGCATTTTGAGGGATGCGTCGGTGAAATAGGCGCAACAAGAGCTCGGGAGACGATCGAAGGGTTGATTGTGTGGCCAATTGGCCGTTTCGGGTGAAATTGAAGTCGGGCTTGCGTAACGAATTGGTGCGCACCGCAAGTGTCGAGATGCTGCACACTGGACTTCAACAGCTCGAACTGGACAGCTCTCAACAGCGACAGACAATCCACAGATAAGTGGGTCAAGTCGCAAGCTCGCTCACGTACCGTTCCGATCTTGGCTTACTTAAGTAAGGAGGATGCCGTAGAGGAAGGGGTGAGGTGGCTCGGTCGGAAGCGGATATTGGATTTCCCCGTACGGGAGAACGTCGGGTGCCCTGGACTTTCCCTTAGGTACTTTTCCTGTCACATCACCCCTGAACCGCTTACCGAGACATCAGCGCAGTTCAGAATTGTGGAGACAACCAGCCTGGAGCGGGGGGCATGGCGTTGACGGACTAACCACTTTGGGAACCATGTTTACCTTGCCAATTGGTACTCCATTTCAAAGTCAACCCAAACACACCTACCACCATCTCAACGTCGACATCGCCAACCTTAATCGTTTCACGCGCGGGCATCCATACTGTCGCGCATTTTGGTCAAGAAAGACTTGGAAACCACAGCATCTTGGCTTCCAGAAACACACCACCTCTTTAGGGGCCCCCTAATTCGACGCGTCGACGCGCTTTCAGCGCAGAAGCAACTGCACAAACACCGCCACTATGCCTTGCAAAACTAGGAACATGGACTCGGAAGAGGCAAGTCTAGCAGTCGATTCGCATAGTAGGGCCTATTTCTAACTACTCGTACAGAGGGCCGCCGCGGCTCACGTGCTCGAGATGAAACACCAGCAACACATCCACAAAGCACAGCTCATTGTCAAAGAGGAAGACACGCGAAGACAGAAGGTCACAAAACAAGTCCTTCTCGACGAGAACGCGACATTACGCGAGCAGCTTGCCGAAAGGGAGGCGCAAATTAACCAGTTGTCCGACAAGTTCGACCAAACGCGCAGTGACCTCGAATCACTACAAGCGACAAATCGCGACCAAGACACGCAGCTCAAGGCTCAGAAGAGGGAATTTGGTCACATCAAGGTTGGTGTGAACGCCGATTCGGCAACGCCCGACGAATTATCCTAACTTCGAATGTGCCAGGCCGAACTCGAATCTCTCAATAGCCTGTCTCAAGATTCTACGAAAGTGCTAGCAGAGAAGCTTGCTCTCTCTCGGGAGGTGAATGCCATGAAGCCTGAACTGGAGCACCTACGGTCACAAGTCGCCCACCAGCAAAATGTCATCGCCGAGAAACTGGAACTAGAGCGTCAGCTAAATATGGCTGAAGTAGAGTTGGCTGCCGAGAAACGAGCACGAGAACAGCAGACGGCACAAGCGGAGGGCGACAAATCAGCCGAAGACGAACTGCGGCATAGACTCAAGGACGCCGAGAAGAAGCTGACGACGGAAAGGCGTGAAAAGGAACAATTGCAGGAAGAGCTTGAGACTGCTGTCTCAGCCGCAAAGGCCGGACAAGAGAACAAGAAGGCGAAACGGGAATCGACTCAAAAGATCCAAGAGATGGAGAAGATGCTTTCCATCGAGAGGCGGGAGCGAGAAAAGCTACGAAAGGAGCATGATATGGCTCTATCCGAGGCCCAGACACAGAAAGAGATGCTCGAACAGCGCCTAGACACAGTCAAGTCCAAGTTGCGCAACGCCCAGGAAGAGTTGAAGGCAGTGCGTGCGGAGTTGGTTGCTCGACCGGCAGCTATACCGAGTGCACAGCTTCCTGCGCGTGCGGGAGGCGTGAAGGCGCAGGCCGGCAAGAAGCGAAGAGTTGAAGAGGTCACCATGAACGACATGAGCCTTGGTACGCCAGAAGACATCACTCGCGGTAGGCGCCCTGCTAAGAAGAAGGGCCTTGAGCAAACGATGTTAGGCGAGAAGTCGCTGTTCTCCATCACTCCTTTCCTGGCCAAGTCGAAGACGCTCAATGTCGAGGATGCAGTCGCCGAAGAGGATGAGGAAGCTGATGTCAGCTATATCCCTCTATCCCACCAATCTCATTCGCAAGAGGTCGAGGTGAATGCTGGGGCCGATGTGGAGATTGAGGATGCGCCGGAACAATTGGAGGAGCTTGAAGAGCACGAAGAGTCCGCGGATAAACCTGCTCTCACCAAGACGACGAAAGCAAAGCCGAAATCCAAGACCGATGGTGAATCGAAGAAGCCTCGTGGCCGACCAAAGAAGGCCTTGACAGAAACATCACCAAACGTGTCTGTGCAAGGGGTCTCATCTGCGGTCAACAAACCTCATAATACATCAAGTGCTCCTCTTGAGCAGGTGTTAGAGGAGCCTAACGCTGACGAGCCAGAGAACGTGGCTCCTGCAAAGGTTGTAGCTGCTGGCAAGGACGAACAGGAAGTCAAGAAGAAGAAGCGCAAGCTGGGTGGTGAATCAGCAACGCTCTTTGATGATGACGATGGCGAGGTACCTCCCGCTGCTACCAAGCGGCCTGGCAAGGTTGGTTTGGGTGCCGGCAGAGCTCTCGGCAAGACTCACCTTAGCATGGTGCGAAACGCTGGTGCTTTTGGCAAGAAGTCATTCTCGCCGCTCAAGAAGGACAGAAGGGGAGTGAGTGCCAGCTTCCTGGCGTGAGTGGCTCTGAATCATTGTGTTTTCTAGCGAAGAATGCTTTACCTCAGGATTTCAGCTCAATAGGAGGAGTCAAAAGGGGCAATGCATTGGCGGCGTTTTGGGTCTGTTGTTTCTACGCGCAGGGTTGGCTAGTTGTTGAGGTTTCTGTAAAGATACGGTAGTGTTTTGTAGTGTTTTCCAAACACACAATGAAGAGGCCTGATGCGGCCGTTCTGCCAAACAAATGCGCCCTTTTCATTAGTTCTTGTTGCAAATATCCGTGTAGTGAAGGCTGCCTTGAATTGTGCCTAATAATTAGAAGCGAAGCTATTGTCTCGTCAAAACCTGAGGTCACCTTAGAGTGCCTTACCCCTGGTCGCGTCCGAGAAGCTTGGGCCAATCAGGTTTCTCAGCTCATCTTCATTTGCAGAAGCTTCCCTTCGACCTCTCATCATCCAATTCATGAACATCGAGCGACTCAACGACTTTGATTGCTCATACGTAACTATCTTTGTCGAGCCTGAATTGGCGTACTGACACATCAAACGATAACTGACAAGAGGGCGCTCAATCCCAGCCCAATCACCATTATCACAAACCACCCGCACAATGCCAGAAGCACCATATCGCTCTCTGTGGAGCGTGGCATTACGTCAACCCCCATTCAGCAAATTTACAACATGCAAGCAATGCCAAATAAGCCTTCCTGGGACTTTGCAGATGCGCGCATCTTCGTCCAACTCGCGGTGGAAGATGAGGCAGGGTAAAGATTTTTTTGCCCGCGAGGCCAAGGTGCAGGGACTCAAAAGTCGGGCCGCGTTCAAGCTCCTGGAGGTATGGAACCGTCAGATTCTAAGTATGATTCCTTCTGGGGCTTAGGTTGGTAACAAGAATGACAGATGGATGCCAAGTACAAGTTTTTCCGCAAGGGACAGACGGTAGTGGATCTGGTGAGTCTTCGAGGGTGATTTGACGTCTCTGTAAAGAGACATTGAGGCTGAGAAAGCGATGAAGGGGTATGCTCCAGGGAGTTGGTCACAGGTAAGTCAATTCCTATAAAGAATTCATCGACGAGCGGGGAAAACAGAACGTATAACATGGCCAAACAGGTTGCTGTCGAACGCACAAAGCCCAACGGCCAGATTCTGGGAATCGACATCATACCCGCGCAGCCGCCTAAGGGCGTCTCGACGATTCAAGGCAACTTTCTTTCACCCGATGTCCAGGGTATGGTGAAAGATTATCTCGAGCGAAACAGGCACCGCAAGAGGATCTCGCCGCCCGCAGAAGAGGACGAAGAAGAAGAGAACGATGATGAAGACTCGTCTGAGGATAGCGAGGCCGCGGTCATTGAGGAGAAGCCGAGCTACATCGACATGGAGAGAGCAGCGTCAGAAACTTCCAGTACCGCCAAGGATGGAGCGGAGGCCAAGAAGGGTCGATTGGTGGATGTGAGTCTTTCCCATTATTGTTTCCTCACCATCCACATCGAGATCTTTTTGGACGTTGCAGACTGACGTAAGGAACTAGATTGTGTTGAGTGACATGTCAGCACCTTGGGACCAGACCAGTGGATTCGGCGTGAACAGTCTTAGTAATCCATATCATAGGATGATGAACACGAGCGGCATGGCCTTCCGAGATCACGCCGGAAGCATGGTACTTATTCTCCCCTTCCCTGCCGCCGTCTATCAATTTACTGAGGTGAAAAAACAAGGACCTCTGCGGAGCGGCACTGCAGTTTGCCAATGACACGCTCAAGAACGGTGGGCATTTTGTCTGCAAGTTCTACCAAGGTTCCGAGGACAGAGAGTTCGAAAAGAAGTTGAAAACCTTGTTTGCCAAGGTCTTTCGAGAGAAGCCAGAGTCATCTCGCAGCGTATGGATACAGATCCATATTGTGTCTGCTGAATTACGCTGACACAATCATAGGACTCTAAAGAGGCGTACTTTGTCGCACTTAGAAGGAAGGGAAACGTAAGCTTGGAGAGTGACGGTTTGTAACCAACTGTTGAACGTGTACGAGTATGGAAGTCCAGGGAACTGCCGTGTTACGATACAGAGGGAGAGCGGAAGATGAGCGACGGTAGAACTATCACGGAATGCGAATGGGACAACCGGGAGGGTGGAATCGACCATCGCTAGCTGCCTAAAGAAGAAAGCCCCAACGGTGTATTGTATGTCTTTCCGGAAAGAGATGAAGGTTGGCAATTGGTACGGAGTAGTACGTTGCCCGAGTAATACTTCATGGTAGTGTAAGCTCAAGTGTCGATCCCAGATGGGCCCTAGAACACCAACTTGCCGATTACTGACTGTCGCGTGCTCGAGTACCTTACTGCAGAACGGCGGCATAGGGGCCAAAAACAATGCTCTGGAGTCCGGTCTGCCGGTCTGGCACCTCAGCATGTATCTACCTTAGACGAGGATGGAAATACACTGTGACCGAGTGGTCCGCAAGCTAAGCAATATGGGGTACCATGCAGGTTAAATGAACGAATGACTACCATCTCGCGATTACACTCGGGGTCCCAGTCCCCCAGCTCAAATTCGAATATCGCTCATATCGGCTCCCCTTGCCCTACCTGTCCGGGCAGTGGACCTTTGCGGGGTGGACGGCCTCCGTGCAATAGTCCTCGTCCCCGAATCGGCGAATCCCAAGGTTCGCCAGTGCTAGGGCTTTTTCCTCCGCGCGTGTCTGTTGCGAGTCTAAGCGGGTAGCCAGGAATCCTGGATAAGTCGGCAGCCGTGTTAGTGCTGCGGAACCCTTTGCTCTGTAATATATAAAAAAGCTGTTGCTCCCTTCATTCTAGCTCAAGTGTTCACTTCCAATCAATTTACTGTTTTGCCTACCTCTTCGACTTTCATCGACCATCTGACACCATCGAAACTCTCCGGAGCCAACCGCATCTCAAGCACCACCTTCGAGCAAGCCTCCTCTCCAAACTTCAACATGCCTTCCGCCGACGCCCAGAAGGGTCACCTCCAGACTGTACTAGAGAACAAGGGAATACGTTTCCAGTTCAAGACTGGCGCTGCCAAGTATGAGTGCCACCTTCAGGACCGCTCTACATAGTGAGTGAAGCAACCGTGCTCGATCTCCCTGACATTTCGCACTAACACAGTCCCCAAGCGAGCGCACGAAGGCGACGAGGACAAACTCTACCGACTCACAGACCAGCTCATCGTCTGCTTCCACCGTCAGCAGCACCCACTAGAAGAAGGCGTTCAACCTTTCTCAGTTCGAGGAAGTTGGTCTGCGGGGCAAAGGGCGAAGCAACATACGGCGACGGGATAGGATTGTAAAAGCCCACCACTTGTTTACACGGCGCAATCACGGCGTTACGAGAGCGCGACACATGGAGGAACAGCAAAGCCCTACAACCCCAGCATCGGACCTTAGGTCGGAGTCGACGGCAAGACATTGGACTCCACAACACCATATTCGGGGGCATGCTGCCCGTCAATCCCGATGCGCATGTCTTGGGTAATTACTCAAAGCAAATGGATGAAAGGCGCGATGAAAGGCGCCGGTCTGCATTGGGGCGAAAGGGCGAGCAGCGAAAGCAGGGTCCACACGGAGTTTGGGAAAACATTGGCGTCTAGAGCAGCGCACAGCTGACATTTCTGCTTCTTTTGCTTATTTCGTCGGGAATTAGATGGAGAATAAACTTCTTTCTCTTCACTCTTCATTATCAATCGCATACTGTGTACATCATTCGCTGACCAGATTCAACGAACCCATCAAAAGGACCCTTTTCCCGTGAGTGGACTAACATCCGGCACTTCCGGAGACTAAAGCCAGCGAGAGCGAATCCCGATCCGACTACGGAACTTCTACATGCACTACATGGCAGCATGACCTTGTTGAGAAGGGCAGACGTCTATAATCCACGTTGGCTCGATGGATCTCGTCTGGCGGACCCTGACCCAGGTGAAGGTGGGTTGACGGCTTTCTCACCCCAAAGCACTTGTTACAGCAGTTAGTCATCTCACGGCACCTGGTTGGCCATGATACAAGCTTCTCTTCATCCCGCTAGTTTTGAGCCCGCTAGAGCCGTAGGACGTCATGTTGTACATGTATCCTGTAGGGCTACATTAGCCCAACGTCTGAGCGGCGAATTCGCGGTTCGGAGAGCCTCCGCTGCCCCCAACTAAGCGTCCATCACCGAGGAGCACCGAGTCGGTCCCGAAGACTGGTGAACACTTTAGAGCGGCAAAGGAAGAAAAAAGGAATGGCGGCCAACTGATTGCTATGTCTGTCGGGGTCGGCGTTGCTTGACCGCCGACTGCGTGATTTGCCAGTCCTTACGCCCGACTGTGAACGGTATTTCGAATGATCCGATGCTTCCATCGCGGCTCATTGACCGGAGCCGCTAGATATCTCCGTGGCCCGAAGAACGAATCGCGGATGATGCTGGCATGGCTCTTCTTCCTTCCCGCCAAAGCTAGACTCTTGTCTCTAACCAGCAGGCCGGGTGCCAAGGAACGTCAGTCGTTAGATGCCAAGTACAGTGTGCTTTGGGGATGGAGTGCTTGGCTTCTGGAAGTACCATACCCAAGCCAACATGTAACCTACTACGGAATTTGAAGTGTTATAGCCACGCGAGACGAGTCCATTGCGCCATCGGCTTTGGATGGGGTTCAATGAGTGACGGATCACATATGTTGCGTCTTCCCAAACCCCCAATGATGGCAAGTATCGTTTGCTGAGACGACGGGGGCCCGCGACTGCAAAAACGAAATTAATGTTTGATTCTATTCGAGTTTACGAATGTATCTGAATACACCGTGTTCAAATTTGGTTGTAAGTTTCCGAGTCCTTTGTTGCATAAGCAGGAAGGTAAATGATCACCAGGCAGGCTCTCCTCGATACAGTGGACCATCGAGCATCGACTCGAGACGAAGGGCATTCGGTACAAGCTGAAACAAAGGCTAGCTTCCAGCCCGAGAGACATTTACTTCGGCTTCCTGTCAAGGAAAACGTCCAATTCAAACTCGCTGGATCTCACGATATGACCTTCTCCCCTTCGCTAGACCACCACATACGACCATACCCATTGGAAAACTCGGGATCCCGTCCGCTCTCCCATAGATAAGCCAATGAGGGCCGGATTAGTAGTTGGGTCGGTGACGACCAGCGAATACCTGGTGTTGTATGTTTATGAAGTTTTTGGTGGGTTCACTCACGATGGTCGGATGCGGATGTGGTGGACCCACGCCGAGTTTTGCCAGTCGTTGTACGTATATACCACCACGAGCTACAGACACCTGAGCCTTCCTATCTTTAAAGCAATTTGATCCGAATTCTAACGGACCCCGATATTGCACTTATTTTGTCTAAATTACAGGAATGGATCGGTAATTGAAGTAATAGCAAATTACCCTACAATGCCTCTTCAGACTACTTGAACCAGGAAGATATTGATTGGTATTGGGAATAGCAGCAAACGGGGATCTTCACTAGAAGTTTTTCTCCTCACCTCATCAGTGACGGGTATAGTCTACTTAACTTCAGCTTTCGAAAAGTGCACAGGAAGCAGCCTCTATAGACGTACAAGTAGTGGATCCTGTCTTGTCAAGGACCAGTTACGACCAAATAGAGCGAGCTGTTTGGGTTGTCACAGAGGTCACTGTCGATATTGGGAGTAGTACCGACTTCCTCGGGATCCTAGTTCCGGTCAGCCAGCAACTGTCGTGTTGCCAGTGAAGGCTAGTACCAGTACATATGTGAAGATGTTGACACCCAATGAGCCGTGGCAGCATCGCTGCCTTGCGGAAAGTTGAGGGAACAAAGCCATGGAACTACCACGGTGTACCTCGGCGGCGAGAGATGCTCATATTCCAAGTGCTTTCCGAAGATAGCCATGTAATTAGTGAACTTCCTATGCATCATTCTGTACACTTTCAGCTGCTGTTTTCATAAAGGTCACTAGCTTGGCTCACAAGCTTGTTTAATATCAATGTCCAGACTCACCGTCGTTTCACAATCTCCCTCAAATATTAGGGAATGCCAGTTGCCTTCATTCCCAACATCTCGAAAGTTAACAGGTGGAGTCTTTGTTCATGTCGCTTCTCACCCTTTCCCGCTTCTTTTTCATACTTAATCCCTTAATTCAGTAGCTTTGCAGCCGCCTGCTTGCTTGCTTGGCTACTCTAATATGACTACTTGTCTGACGAGCCTACTGAAGTATAGTCTTCGACAGTAAAACCTTCTGATTTGTGACCTCGGCGAGTATCTACACATGTACTTGAAGATTGGAATTAAACATATACGAACACTTCCACCTTAGCCACAAAAGTATTGCAATTCACGGGTAGAACGCTCTGAGAGGTGATTATTGGCCCAAACTCCGGTGCGAACGAGTATGTGTATCTTTAGCCATAGGAATAAACAGCTCTCACATCCGCATTTTGAAGTACCTTATGTAAAGTTTATTGTGTCATCAAGGGCAGTGGATCACGCCCAAAGAGGTATATAGATTGTCGCTGATGAATCATCGGCAGGGCGACTAGGTTGTGCCTGCGTTCGTAGTTGATACAAAGAAGACCGTTATATCTTGTTGAATCCTGTGCTCCTGATTTGGCCCTGTGTTCGCAATCGGCTGGGCCGTTGGACCGCTCTGCTAACATGGAAGGTGGTACCAAACTCGGAACTACGACCGGAGCGGGGCCGACCATTTCCCGGGGCCGACCTGCCGTAGTCCTACAAGATGGGTCCTCTATGTCCGGGCTTGGTGGCATCCCGCGGCCGGTGGGCGGCAGCACCAAGCACAAATTATGAAAGCAAGCACATTAATTACAGAGCACCTTCCTCCCTCTACCTATGTGCCCACTAAATCAGAAGGCTGACCGCAAACTTCATCTTGCAGCTCGAAGCATCGAACTTACATTAGCGGTTGATCTCCGTATGGCCCCGGAATGCCTACCACGGCCTGATCAACTGGAGAGTTGATTTTGAAAAACTTACTCATCGAAGAGTTCTACTCAACGTTCTATCTTGCTCAACAAACCATTGCATGGCGTATCGGAGTATGCTATCGTGACGAGGTTGCTTGCACACCGACCTTGCGTTAGCGAGTCACGCGGGCGATTTGGCTCTCAACCCCCGCCAAATTTCTGTGGGACATGCACATCTCGTTCTCGACCATGAAAGGGCCTCCTCGGCTTGACAAGCCTGTTCTTCGTCCGTCGACTACCGGTTAGTTATGCGCGCCGCGGATGGCAGTCTCGCGATACCGACGGAAGGATGCCGCAACCTTGGGTCTTCTTTTCCATCTTGGCTGGGCGACAGTGACGGACGCCATGCTTCCTCCAGCCGGGCGCAGCTGGGGGCTCTGGCAAACATGAGGAAGCATGCGGTGGGTGGCAACAAGTACCTACCAACCCACAAGGTCCCTCCCTCAAGGAGTCAAACGACCTGAGTGGGTGCCTGGATTGCCATGCGGCAGCGCCCCCCAAACATGAACCAACCTAAGACCCATCAAGCACGCGCAAGCGCCCTCCCAAGTGCGTGGTGCCTCCCCCTCCTCTTTAGGAAGCGGTGGGTGACTCGTTGAACGTTTGGGGGCGCCGCGGACTCGGACGATAGTGTCCATGCCTGTCTCGCGGCGAGGCGGACCACGAGGCCTACGAAAGCCAACCCAAGTCAAACTGTCACCATCTTATCGGTGCTAAGCCATTCGGACGCCCCCTACGCAAGTCACGTCCAGGGATCCCCCACCAAGTATGGACAAGCACCAGCGGGCTATTGGTTGAACGTTCCTGGCCTTCCCCCTTTGCGGCAGCCCTGGATCCGACTTTGGCGAGGGCAAAAAAGGTACTCGGTCTGGAAGAATAGCGGTACGGGCCACCGAGAGCGTTCGTCAAGGTACTTCCAAGGCCTCCCGTTCTGCCGACCTATCTCGAGGTACCTTAACGGCTGCGGCATGCCTACCAAGGTATGGAGTGAGGGAGCTTGAGCTGCGGTAAGGGGATACGCAATCACCCCCAGAGAATCCGCACCGTTGTAGAGAAAGGCTAAGGTGAGAAAGGTAAGAAAGGTACCGTCGCAGAGTATCTAAGTCTCCAGCCTGCCGCAACGCAACGAACGCACTCTCTCACTTACACCATTTCCCCTTCCCTTACTTTACCTCTCCGAACATTACTACCTACTTCCCTCACCTACCTTACTTTACCTTACCTCTCACACACTCTTTTTCGCATCTACAACCCCTGGTCATTACTCTGTCCTCGAAGCGTGTTTGGCCTGTTGATCAGAGGTTGCTCGAAATGCCGGTGCCAATCGCCGCCAAAGGTAAGTGACATTCATTTGTACAACCATCATCCCCTTGTCGCCGCCGCTCGCTTCCATGTACCGCCCCTCCGTCTCCAATGGATGGAATTCCCCCCGAGTCCCCATGCCCGCATCCCCAAACATCGCCCGACGATCTGCTGTTCTGCTAGGTACCTTCTGGCCTACACTACAGACACACGCACACTGCGCTACCCCGCGTCAGCGCTCTTGCGAATCACGTTGCTTGCCTGAGGTGGTCAGGCCTGTGGCAAATGGCCTCCAGGACCACGCAATCCCGACTTGTTCGGGCGCGTGGCCAATTTAGAGCTTGACAGTTTCGTTCCTCGGGTTGCTATTTCATCTGTAATTTTATCCTCTTGCAAAAGTTGCAACCAACCTGTTTCGCTCCCTGCTACATCACCGTTTCTCGCCTTCTCGTTCCCTACAACTCTGTCTGCTTCGGCGCTTAACGATGCCTGGTGTTAACAACGGTGCCCTGGCTTCAGCCGGCATTATTGCTGTATCTGTTGCCGTTGCAGCTGCTATTGCCCTCTACGAGTCGCCGGAACTCCAGCGATACGCCAACGATGTTCGGAGACGCATCGCCATGGCCTTACACTCTTTGGGCGAGGGCTTCGAGCCTAACGACCGCCCGCCAATATTCAACCGACCCGAGGACGCACAGGGCTTCCTAGAGTCCCGTGGAGGGGCTGACGCCGGAGTTGACGCCGACGACGAGACCCGCCGCCGCCAACGCGAGGAGATTTTGTACTGGAATGCCGTGGCCTTGGCCAAGAAGGAAAAGGAGAGAATCGAAGCCGAAGAGTCCGGATCGCGGGAGCTGCCGCCACCAGGCCCAACGCGGGGCAGGTCTTTCGACGACTTTTTGCACGAGGACAAGAGTGGCGAGAGGGGATCTTTCGTTTTCAACACGGGCGCAAACACCTACAATGACGAGGGCCTTGTCCGACGCCGTCCGGAGGGTGTCCGCGGCCTCAACGCCTCGCTTTACGCCAACCCTTTTGCCGACGAGCACCAGATCGATCAGGAAGAATTGCCAGTCATGGAGGAGCCCAGCTCCCTGTCCCCCGGCCACGACGAGGCCGTGTCAGACATTTACAGCGCCACGACCCGCGACGCCGACGAACGCCCCCGAGACATTGCCGCCACCATTGCCCAAATGCCCCCTCTGGTCGACGTTTCCGAGACTTCATCCCAGTCCGAAAAGTCCACGACTCTCGACCGCGAGCTCGGCGCCGACGAGTACATGACTGCTGGCCAAGAGAACCGCGAAGAAGCCTATGCCTCCATCCAAGCCTGGGCACAAGGGTCCAACCCCTCCAACTTTTACTCACCGCTTCCCATGTCGCCTCCCGTACCCATGTCCGAGCCCGAGCTCGTCAGCGAAGGCGAACTCACACCCACCGACTCAGCATCCCTCGCTGGCTCCGGCGAGGACGTCGCCAACGATGCCGCTTCGTCCAGAGCCGGTGACAACAGCCGTTACTATGATGTACTGAGTGAGAGCGAGGGTATGATGACTCCCGCCAGCTGGTCCGAGGTTGGAAGTGTCGTCAGTGAGAGCGAGACTCGCAGCGAAACTGCGCCCGCTCGCGTTCACGCATAAACGTGGTTTGTCTTTCTTTTGTTCTGATATATCACAATCGACTCGGTCAACCCGCTCAAGCACAACGACGGAAATAGCAAGGAAAGGCGCAAAAGGATCAACAGGACTGGGAAACAGGGCATTCATAGATTTTGGGCGGTTAGGCACATGATTTGAAGTCAAACTTAAGTTGGTTTACAAATGCACTTTCCCGTGATCCATGCCTTTCTTGACGGTCTTCGTGAAGAGTGTCCGCCACACAGCAGCGAGTCCATGGCAATCTAAATGACAAACTCCAAAGCAACAGCTAGTACGTCTATGACTGGTAGCAAATCCGCTCCTCACTGCGGAACCTCATCGGCGGCTCTGATCCTCCCCAATCTAACATCATCGTCCGAAATGTCGTCCTTGTTTACAATCACGGTCTCCTCCTCCTTCATCTTATCGCCGTAATCCTTCCACAGCTGCTCGACGGGCCTGCCCACAATCTCGGTCCAGAACTCCTTCTCCTTGTATCTCTGGGTACGGAGCTTCTCATTGATCCTCCTCACGGTGCCCTCGCCGAAGCGCGCCTCGAGGTAGTCAAGGAAGTAGCCCGTGTGCTGGTACCCGCCATCCCAGTTCCCGCTCGCATCGCGCTTCCAATGGGGCGGGCTCAGGTCGGCGTTGAGGCGGACCCAGTCGGCGATACCCTCGATCAGACCCCCCGGGCAGGTTCCCTGGGCGTTGTGCTGGAAGCAGTGGACCATTTCGTGGGTGAGGACGCCCATGATCTCGTCGGTGCGGCGGTCGGCGGGGATGCCGGCGATGTAGGAGAGGGAGAAGTGGATTTCCTTGTGGTCGTCGTCGAGGTCGGAGCCCGTGGTGTAGGCGACGCCGCCCATGGGGCGGAGGATGAGGGTGACGGAGCGGGTTGGCGGGACGTGGGTTGTGTGGTTGGAGGGGGATTCGTAGAGGAGGGTGAGGACGGAGCGGACGGCGGTTGCGAGGGCGGTGCTGGCGTTGACGGCGGAGAGGAAGTGGGTTGCGGCTTGGTCGTTGAGGTCGCGGATCTCGAGGCGGAGCTTGGGGAGGGCGAAGTCCGGGACGGGACGGGGCCGGGGGTGTTTGCTGGCGCCGGCGGCGGGGGCTAGCGGTTGCTGATCTGATGACTGCTTGAGGTGGACGGGGAGCGGGGTCGCGGCCGGGGGCACCGGGCCGGAGCCTGGTGCCTCGGAGGATGGGGTTGATTCTGCGGCGGTGGACGACATGGCTGGGAGGAAGATGGCGATGGGATCGGGATTGGGCGTTGTGTTTGGTGGGAGGACCATCTGTGAGAGAATGTCCCGCCGGGGGGGTTTTGAGGGGAGGCAGTAGCTCGAGATGATGTGCCCTACGGATCCGGAGAGTAAGTTAGGTAAGGCAGTTGGAGCTACCTGGTACCTTGGCTTCGTGAGCACCTAGCGTGAGGTAGTGGTGGTAAGGCAAGGTAGGTTGATGTAATGTGATGCAGGCAGGTACTTTGTTCGAGTTTCAACGCCTGAGGTAGGTGGTTTGCATGCGGAAGTGGATGTTGATTGTAAGGCACGTCAGTATTCCTCGCACATTTCATATCACGATCTCGCTTTCTAGAGGTTGCCTGGAAACAGGAAACGCTCCTCGCTTTATGTCTTGACGAGACGAGGAAAACAGGAATTCTGCGAGTCCACATCATCTTGACGGAGGACCCTGTTCCACGAGGTACTCCGTACCATAGAGGCACTCCGTACCATAGAGGCAACTGGAGCTCCCGATCGGGGGGCCTACCTTGAGTGGGAACGTGCCTCCCCCGCGGCTGCAGGGGTAAGGGTCCGTGGCGGCGTAAGGTACCTTAGGTAGGTACTCCGTAGCCCCTCTAACGATAAGCGGATAAGGGACCTAGCGCGGCTTCTCTTAGCGTCCCGCAGCACCGCAGGAGCGGAACCCCCAGCCAATTACCGCCGGGCTGGGGGCTTGCTGATGCTGCTGGTGCACGGGACAACCTGCGATGCCCCTTTGTTGTTTGGTTTCGAGAACGTCAACCGCATCCATAAACAACAACCCCATTTTGCCCATCTCCATCTGCCACTGCTGCCACCTGCACAACCCGGCCCCAATCTGCCACATTCTTCGCACTGGGATATTCCTCCGTGCTACTGTTCGCTTCCCAAGGCATATTTGCACACAAAGTTGTAAGCTTTTTCTCTGCCCTACCAGTTTCAAACGACACCACACACCCCCCTCCCCCCGGTGCGCTGAACGACTCATGCCCTCGCTCGTCGTCGACCCCCCCATCGCCCATCTGTCCTGACTGGCTGCGTACCCCCCGGCGCGCAAACCGTCCCATTCGCCCAAGCTCCCTTCGTGACGACGACGACGACGACCGACCATAGCATCGACGATACATACAGACCTACAACTGCTGACACTGCGTTCTACCCGCACCAGGCACAATCCATACCGAGCCCAACCCTCGTTTTGCTGGGAATGGCGGAAAAAATCACCGAAGAACAGGTCGACGACCTGCAGAAGATCCTACGCAGCGAGGCCAGCGTCGACCAAAAGGTCCAGCACGTCACTGGCATCAAGTCCGGCATCAAGCAGCACAACGTTCCCGATGCCCTCGTACCACTAATTTTCGACGGTCTCCGTACCGCCTCTACCTCGCCGCACGCCGTCCTCGTCAACGCCGGCTTCACGGCCCTCAACCACCTCCTGACGAGGCTATCGAGACAAGAACCAAAATACATTACCAAGGATGCGAAACACACACTTCCGCTGGTCATTGACAAGCTCGGCGACCCCAAGGATAAGTTCAGGAGCCTCGCATCGCAGGCACTGACCACCATCTACACGGCCGCGCCCATGGATGTCGAGCGCTCGGTGAAGAATGTTGCCATGGTTGGTAAGAACCCGAGGGCAAAGGAGGCCAGCATGCACTGGCTGTTGTACATGCACCAGGAGCACGGCACTCAGTTCCGCGCGTACGTCCCGACTCTCATGGAGCTGCTCGAGGACGCTGATGGCATGGTGCGCGACGTCGCTAAGAGCACTGTAATTGAGCTGTTCCGGTATGTTTTCTGGTCGCGGCTTCCATGGTTGTAATTCGCGCTGACTGATGTTGTGCAGGAATGCTCCCGGCGCGGCCAAGTCCGACCTCAAGAGACAGCTAAAGAACTTCAATGTTCGCCCCGCTATTGAACAAGCCATCGTCAAGGAGCTTGCGCCTACGGCTGCCGATCGACCAAAGACTCCAGGCCTCGATGCTCCGGCGCCTGCCCCTCGACCGAAGCTCGCCGCGAGTGTGTCATCAGTTGCGAGCGAACGACCCGTCACTCCAGCCCCCGAAACGCGAAGCGAGGTCGAGCCGTCATACGCCAACTCCCAGCGCGAATTAGACGACATCTTTAGGGAAATGATGACGTACTTTGAGGGCAGGGAATCGGAGCAAAACTGGCTGAAGCGCGAAGAGAGCATGACAAAACTGCGAAGGTTGATTGCCGGCAACGTCCCCCAAGACTTTCCCGACGCCTTCATGTTGGGTTTGAAGGGGCTGCTTGACGGAATAATCAAAGCCATCACCTCGCTACGGACCAGTCTTTCAAAGGAGGGCTGCAACTTGGTACATGATATCGCCATGACCTTTGGCCCCGGCATGGATCCTTTGGTGGAGCTTCTTATGCAGACCTTCATCAAACTAGCCGCGGCAACGAAGAAGATTGCTTCCCAGCAGGCTGATGCCACAGTCAACATCATCATCAGCAAAGTCACCTACAGCTCGCGCATCATGCAGCACATCTGGGGTGCATGCCAGGACAAGAATGTCCAGCCCAGAACGTATGCGACTGGTTGGCTGAAGACGATCCTGACCAAGGAGGCCCATCATAAGAGTCACATTGAGCACGGCGGCGGATTGGACCTCGTGGAGAAATGCATCAAGAAGGGTCTCAACGACGCGAACCCTGGCGTCAGAGAGCGCATGCGTGCCACCTTTTGGGTGTTTGCCAAAATTTGGCCACCCAGGGCGGATATGTGAGTAAAAGGTTTTCCGACATTTGCTGTGTCTTGCTGACGGGGGAAACAGGCTCAAGGATACGCTGGAACCAACTGCGCAGAAGCTCCTCGACAAGGACCCCAACAACCCCAACGCCCCTAAGAGGGAAGTCGAGGCTACACGCGCCAGACCAGGTCTGGGCTTGTCCAAGAGCACGATGGGCACTGGAAAGCCGACCTTGCGTGAGACTATGATGGCACAGAAGAAGGCGACGATGACGACGGCAGCATCACAAAAGTTGCCGCCTCGCCCGGGCTCTGCAATGGCCAATTTATCTCCTGTCCGACCACCACAAGCGGCCTCCAGCTCGTCAACTGGCCTGGCACCATCTGCCAAGCCGACTGCCTCAGGGGGCATGTCTGTCCGGCCCATGAGACCAACCAAGAGGAGGCCAGAAATGGCGGCACGACCCGCGACGGCCGGGCCCTATTCAGTACGCACACACGATGGACCCTCCGCTGAGGCATCCAGCCCCGAAAACCCCATGTCTCGGAGCACCACAACGAGGCCGAAGACCGAAGCTTCCCCACGGAGAGCCCAGAGTAGGCCTCGTGCTGCAACATCTCATGCGTCACCCGGCGCCAAGTCAACCCTTTCGAAGTCTGTATCTTCCCCTCGCGACTCACCTCGAACAAGTCCTGCGAAGCCCAAGAGGATGCAGACTACGATCCCAACGAGTAGCCCGTCTAGGGACAACGAAGATCTTTCGCTAGTGGTGCCGAGCCTCGCGAGCTTGAAGTCGCCTCCGACTTTGGATCAACGGCAAAGAGCCGCGACAGAAGAGCCGACAGTACCAGACTTTGAGGCAGAAGCGCCGGCGGAAGTTTCGGCGGAGATTCCTTTGCCGAAGGCCGAGCCAGCACAAGAACCCTCTCCTGAGCCCGTGCCTGAGCCCACTCCGGAGCCTGCCGAGCAATCTCCAGCAGAACCTGAAGACGAGGTTGCTGTGGAAGCTCCAGCTGAGACATCACCCGAAGCTCCCACGACTGAGACTGAAGAGGCGGCGGTTGAGGAGATCCTGGAAGCTCCTGCTGAGATTGTGGCGGGAGGACTAGCCCCGTCTCCTGTTATAGAGGAGATGACCAAGGCTGAACCGGAGCCTGCGCCCACGAATGGACTCAAAGTGTTCGAGGACCCCTTTGTTGATGACGGTACGATTGCCAACCCGGACATCACTTCTCCCGTACTGGAAGACAAGCCTGTGAACGAGGTTGCTGTGCCAGCGCCGAGCAACGGCTTTGAGGCCAACGGCACTCCAGAGACCCCCGAGAAAGCCCGTCAGACGTCGAGACTGCTCGATAGTGGTGTTACGAGGGTCAAGGCGAAGTCTTTGGACGTCCACGGCTTCAGGAAGCTACAGTCAATCATCAGAGATAACAAGGCTGTGTTCACGGATGAGAAGTTCGAAGCGCTGCTCCGCGGACTGTTTGAGTACCTAGAGTCCCCCCTAGAGACCCTCGCGCCGGAGAGGGTTCAGGATGTCAAGGCACAGATCCTCGCAACGATCAAGCTTTTACTCAAGAAGGAACGGGACAACTTCCAACCACACGTCTCACGAGGCCTCGAGTCTCTCGTGTCAACACGCAGCGCATATGACTCACGCACCCGCATCGTCAGCGGTCTGGAGCTCCTCGCAGAAGAGCTTGTAGCTCTCGGAGACCCACCCGAGATTGTTGTGGTCATGACCAAGCTTCTGCAAAGCAAACAGGACACGACGATTGAGGGCAGCCGCTGTCTCGCTACAGGCCTACATGTGCTGAAGGAGCTTCTCGACAAGCGTACTGGCTTCACGCCCTCGGACAACGAGCTCGCGCAGCTTGCCGGCCTCGCCGGCCGCTGTCTCGAGTCAACGGACTCTGGCGTTCGCATGGGCGCCGTGCAACTCTGCGTTGCTCTGCACGCGCGGATTGGGGATGCGCCGTTCTGGGAGCTTATCAAAGGCGCCAAGGACGACCCGAAGAATCTCATCACGTACTACATCGCGAAGCATCAACGAGAGAGCAGCGTCGGAGCCTAGATACCACCAGTACACGATGTACAACGTCGATGTAACATAAAGAGATGGAGCTCGTTGCGGGGAGTTGGAAAACGGCGTCGGGGGTGCGTAGGCGGTTTACCGGGTGAAACCTAAAGGACCTTCAAAAAAGTGAAAATGGAGTTTCTATCGTTGCTTTAAGGGGTCGGGGGCAAGGAAAGGGATACGGAGGGCCGAGCTTATACGCAACGGCGAGGTTCTTTTTTGGGTTCTGCGTATTTTACATCTTGGAAGCCTTTCTTGTATGGCCTCTTTGTAGCTTCTCGGCATAAGCTATGTACTGTACCAACATTCTATTCTATTCTGATGAACACCCTATCCATTCCTCTCGTCATGTCATGTGGTCTCTCTGTTCTCGACCTTCACTTCGCACAGCCGAGCCTGATGCCTGATGCTGCCGTGCGCTGAACCCGAGTCTCGCAAGTCTCGGGGGCTTTCGCCTCGGGCCGGGTTGGAAGGGGGGGATTGCCCGAGACCGGCGCGAGGTTTTCTTCGTTCTTTAGGGAGGGAGGTAGGGAGGGAGGGGGGCTAGCTGGTATTTTGATGAAGGGGAGTGAGACCTGGCTGCGTCAAACTTTGTCATTTCGGTCAAGACAGAAACAGATGGGGAGGGTACTCGGTCAGGTCAGGTAAGTGTGGTAAGGTCAGATTACCTAGGTACAGAGCACTGAGGTGACTTGCACTGGTGACTGAACGCGCCAACGTGCCCAAAGCCGAGGGCGTGCGTCCCGATCTTGGGGTTGATGCACCATAAACAGAAATACTCAGGCCGATAGTCCCCCTGTTTTTTCCTACTGGCATCTGCGATTATTGGAACTAGATTCATCTGGAAATCGAACATGGGACGGAACGGGGGCTTGGCTTGGCTTGGAGAGAGAAGAGCATGCCTGCATTAGGTTTTGACTAAGACTACCTATACGCATTCACTCATCAGGCCACGATGGGGGGCGCGGGCACGCGGCGCACGCGGAATGACCTGTCAGAGAAACTCTGTTTGATGGGTTTTTGGTTTAGCTGAGCGACCGCCACCATTTTTTGGGCCGAATGGAGAGTGATGACAGAAGACTGTCAGAGACGGCATTGATGACCGGCGCATGGATGATGGCTGGCGACGGGGGCTTCGCGGGCTTCCCCGGATCGTGGGGGATATTGGGTCGTGAGGGATGTTCCAGGAGGCAAGCCCCCTTTTTTGGAGACGATGGTCTTAATATAGAAAAAGATGTGTTTTTCCCACGTACGTTCTATCGTAAAGCTGTCACCCAGCCACTTCTGTGTGCTTGTGTGCGTAAAGGCAATAATGCATTCGAGCTGCGGCGAGGTCGGAAAGTCGTATGACGTGCGGCGACTCCGGCTGCTGTGAAAGGAGGGCCCGGGGGACGCAACATCGGAGAATAATCCCACGAGCTGCCGGGCGGGTGGGCGGCGTTGGGATTGGGGAGCTGGGAGGGCCGGCCGCATGAGAGACGGCCGTTGCTGATCTTTGGACGCGGCTCTCCGGGACTGCGCAGCAGCGGAACCAGTTCTTCAACTAAGGTGACTTACTGGGTAGTATAGATCTGGTCGGCCAACCGAATATACGCGGCGAACCCGAGGACCTGGAAACATGTTGGTATTACCTGACGGTTCACCAATGACACTATGGACGTGCAGTGAACGGCCCTGGTAATGGTTGGAGTCGGTGATTGACACGTTTCCTTATTTGAGCTATCCCGTCGTAACGCCATGTGTTGTCCTGCTGGTCGAATTCATCAATCATGCGACGCGGGTTTGGCCCTTGGGCAAACCGTCCAAAGTTTCTCCAAGGAGGAAGGGAAGGGAACCAGCGTGATCGGCAATTTGAATGCCCAAAGGTGGACGGACGACTGGGAAGGCCGGGGATGTGCCATGGACGACCAGCGCCGGGAATGCTCGAGTTTCGCAAGGGACAACACATCTGGAGCGGCCGAGGATTACGCGGTCCCCTGCGGCATCCCGCCCGCCGTCCGTGGAATCTAGGAATCTGAGCGGTTGGCGTGAGGGCTTGCGGGTCCCGTGTGGAAAGCTTGTAGTCGGGGACTGATGCCTGTATCTTTCGACCGTGGAAGAAGGGGCTGGATTGGCCATCGATGTACGGATACGGAGTACAATCGAACGATTGGGAGCGTGCTGTGTGGGTATGTTCGCGAACTGGATGCTACCGTTGAATCGCGTTGGGCTGACGGGAGCTCCTCTGAGGCTAGAGTTCAAATGAGAACGTTGCAATCAACAATTTGGGTGATGTTGACAGCGTAGCATTGGGGCCAAACGCCCAAGCTGCGTGGCTGTTGAAGAACGGACATGGGTTCTTTAGCGAGCGCATCAGTGGATTCAGATTGTAATTCCACCTTTTGACCTTCTAGACCAAAGTGTCTCTGTTGCAAGTTGCAAGTTGCAACGGTCTATTGTTGCAAGGTGCTCGTCATGAACTATCGAAGAACAAGAGGGATGCCGACGGCTTCCGTAGCAGCCATGGAGAGCCGTGTGACTTCTGGTGTTTTAATCGAGATCGAGACAACGAGAAGGCTGGCGTTGGCGTTGGCAACTGAGCTGTCAAATTGATTGAGCGTGCCGAGAGTTCCCATCTGCGTCTCCATTGACGTGGACTCCCTGTCGAGAGTGAGAGAGTCTTGGTAGGGCGACTGAGGGAAATTCGCTCAGACGATGTTCCATGATGTGTTTTTTTGGCAGTCCTGTCCGTAGTCGTCAACTCGTCGAGCTTCAGTAGTGGTCTGGGATGGTAATGCTAGCTCGATTGCCTATTCCACATGGATGCCGATTTTGCGCCCATGATAGAATGCGGCCAGAGCGGTGATTTTCGTTGACGTTGCAATCCGGGTTTGATTCTATACTAAACGAGTCAAGGAAAACGAAGAACAGCTGTATCCATAAGGTTGAACATCTTGAGTGACTGGGATGCTTTGCAATTTTGCAGGACTTCGATGACGAAAATTCGAACAGCAGGCTGCGTGAAGAGCGGTGTAACATCTCCCAGCCTAAGACCATGAGATTAGCTAGGTCTATTGCTGCAATGGTACCGAAACTGAGGGCCTGAAACCCAACGGAGCCGATTCCTGTCCCAATCGCGATTGTCTGGGGGCATTAAGGAAATGTAGGACGGCACCATGTAACACCAAGATGCGGGCTGGCAAACTGAGTAACAACTTGGCGCGATTTGGAAATGGTGTTTGAAACGAAGGCGGGGGAGCTGGTGAAGCACATCGTCGGCTTGTCGCCAAGAGTTGATCCGTAACTAGCCAGCCTGGATAAGTAGAGAAAACGCTGAACCAAATGTGTTTTCGTGGTGTGAAAAACATTGTCGTCCTGGCCTTGGGCGCAATAGATGTGATGATTGGCTGACGAAGCCAAAGTAAACACCAGGCGAGATCTTGGGCGAGAAGGCCATGCTATGAGCACTGCTAGTGTACAGGGTCAAATCTTGCTGGCCACGACGATCAGAACCAAACAAATGCCAGCAAACCTGAGCTATTCACAGAGTGTGCTGGACTGTTTGCTAACGTCGTTGGCCTGCGGCCCGCTGATGGACACCGGCGACCCGATGGCAATCTGTGCTCTGCTGGTCCAGAGGCGTATCTTTTGTTGAGAACGTCATTGAAGAACGTTTCTTCATGAATATCACGGATAATCACCGGATCCACGGCTCATTTGATAATTCTGCGGCATTCAAGTAATTTGTGATTGCGAATGGATGTGATGAGACCATGTTGACGGCAATTGTGCGGTCTTTTGCCGCGCCGTTGTGTTCGCAAATTGCAAACTGGAGAAGAAAGTCAAGAAACTGGTAAGTCGTTTGGGGCCCGGAGGATCGACTGCATGGATCGTGGATGAGTAGCGGCAGAGATGCGCGGATGGCTTCAGACCGTCCCTCTTTTTTTTTGGTTGTAAAGGGCCAAAGGCTGAAGAGAAGCGAGAGGAGAGGGATCCGGATCGACCTGGTGGCGTTTGCAGTGGAGAGGCGTTTAGTTGAAACAGTAGCCCCGAATCCCCACCTGCGCCTTCCACGTCCAGTCATCCACCCGTCTTGAATTCTCATTTAGATGAGGTACGTACTCAGAATCAAGGGCTTACCCCTCTCGACCCCGACGACAACGACAGGTACGTACCGTACAAAGTACCTACCCATGCTACCTATCCGTATGGCATCTCCTGCTTCCATATTCGTGGATCGTACCTTACTGCTTACCAACTCTTACGGAGTACACCTTCACTGCCATCACCAACTGGAATCATATGGCGGCATGGCCTGCCATGGCAGTCTGTCACTGGATTGGTCCCTGCAGGCTCGATCCTACCTACCCCCAAGGGCCCAAATGACCTCCTTCCTTGGAGATTGATTTTCTCCCACAAAGCTCCGGCGCATCTAATACTTGGCAGGGCACTATCCGTACCCCAGTATCACAAAGTCTCCGTGAGACGCTCGATTGACGACCACTAACAACAACTCAACCCTACAGTATGCCACGGTGGCGTTTCGTCCAATCCGACTATTCCAGGCACCCTCTTCACCGCCGGAAACACTGCTCTTCTTCGTTCGAATTGAACTTTCCAACGCGGCGTTCATCGCAATCCTCGTCCTCTGCTGATGCTGATGCTTCTTGTGACTCTAGCTCCGAGCCTGGCGCTACACTAACATCACAGCAGGGTTGATGTTGAGCCACATGCTGCGGGCTGTAAGGGGGCCAGAGCTTGGCCGCTGATCAGAAGGGCCAGACCAACAGCCGAGCAGCTCCTTCGTTCCTCTGTCTGTCTAGGTACTGTGCTGTGTAAGCTGACGGTTATTATTACATTCGAGGCGGAATCCGGTTCGCTGAATGATGCCTGGTCAACGCACACGTCTCAGCAAACGTTGTGTTGACTTTCCTTCGCGTACGGATACCTCAAGCTTCTGGCGTCCCGCTGGTTCACGTCAACCCCAGACTTGCCTCGCCTTGCTGGAACGACTCACGACTCACGACACACGACACACGACACACGACACACGACACACGACACACGACGTGGACGTGACAGCCACAGCCCGAGCTACGGCCAAGCAGAAACGACTTGGTTTCTATCCGTCGTGTGTCTATCAGCTGTTTCGGTTCTCCGTCCGATGTTCTGATACGGTTGATACAAACGTGCTCTGCGATACAACGTGCCTTTGTTGGTTCTTCAACCACACGTTTGGTTTGCCTCTTCTGCTCACGCACCTTCGAGTGCATTTTGACTGCCCAAAGGTCGGCAACTGGGTTCGGGGAGAAGTCCACTTCAAACTCTCGCGTCACCTTTGAGTGCTTCAGCTGGACCTGCAGCTAACGGCGCATAGGGACATCCCGTCGGATGCCGTTCAGGTACAGCACACCGCATTTTTTACGTGCATGCAGCGCGCGAGAGTTACAGATACAAGGGAAATAAAAGTTCCTCGAGATGATGAATTCGAGTCACGAGCTGCAGCTCTTCTGCGGTGCTCTGCAGAGAAGTCCCATCCATGATCATCCCCATCCCATCCTACGGCGCTACGCCGTCTCAATTCCTGCGGCTTACTCTTCTGGGAAGACAACCAACAAAAACACATTGTCATCCGCATGGTTAGCCGCAGTAAGGCATGGGTTGCCATCTGAGATCTCCGCTAGGCAACCCGTAAAGTAAAAGAAGAGAGAAGAAAAGCAAGTCCACAACCTCATCCAGTGTAAGTGCAACGGCCCTTTCATTACCCTCTAACCTGGCTCAATGATCAATCTACCTAGCTCCAAAGGTCTCCCACAGCCTGCCGGACGGTGTGAACAGCCACGGACCATGGCAATCATTTGTTTGCATGAGACGATCAACTCATCAACTTCCGTACCAGCTACCTTCGACCGCACCCAAGGCCCACAATCATCTTTGCCCGGATAGCTGCATATGCCCGGCGATCGTTGGTGGTCCAGGAAAAGATGAGCCTCGAGTTGTTAGCTTGTTGCTGCTTTTGGGCCTCCAATCATCAATGTACGCAGTAATACGATGGTAGTCGCTGTCATGCTTCGCCTAGCACAACACCGTCGCCTCCTGTGCTTCGGTTCTTATTCAATGGGCCTGAGCGTGTAAGTCACCAGAGACGTTGGTTGAATGTACTCCGTACCGTACCGCCTCAGGTCCCTTGCTTATTACCGCGTGGCCCACCTCACTTCACCTCATCAGTCTGGAAATTCGACGTTGTCGACAATACGAATTGCAATTTCGATGCGGGCAATCGAAATCGGGCCCATGGAACGAGCGGCGGCGATTCTCATCAAATATATGCAACGCTCAGCGGGCCTACATAGCACCGCTGGTCAGCAACATTCTTTGGCTGTGTACGGTTCCGGAGGTACTTGTGCTGAAGCCTGATGCACAAGTTGCCTGCCCAGCATGTCCCGGCCTGTCTCTTGTTGCACTGCTGTCCATCGACTTGGATGTTGGAAGTATAGGTATCCGTACTAACCACGTCGTCCATCCCCTGGATCGAGCACGGAGTACTCTGTCACTCTGAATCGGCAGGAAAATACCTAACACAATGGCACCAAGAAGGTACCGAAGCCCCTGGCCAACCCCAGTGGGCGGCCAGTGGCCAGTCAGCAGGCTTGTGTTCCTGGCGGAAACCAGAGCCACCCCACGTCTTATTCCCATGAGACTTTGAGTCCCTTGCTCCGCCGCCGGGAGATGACCCCAGCAGCAGACAGGATTATATGGAGTGGACTGTGGACTCGTGGAGGGGGTTTGAGTGATGAAGGGTTCCACTGTTTGTGCCACGCAGCCACAGAAGGGGGATGGGGCCCTTTGTTCATCTTCTTTTCGCATGTCCACGTCCCGTTGACAGTGGGCTGTCACGGCTGTGTGGTGTCTGTACGAAATATCCGTACCTACATTATACATAGCTTACCTCGCGGATAGGTGTCATGTATTCCTTCTTCTGTCCCAGTATTGCTTGGAGTTGTAGGAGCATGACAATGGAGAGTTGCAGATTGGGGGTTTCTAGATTGTGTGCTCGAGAGACAACAGCAAAAAAACAAAAACCAACAACGACCACTCTTCTCTCTGTGTCTGTCTCTCTGCTTCACCCCTTGAACTTTCTTCTTTTGGTTTCTTCAGTGTGGTGGCTCTACGTATAACGGACGCACTGCAACAGAAAGAGATCCCCAAACACCCCTATGCCTGCGAAAAGGTGCCTGCCACGCCTGCCTCTGGAGTCCTGGCTCAGGCACGTGTGACATTGTCTGCCCTGAGATGCCTGCATGATACGATGCATACATTATACACAGGTTGATATTGACAGACAGGTGTATGATTCAGCAGAGGAGTAGTGACTGGGTCTCCTCATCTCACGTTCAACCTCCTCACTAGAATCGTCTTGATTAAACTGGATGATTTGTTCGGTTTGGAGAACAAAGTTAATAACTGTGTCTTGCCGTATGAAAAAATGAAAAAAAGTGTTGACAGTTGAACTCCAGTCACCGGTGCACCCCGCTGCTTGCCCTGCCTGGGGAGGGGGCAAGCTACGAGTAGGTACCTAAGGTACTTCGGAGGTGCAATGGAAGAAAATGGGAACCAGGGGAAGTACCTCGCTCCAAGGTACCGATCACTGCCGCCCTGTTCCTCCTCATCCTGACATCCTTTCCCCCCCCTCCGTGCCACAGCACCGCACCATCACATCTGCCAGCGTTGGTGTGTCCCATCATCCCGTTCCACCTCCCGTCCGTCCAGCCCCGTTTCTCGTCCAGTTCCAATCCCGATTCCACCTCCACTGCAGTCTATCAAGTCTCCCGTTCCATCCAGACAAACCCAGAGTCCTTCCCTCGAGTCCCCCCCCCCCCCCCCCCCCAAATTCCACGACGAGCGCCACCGCCATCCACCAGTGATCTTTTCGTCTCTCCGTCTCTCTCTCCCCTTCTCTTTCTCTGTATGTGTGTGTGTGGGAGTACCGACGAAGGCACATTTCATTTCTCTCCTCTCTTTCTCTCGCGTTCTCTCCCTCATTTGATCGTCCCGTACTCCGTCTCCGTATACACACCCGCTGCCACTTACCTACCTACTACCTACTACTTCTACTCCTTAGGTACCTTACGGATAAAGGTACACAATCTTCCAAGTTCCACCCCTCGCTTTTCTCGTACACGCTAGCAATCTACCTTACCTTCCACATTACCTACCTTACGGATACTTTGTACGAAGTACACGACCCGTCACTGCCTTAAGGCAAGGTCCGCGCGTAGCAAGCACCTTCCTTCATTAGAGACCGTCCAGCTCTCCCCCCAAGTCCCCATCTGACTCTCTTGTACCTCTCTAAGGGCCTGGACAGCCCCCTGAACCCGTCCACCCACCCTTCCCAGGCACGCCAGCTTCGGTCCTCATCATCCCGTTGCTGTTAGCCCGGTACCACGGACCAAGCCCAGGGCTTGCCATCGTCTCGCTCGTCCTCCACGTCGTCGTCGCACCTCTTCATCCAACCTACCATTCGAGGGCCTAGTTTGTCACCACAATTCCCAATTCGACAAGCCCGCGCTCAGCTTTGCTCTCGCTTCCACTGTGACCAGAGATCACGGCCTCTGCCACTTAACCTCATTACCTTGCTTCACCTCACCTAACCCTGATTTTGTTCACCGGCGCCGTGTCGCTTTTTTTTTTTTTTTGCCTTTCCTTATTTTTTTCTCGCCTCCCCCAGAGGCCCCGAGCGAGCTCTCGAGTACAATCTCTCACCTTCTCGCTGGCGAACTACATCGAAGACCCTCCAGACGAAATCAAACGAGCGCTACCACGACGACACCGCCCACGCCCCTCGCTACCTTCACCACCTCGAAATTCACTTCCCGCCCGCCCGTCTGGTTTCGCTGCTATCGCGCCTCTGAGCACACACCCCCTTTCGAAGCGCCATTCACTACAAGCTACGCTGCCCGTCGTACACGCCCTTTCCTGTCGAGCTCCTGGCACGAACCGCACAGTCTGCCGACCGACCCTCATCTCTCGTCGTCCATGATACAGCTCTTCACAGTCGATCCTTCGCCTATCGATCGTTTTGCTGACGACTTGCTTTCATGACCGGCGACAAAGTCCACTTCCTCCTGCTTGCCAGATAATTGTCGTGACGACGTCCTACGAAAAAAGGACCTTCTGCCCGTCATGACTGCCGTCGTGGAGGATTATTTGGAGAGTCCCATGGACAACGACGACGTCTTCCCTTGCAAAGGCTGCGGCGAGGTACGATGGCCCACCCCCGTTACTTCTGACTATTCTGCAAGCACGTACTGACGGCGGTACCCTACCCGACTAGATCCTAGAAGAGGGCAAAGCGTTCGAACTTGGTATGTCCCTCACAATTGCTTCTCTTCTCATCTCTTCCTTGCCCTATTCTCTTCTGTTTCTGTAATATGCTCTGAGCAGCATCACTTGGCTTCACCCTATGGCCATGATGTCCTCCGTGGCCATGGCGCCGTCTGCAGTCTCCAAGTTCAACCAAGCTAATCAGTCTCCTCCTAAATCAGCTGGCAACCGATGGCATCTCAACTGCTTCCGCTGCAATACTTGCGGCACCCTCCTCGATTCCGATGCGAACCTGCTACTCCTGGGCGACGGCTCGCTCATCTGCAACAACTGTACATATAGCTGCAGTGCTTGTAACAACAAGATCGAAGACCTCGCCATCCTCACTGGAGATCAGGCCTTCTGCGCAACGTGCTTTAGGTGTCGCAACTGCAAGCGGAAGATTGAGAACCTGCGATATGCTCGAACCTCACAAGGCATCTTCTGCATGAGCTGTCATGAGTCGCTCATGGCAAGACGGAGGAAAAAATCAAAAGCGGCAGCCCAGGCCAAGTCGAAGGAGAAGGATGGCTCTCCCATGATTACAGACAAATCATTGCCCGCCTTGCCACCCAATGCCATTCCTCCAAACGCCTTCCACGATACCAAAGTCGACCCCGACTCCGACAAGGAGACTCCGACCGAGCTATCCCCAAGACCGCGACCGGCATACGGCAGAAATGATTCTTCGTCGAAAAATAGCACCCGGCCTTCGCGTTCTCCTGAGCGTGTCTCGGAGCCCACCAGGGAGAGCGGCTTGGGTCTTCCTGCTGCAAACTACCGCAATAACCGCAATTCGACCATGTATGCCCCAAATAACAACAACGGCGATGCCAATGGTGGTGACGACGGCTTCTTCATTCCGGTTGCGCTGGATAATAACCCGGCATCGAATTCCACCCCGCGGTCGACATCGGAGAATGTGTCTGGCATATCCAAGAAGGATAAGGACTACTTCAGTGTGCCCCGGGCCAGCACTGATAGAAAGGGCGAATCCCAATCATCAACACCCCATATTGCTTTCCAAGAGAAGGGTCGGCAGCCGTCGTCCGATTACGAGTCCGGTCCCGTCAAGTTGCCGCTGCGCAAGACTTCAAAATCGTCGAGGCATGACGGGCGATCATCGGTCATTAATGACGAAAAGTCGCAGAAGGTTACAACCGGCAAGCTTTCGCCGTCGATTGACGAGTTTAAGTTGCAAGATGCGCCCAAGAGCAAGAAACTCATTAGCCCGAGAAGTGCTTCTCACTCGGCCGCCTTGACCCCAGAGAGCGGCAGCGCCAAGAGCAGTGAAGGTGTTCTGCGTAAAGACAAGGAGCCGTTCCCTAACCTGCCTTCGTCTGATTCACCTCCCCGCATGGCCCGATCGTCTCAAGATTCGAGACAACGCGATGAGGGTGAGGTGCGTCCTTCGATGGACTCCATCTCTTCCTCGCGAACAGACACAACTGCAGGCAAATCCATTGCTCGTAAAGAGCTTCCCTCGCGCAACTGTAAGTGAATATCGCACTCGTGTTTTACCATCATGCAAGGCGCACCGACCTAACCTTTTTTTCACTCTCCCACAGCAAACGGCAAACCTTTAGGTCGATCCAACACACATGATGAGACAAGCTCATCGGGCCTCGCAGCCGGGCGACCGAATATGACTGAGCACAAGCTCAGCGATACTTACATGCAGCCTCGAGCACCCCCGCAACCGCCCGGCAAACCTGCCAACAGTCCCAATCCTCCCGCAAAGGATCAGGCAAACGTCAACGAGGAAGGAAAGGTCTCCCCTAAGCTGCCTAGATGGAGCGCAGGTGGCGATTTCAGTATGGACGAGGACATGGCGAGGATACTCGGCACCGATGCAGATTCTTCGTCCATCCTTCGTCGTGTATCAAATGCTGTCCGCCACGGACGCACCAACAGTACCGAAGGTGGTCATTCTCAGTCTCAACATCCTCATAGAGTCACAGGTCACACGAGGAGTATCAGCGAGACCACCCGTGGTACCGCTTCTCCTCGCTGGCCCAAGACCCCTATCGCCGAGGACCCCAACGGGCATGAGATCAGCAGCCCTATTTCCCTCCACTCGAGCGACGATCCGGCTTTCCTCAAGAGGCAATTGCGCAACTCTGAGAATCGTGTGGCTGAGTTGGAGAGACAGTTCACCACGGAGAAGGACTTGAAGCGTCTTAACAAGACACTCATCGAAAAGCGCAAAACAGTCTCGGTGTTGGATACTCAGACTGAGATTATGATTCGTCAGCTCGAAGTTCTCGCCGGATACGTCGAACGCGCAAAGGAGACTAAGACACCTGTCGACCCCCGCGACCTGGAGGATTCCGCAATCAAGGAGTTTGTGCAGAAGCTTGACAAAGTCAAGCAGGCAATGAGCGCAGCTATTGAGCAACTCCACGAGGAGCGCGACGAGCTGGTCGACGAGAAGAACCAAGCAATGGCCGACAGGGACCGCGCCCTCTTGGAGTTTGAGCAGCTTTCTTCCAAGAATGCCCAGCTCGCGGACATGAACAACGACCTGACCCACCAAATCCAAGAACGGTTCAAGTCTCAGATTGGAGGCGAACTCAAGTCCCCCAACGGCCTTGGCATTTACAGCCAGAGCAAGGTCTTCTCTTCATCCAACCTCAACCTCACCGACTCGGCGAGCATGACCACGACTCTCGTTCATGAGACGGATGAGCCAGTTGTCGAAGCTCGACCGACAGTGGTTGATATCAGGAAGGGACAGGTGAAGAAGTTCAACTGGAAGAAGGGGTCCAAGGGCCTCGCAGGAAGTGTAGCCAAGGGTGTCAACCGTGCTGTCGTGGCGTTCCAGCAGGAGCGAGAGCGCGGCCCCCATCAGGGCCTGACAGGGGACAGCATCGGCCTGCCGTACAATATGACTGTTTCTCAAGTGGAAGCACCCAGTACCCAGGCTCCTGGCCCTGCCACGCTGCAGAAGGGTGCGCAGCAACAACAAGGATTTGGCTTCTTCAAGAACAAGAACAACCAGAAGTCCATGTCTACGACTAACGTGTCGACACCCACGATCGCGGAGGCGCCTACCACCTTGTTCGGCTCAGATCTAACTGAAAGAGCTGACTACGAAAGGCGCACCATCCCCAGCGTGGTGACTCGTTGCATCGAAGAGGTTGAGCTTCGCGGTATGGATATTGAAGGCATCTACCGAAAGACGGGCGGCAACTCCCTGGTGAAGGTCATTCAAGAAGGATTCGACAAGAGCGAGGACTACGACATCTCAGACCCTGGCCTGGACATCACCGCGGTGACGAGCGTGCTGAAGCAGTACTTCAGAAAGTTGCCGATGCCGTTGTTGACGTACGATGTGTACGACAGAGTTCTTGAGTCGAATGGTAAGTTGATGCCTCGCACACTGTTCGGTGTAATGAGCTAACAGTGCCTGGTAGCCATCGCAGACCAGACCGAACGCTGTGACCATCTTCGCAAGGTGTTCAGCACGATGCCCCAGCGACACCGCGACTGCCTCGAATTCTTGATGTTCCATCTTGCGCGGGTTGCCCAGCGGGAGCCCGAGAATTTGGTAAGCTTCTCAATTCAGTAGTGCGATTTTGCAATAAAGCTAACCGACAACACAGATGTCTCCCAAGAACCTGGCGGTCGTATTTGCGCCCACTATCATGCGAGACACGAGCCTGGAACGCGAGATGACAGACATGCACGCCAAGAACCTGGCTGTGCAATTCGTTGTCGAGAATAGCCACACCATCTTTACCGACTGAAAGACTGGCTTGGATGGACAAATATGATGTTGGAAATCCCATGTACATATCAACGCACCCACGACTTGACGCCCTCGACCCCCTTCTATTCAATGAATCTGGCCCGGAGATACTTACCCCAGGCCTGACGGCTTTTATTACTACCTCACATTTGGATTTGAATTGTTCGGACGCCGTCATGACTGCAGCAATTTGGGAGTCTTTTCCGCGCCAGGAAACTTTAATGATATCCACATTTCTTGCTTCAGGGCACGAAAGGAGTTTTCTTTGGTTCTCGAAGGCGGGTTTAGGAATCAGGGCTGATGGGACTTATTCACTTTCGCTGCGAGAGCGCCGTTCCACCTCGTCCAATTTCAAATGTCGAGGTCAGCTCAGTCTTGTGACGAGGTTATGCAGTTGGTTAGAAGGAGGACGAGTCATACGTGACAGGATGATGATCGAGCACGACGCTGAAGAGCATGGTACTTGCGCATGGAGTCATTGCGGGCGAGGTGGAATTCTCCAAGTTTTAGTGACGCTGCAAATATCTCGTGGATGGGCGCAGCCTATCCTTTGTATCTGAACAAAGCTAATCTGAAACTTTTATCAACTATTGTGCCCTAATAATGTGATATGTACAATGTGGTATCAAGCTGTGCAGACTCTCAGAGGGATGAGGGCAGACTCAACAGACTTGCCGCTCAATTTTCCATCTTCGGCCCCTTTTCCTCCCGTTTTGCACCACTCACTCGGTCACTTGCTGCCCGCTCAACTCACACTCAAACTTGCACTCTACTTTGAATCCCCAACCATACGCCTCACCTTCTCCAACAACAGCGCGCTCTCCCTGCCCAGCCTGCGCTGCCCGCCATTCTCGGTGCCCTTGCGCGCCTTGGCCATGGCCCGGCGGTACCGCTCGCGGTCGGCCGTCTTGCGCTCGCGCTCCTCGCGGCGGCGCTGGATCTCGGCGTGGCGGGCCTCTGCCTCTTGCTTTTTTTGCGAGGCTTGGGCGAGTTGTTTTTCGTAGTAGTTTGGTTTGTTGGTGCGGGGTTTGCGTTGTTGTTGGCCGGGTTGGTAGCGGTCTCCGCCTCCGGCGGTGGTGGTGTCTGGGGCAGAGGTTGTGTCTTCTGCCGAGGCGTTGCGTTTGATGGCGATTGTGTTTGGGTTGGGTTGTTTGTCGTCGTTGTTGTCGAGCGTTTCTGCGCGGGAGGGGTTTGCTTTTTCTTTTGAGGGGTTAGGGGTTGTGGTTGTTGTCGTTGGCGGTGTTGGTGTTGATGAGGATGAGGATGTGGCGTCTGTGGGTGTGTCTACTACCACTGCTGATAATGCAGCAGCAGCAGCTGCTGCTGATGCTGAAGTCGGCGCAGGAGAGCCCGTCTTGCTGGAGGGGTCCTGGAGGGAGTCGAGCTCATCTTCGCTTGAGACGTCCTTCTGTGCCAGCGCGGCGGTGACATTGGCGGTGGCGGGTTGCTGTGCGTTTGAGGACGAGGACGAGGCCTGGGAGGCGAGTTCACGCTCCTTGATCTTTGCGTAGGCTTTCTTGATCTTGGCCTTGTGGATGAGCTCGATCTTCTTCTTTTCGACTGTGAAGGGTGGAGGTGAGGTTAGTGGATCGTGATCATTTGAGTGAGGTTGTGATATTTCCTTACCCTTTCTACGCCATGGACCCTCGGGGAGGGTGTTTGGTCCGAAGCCCTTGCGCTTCTTGACCTGGTGGTCTTTTGAGGCCGTGCCTTCGGCGGCGCGTTTAGGAGCCATGGTGGGTGATGGTGAGGATGAGGATGAGGATGAGGATGAGTGAGAGACTGGAGTGTGTGAGGCGAGTCGGTCAAGCCTGTTTGGAAATGAGTGAGGCGCGGTGTCCTTCCCTTGTATGATGAGATTCGTACAGAATTGGGCTCCCTGTTTGCGCCTTTCTTGGGCAGATGCGATACGTTTTGTCACACTTTTATGTGTGTAAGGTCTCTCTGTATGAGAGTGAGAGAGAGGTTTTGATGTGGTCGATGGATGAAGCGATTGAGCCAGGATGAAATTTTAGGTGGATCCTGCGATGAGAGGTTCGAGAAAGGTGGGAACGAAAGCGGTTTAGCGTGAATTTTGCGCCGACCCCAGTGGGAGGGCGGTCCGTTTCGGACGTTGTGGACCGTCGACCTTGCCCCGGCTCCTGATTATCGGACCTCACATTACCTTACGGGACGGTATGGTAAACGTTGATGAATTCTATCTGCGAGAAGAAAGCACTTCATCTTGAAATCAGAAACTACTTTTTTACTTGGGCTGTTTCATGATCTAATCTTCAGCTTTCAAGTGATGTGAAGAACCTTCCTTTGGGCCTCTCCTCTTGGTGGCGGACGACCTCTTAGAGGCAATGTCATCCGGCACCTCATCCACCAAGTTGATGTTCGCGCTCGAAAATAAGACGAATTGCTGCACAAAGCTTTGCTCATAAGATAGGAATGCTCTTTGCTCTTCAAAGTAAGGCAGAAAAGCCAAATATGCACCGTGACGAGGAAGTTTCTCCAACCCCGACTCTACCCGTAGGAAGGGATTTCTTCAAGTGTTCGAGGATGAGATGGTAGTTCAAATCGGGATAGCGTTGATGCATCGGGGTAAGAAAGAATTTCCCTCCTAGATAGAACCTAGTGATATAATACACCAAAGGGCATATCTATCAAATATAGAGAGGGAGAAAAAAAAAAGAAAAAAAAAGGGTTCGCCACCGGTGTGGCTACATACATCTCTTGGTGCTCATTCCGGGACTCGAACTCGTGATACTCGTATGCGCTAAGCCTGTCGTCGAGTAGGCTGGTTGGCGAATGTAATTATTGACCAGTAACCACTCCACCATCCAGCCAGTTTGACCTGACCCGTCGACCTAGACGGGCGCCTGCTGGCTGGTGACGGGAATGGAGCTGAGGGGGTATATATGGGATGACTGCGAATACATTTCAACGAATACTAGCCAACGACTTTGAGATTTGAAACCGCATGGCCTCCAGGACAGTAGTCGATTCCCGTTAGATATACATGACCTGGACAGGTAAACAGAGGCTACCTAGGCATCGACATCTCGCTCGCAGTGGCACACAGTTCAGTCACTACAGCCTGACAGCATGGTCAAATTGCTCGCACTCCTTTCTTAGTTCATCCCGCCATTTAAGTCGGTCACAGCCAGAACAGCGCAGAGTTTCCTGCGGCCACAGGATGTGAAGATACTACTCTCATCCTCCGTCTGACGATCTTGTATTTCGGAGATGAAGTAGCCGAGAGAGCGGATTTGAGATGATATCGCTTTCTTGTCGGTCAAAGTACGCGATCTATCTTTTTGCCACAGAAACGGAAGGGCCTTTAACCATGTTAAAAGTTTATTCTGTGCTTCTAATCTATCGAGCTCTTCTGTGCAGCCGAGGCAAGGCTTCATACACTCCGCGGTGTGTATAATCATCTACGCACTTCCATCGAGGCAGCATACACGCCCCATCTATCCCAACCACAACGACCTCGCCAAAAAGCAAACAGCACCCCCTCCCAAAATCAAACTTCATATAACAACCCCCACCCCCCCCCCCCTTCACAACTTCTCAACCAACCTAACATACAAACTCTCCGCCCTCGCCAACACCTCCCCCCCCTCATCCTCAATCCTCGCATCAATCCACCACTTCCTCCCCACAACCCTCGTAACCTCCACAACGCACAGCACCGTCTGCGGCGTCCTCACAGGCTTGACGTACGTCACATTCAGATACGCCGTCATGTACGCCGCGTCCGGGATCAGCCCGTTACTCTTGTTCACGGAAAACACAAGCCCAATCGTCTCGTCCAGGATCGTGGCGACGATGCCGCCGTGCGAGACGGAGGGGTACCCGTTTATGCCGCTGCGGAGGGTGAGCAGGGCTTTGAGTTGGCGGATGAGGGTTGGGCTGGGGTCTGCTGCGTTGTTGCTGGCGTCGTTGGGTGTGGTTGGGATGGTGCTTGGGGATGTGGGAACTGATGATGATGCTGACGACGGCGACGACGACGGCCGCTTGTAAAATGTCAGAAACGCGGCAATCGTATCCGCCGTGTTGAGCGTCGTGGAAAAGAGCTGGTCCTCTGTGTTTTGCTTGGGAAACCGCGAGGGCACCGTGTCGCGGACCGTGTCTGGTTCGTTGAGGTGTGCCGCGCACCAGGGGATGGCCAGGAAGTGCTGGACGTCTGGGTTTGCTGACTTCATTGTTGCCCTTCTCCTTTTTCCTTCTTTTGCGGTTTAGACTTGATGGCCCTTTCTATATCTTTAGAGTTTGCTGCGTGTATGTGAGGTAGTCTGGTGAGCGTCCTAGTCTCTATACGGACGTCTTGTTGAAATGAGCGACTTCGGACTTCGATGATAAGCGTTGATGGACCCGGTTGATGATGAGCTGTGGATGTTCTCTGAGCTAAGAGCTTCAATTGAGTTGGGGAAAGAGCCGAGGTCGTTTCTTTATCAGATCGGGTCCGTGCGCTGGCCCGCGGCATGTCACCATAGGTATCCAAGTACTGGCAAGGTAGTCAACTCTCCTTGGCTCTGGTTGGTACGTTACAAAGTTATTGAGCAGAAACATGGGACGAGCGATAACCAACTCGAGGGTTCCTCATTGGCGTTTTTGACCTTGGATCTTCTGTCAGGCAACATTTTGTCGTAGAAAGTTTCTTATGGAGGAGCTGGTCGGCGCTGGCAGGTTCATCCCATGCCTTGATATCTGCAACTACCTGCTTGCATTCACAATGCCCCCCCCCCCCCGATACGCATAGCACAAGGTAACCTTCACAGACGAACAACGAACACTTCTTGAAGATGTTTCTTCAAGGTCGCTAAAGCATATATCGAAACCCTTCGCCAGCCGTACTTTTACGGCCCCCAGATCCCACCAAGCCCTCCTCCTCCTCGGCCTCGCCACCGACGGCGCAAGCGGCGTCAGTCTTGCGATTCAAGTACGATAGGTAGAACCTTAGAAACAACGCCAAGACAGCCACGGCGAGCATCGCGCCCGCGCAGGCTTGCATCCCAGGCGCGTAGAAAGGCGCGTCTCGATCTGGGTATAACCTCGTCCCCACAAGCGGACCGCATTGCCCGATAATCTGCATCAGGGCGAAACCCCCGCCCTGCCTGCTCTCGGACGCCTGGTTGTTGATGCTCCATGCCACGGTGAGCGTCACGACGTTGAAGAAGCCAATGGCTGCCGGGTACACTGCGAGATACCGCATCAGCGGCGAGAGACCGATGGGTTTTGCTAGTGCGAGCGCGGCGTATCCGCCAGCTGACGCGAGGGCGTGTAGTACGATGGGAATGGACCGGGTTTGCGCGCGATCCGATAGACGTGCCGTCAAGAGTACGGCGAGAAAGGCCAGAAAGTACGGAGGCGCGCTAAGCCCTTGCGATGCGAGGCGAGAGTGGCCCATCTCGGTGAGGATCTTGGGCAGGAATACGGGTAGAGAGGAATACGCCATGTTGGTGAGGAAGAACATGGCCGCGGTGAGCAACGCCATGGGATCGCACAAGACAGCAAACACTTCACGAATGTTGAGATTGCTAGAGCTCTTGGCCCCATGTTTCTTCTGATTCGGCTTCTCGCGTCCAAGTCGAAGGCGGGCCACCTTTTGCTCCCGCGCAGTGAGATAGCGGGCCGTGTCCGGGCTATCAGGAATGATGTGCCATGCTGCCACGGCGGCGAGAACTGATGGGAAACCCTCGACGAGGAACAAGAGACGCCAAGGGGCTATGGGGCCAGACTCTGCATAGTTGGTGATGAGCCAAGCCAAGGACGACGCGAATGTAGTTGCTAACGGTGCGGCTGCTCACAATCAGTCGGTTGGAACCGTCGTCTGAAGTGACATGATACTGACCAGAGATAAAAATAGCGGTACGAAATGCCAGTTCCTCTCGCTTGAAAAAGAAGGATAGGTAGAACGGTATACCTGTGAAGCCGGCCTCCCCAATGCCCAGCAACACCCGAAGGAAGATGAGTGTAGGATACGAGACGGAGACGGACTGTAGCGAAGCAGTCAGTCCCCACGAGAGGACAATCATGGAGACGTAGATATGCGCAGGGATGAGCTTCCACAGCAGTGACATCCACTCAAAGAAGATATACGAGATGTAAAAGGCCGTCAAAGTCCACTCATACCAACCGTCCCACGGAGGATTCGTCTGCAGATCCTCGTCCATACCGGCTATGCGCGCATTGCCAATGTCTACAGAGGAGAGCTCGTCAGTAAGTTGCAATATCACATGGCTGCTGGCTGTTTCAAGATATGCCATACTGGATCGATCCAAGAAACTCAGCATAAATAGCAGCGCTACAAAGACCACCAGCTTTCGGTCGTGCTTGCGAACAACACACCTCTCCTCGTCAGGGGTGTAAAGCTGGAAGCTCGCGACGGTGCTGGTGCTCGCTCTTCTCCGTAGCGACGGCGCTTCATCGCCCCATCCGTCATCAGTATCCTTTGCAGGCGATGCCCTCAAGCTCTTGAGCTCGTAGGCCTGGCCGCCGCCAAGCTGTGCCTCGTGCAAACGCAAGTCCTCGGCATCCTCGTCGTCGTCGTCGTCCGGGTCGAGATCGAGATCGCTGTCGAGGCTGAACTCGGCCGTGGTCTGCGCAAAAGACGGTGACGCTTCGCCGGTGCGATTTGAACGGCTAGGTGTGTGAAGCCTCGAAGATTCAGCCATTATGACAGGAGGAGTAGCGTCATGCGTCCCGTAAGAGTCGAGGACGCACGATCACCAAGGGGTACGCTCTGCAGAATAAGAATATTCAAGTCATGGAATTGGATAATGTACGAATGCTTGGCTCGCAGGCCGTGGTCCGCAATGAACGCAGGTGTTCGTTCCGCCGCATTGAAGGTGGGCGTTGCCGACGGAGCTAGCTTGAGATTGGTGTCTTGGAGGAGCGAGCTGGGCGCGTTGCTGCTAAAATATGTGGAACGGTGAAAGGATGCTCGAGAGAGGTCCCACGACCAGTGACGTACCTTAGCAAGCTGACCCCTGCTCTACTCCAGCTATTAGTGGAAGGGAAAGCTGGGGATCCTCCAAGGTGTCACTGCGGCTGGGTTTAGCGGATTGCGGGTTGCAGGTGATGGGACGATGTGCGGCAAGATATTGAAGCAAACGGGGGGAAAAGGTGAAGACTGTGATAATCTCCTTTCCTCTCTTCTTCCTCTCCTTGTCTGTTTTCGATAAAGTATTCAATTATACAAGCAGACGCCTTCGCTTTGAAACCGTGTCTACTACATTGCCGCGTGGGCGTGCGGCCGATTCGCTTAAAACGGAGGATGCCGTGGCGTGTCATACCCAGACAGCACACGGTACATTGGTACAAATACAGCTTCAGGTCGTGGAGAGCTGCCTCGAGGACGCTCTCCATTGAGCGTCTAATAAATGACATGGATCATCGCCCATTCTTCCCGAATATTCTTCTGAAGCCGCCTCTCTATGGATCATCGCCCTTCTTCCCAAATAATCTTCTGAAGCCGCCGCCCTTGGGTGTCTTTGGCCTAAAGTCCATTGAAGGTTTGTTTTGTAGTGTTGGCGTCTCCTTTTCCGTCCAATTGCCAAGCATGTTGGGATGTTGGGGAAGTGTGCCGTAAGGCAGACCCGCCTCCTTTGGTGAGAGCTGTTGCGGCGACATGGCTGTTGCGAACTGACTCGCTGGTACACTCGACATGTACTCACGGGGTGATGCCCCTCCTCTCGACGTTGAAGGGCCTGCACTGCGATCGCGGGGCCGGGGTGTCGCGTTTTCAGCCTCCCTTTCCAACTCCTCTTGTTCCGCCCTTGCCGCACCCATGTCTTCGGGGAAATCGCGCACCTCGTCGCCGCATACCACAATGTACCAGCGAATATCCTCTCCTCGTTGAAGCTGATCTCTCAGCTTCTCGAACCAGCCAGCCTTCTTCCCTGACGAGCTCTTCTTGGCCTTGTAGAATTCATCGCTAGGGGCGCTAGCCATCGCCTTGGTCTCGCTCAATCGTTCTTCGTACCGCATAATCTCCTCCGTTATTGAGTTGCTTAAATCAATGCGTACTACGTGGTCGGCAACGTATGCGTAGGGGCGGCTGACGTAGCTCAGGTCAGTCGGGTCATATTCCTCGAGCAGCTTGACAGCACTCCAATCGTTTTGCAAGACGTCATCCTCCTCTGGCGGCACGGTCGAGGCTGGGACATCGTATTCGTTGCGCAGTGCGGCGGCTTTGGATGCCTTGGACTTGTTCCGCTTCTTCTTGTCACGTTGGGCCTCGGTTTCGTCGGGTATGGGCTCGGGGAGGAAGTCGAAGAGAGAGTAGAAGGACTCGAGGATGGCGGGAGACGAGTTTGGCGCAATGATCCATTCGGGGGCGGCATCGTCAATGTTTTGGACGACGACAAAGACGCGGATGCTTCGACGATCCCAACGAAAGCCGTGGCAGAGGTAGGTAGGCATTGTGGGTAGTCGCGATAAAGCTTGGGACGGTCGGGGAGGGGTTGTGGAAGATAGGACGAAGCGGTATGTGGCGGGGCCTAAGCAGGTAGCTCAGGGGGAGACGGGAGCGATAACGAGCGTAGATCGGTGGAGAGCTCCGAGCTGGGGGGGGGTTGGGGGTTAGATGAGAGCTCCTTTTGCCAAAGTCGGGATCGAGTAACGTCGTCGTCGTTCGCGGCGTCGGGGTGAAGAGATATGTTGTTGGCTGAGGCGAGCAGGCTGGACGAATTAGACAGCCCAAACCCGCCAGAGAGGTGGAAGAGGCGTAGCGGGTGATGGGTGTCGTACGTCCTATGGAGAGGCGCGTCAGGGAGTACAAGTCCCGAGACGGGATGGAGCAAAAGTTGGAGATGGGAGAAGCTGGCAGTCTGAAAGATAGGGGTCAGGTGTTGTTGATTGCCGGTTCGACGGTAAGTTGAACGGTACGCAATGCATTATTCGAGCTGTGGCCGAGGAAACATAGCTTGTCGCATCGCACGCTGGGCTGCGGCGCACCTGACGCCCAACGAATTGTTGCTCCTGGGGGGGGGGGGGGCACGAAACAAAGACTGGGGACCTCGAAAGCGGCGTAGCCTGTTGGAAGGTGAAATTGGAAAGGCGACTTGTGAGTGGCCACAAGTCAAAGGACAAAGTGCAATTCGGGGCGAGAAAAGCAAAAAAAGAAGGGCAACATCAGGCCAGGCGAAGAGAGACAGCGAGGCGTGAGAGGAATGTCGAGAAAGTGAGAAGGGAAGCTGAAGGTGACTGACTGGGAGCTGTGGTGCTGGAGGGAAGGGACGGGAAAGAAAATATGCCAATAAGAAATGGCCGCCCAGGATCTGGCAGGCGCCACCACCCGGGACGTGTGGCCGAAAGAGAGAGCGTGAAAATACCTTAATAATGGAAGTGAGAGAGCAGAAGTCTTTTCTTCTGGAATTGCATCAACTGTATGCTTCCTCGAAGAACCTTCCTTACCTGCCTTTTCTCACAGGCTCAAGATTCTGGGGGCTGTCTATGCTCCGATGGAGATCATGGGGGCTTAGCCATGGTCCATGGAACACGGGAACAGGTCTGCAATGTCCAGAAGAAGGCTGCTAGCGCTTTCAAGTGTGCATCAGATGTCACTATTCCTGTGTCCATCCATCCTCGGTTCAATTCGATCGATATTAAAAACAAAGTATATGCCAGCAACGTATTCTCCAGACTCGCAAGACTCGGTATGTAACCATGTATTCACTTCGTACACGTACCTACGGATAGAGACAGACAAGATCTTCACAGCAATGCTCCGTACGGATAGCTATGACATGCATGAAACTAGGACCCCGGAGCTGTTTCCCGACCCTGAATCCCCACGACCTCCAGTCGCAGGCAATTGCTGGCTTTAGGTAAGCAATTAAGGCCCACCCGGCATGCTACCTCACTCTTCCTTCTTGCCTTCTTGCAGCGTGCAGCGTGCAGCGTGCAGCGTGCGGCTTGCCTCAATTCCGAGCTGAACCTTGGTTGCTTTTGTCAGTTGCAACCGAGGTTTGAGTTGAAGTATCTGCAGGAACGACGCACTAATAGTTGTGTTCCTTCCTTATGTTACCTTAGGACCCAACTTAAGTTGTTGAGACGACAACTCCAATAAGGTACGCCGTTTACGAAACCGAGACTCTGTAACCAACATCAACAAAGCGATCAATCTTGCCTTTACATTCCATCTCAACACAGACAAGACAATTACCTTTGACACAACCTTCAACCTTTGGCCAACTTGCGAGGCATGCCAGACAAGCCTCAAAAGCACTCGCATTCGAACCCAAACCACCGGGGGCCGATCAACAGCCACAACATGATTTGAGATTCGCGGATGGGGGCATACGTGTTCAGCACAACTCTACTGACGGCACGGGTTTCAAGCCGTCTTGAAACTGGCCAGAGGGAACCAGAAAGCTTAATCCCTGCCCCCGGGGTGCAGTCCACATGTAGGCGTCCCGAAGCACTCGTATCCAAGTTCGAACCGGCGGGGTAACAAAACGCAGTCTCTCGCGGTTCGCCTTGTCATGTCACTGTCTAGTCTATCTCGCGCGCCGCTCCCGACGACAGAAAGCTGTCAAGAAGCCCGGCTGAAACTTCATCCCTCCCGGGCCGAAGCTCACATGCGGCTGCGGCATCGCGCGCACAGTCTCGACATCTCTCGGATGTTGTAACAGGATCGCGGGGTAAATTGGTCTTTGGCACACAGTGGTATCCGTGTGTAATATGATCAACGGCAATGATGACTGAACACCAAGGTGCCATGTCTTGATCTGCTACATGGATGCCAAGGTAGTCAGTCTATGTACTTCATCGTAGCTTTCATCCCATCACTTGGCTTGCCGATCACCAAAGAGTAACACACCCCACAAACGCCGCTCCGAGCAGCAGCAACAGATTCGAAGCTACGCCAGCCGCCGCACCTGACGCCGCACCAGTCGTCGTACCAGCCGCCGTACCAGCCGCCGTGCCCGTTCCGGTACCAGTTGCCGTACCAGTTGCAGCCCCCGTCTCCGCAGGCAACGACGAACTTGACCTCCCAGTGATAAGAGACCCGGTATAAGGCGCAGGGCTTGTGAAGGGAGAACACGTTCCGGTCGCCCATTGAGAACTCAGAATAGACATCAGAGCTGTAGCTTCCCAAGCCCCAATATACTCGGTTTCCGTGAGGATTCGGTGAACCGCCTCGACCTTGTCCAACCCTGCAGTAATGGCCACAACAACAGAGTGTGCTTCCACGAAGCACGTATTGACGGGCAACTCCTCGTCCATAGTCCCGGTGCTGAGTGATGGGGTCGACGTTGATACGTGGCACCGTCCGTACTGATCCGAAAGCACATCGCCGCCGCCGCCGAGGCGGCAGTCCCAATATTTCACGATGCCGGACGTGGCCTTGTTGCTTCCGACCCAACTGGAGCCTTCGATGTGGGTGACGTTGGCCGGCCAGTAGCCCTCCTTTTGGCACGCCGCATCAGCTGTCGGACACACGACTTGGTAGGTTGCCGTTGACCTCTCGTACGCAACGACAGATGCTTCGAGACTCCCGGTCGGATGGGTGTCATAGATGAAGAAAGCTCTAGCGGATGATGTAACTCGAAGGGCTTTTTCGCTGGAGGTCGATGTCGCGGTCGTTTGCGCGTTTGCAAGAGCCAACATCGCCGAGACGGCGGACAGGAGCGACGACGTCTTCATTGCTAACGGAAGGATTGCTTCCAGCGCGAAATGTGACAGAGCCGGGCGGAGGCAGTTGTAAGTTGCTAGTGTTGACTTGCACAGGAGAAACTAAGCGCAGGGCGACGGACCGGCCTCCTTCTTGAACAACTCTCCAATGAAGCTTGGCAAAACTGTTGGCTGCGACTTTCAGTGAAGTCTGCCTTGAACCAACGGGGGTCGCGAACCGAAAGGGACTTCTGCGCGGAGGAGGGTATTCTTCCAGCCATTAGGAAGACTGTGCCTGACAGGGGCCCAATGTAAAAGGTGCAGGACCAAGAACTTAATTGAGATATGCTCATGGGGCCGATGGTGAAGGAAGAAACCCGATAAGTGTGGATTGATATTGAGGTCGTTCCGGCTGATCTCACGATACCAGTTTCAAAAGACGTTGACAGGACGCATCCATATTGACCCAACTTGCGACTTGCAAGATCAGACACAGGCTTCTACTCTCGATGACTCTGAAAGAAAAAAATGGTCTATCACCAAGTGATGTCCTAAGAACTTACTTAATAACTGTGGGGGGGGGGGTAAAAGTGTCACTGCGATATCCATGGCTGCTTGTGCCGTTCAAGTTTGTCTACGGTCAAGGAAAATCCTTAGATGATCTCGTCTAGATCATCGGAAAAGCTAGGCAGGGTAGACACCAACAACAACAACAACAATAGGAATAATGGCTCTGGGTTCGTAGCGGCACAGCCTCTGCCGCTGCTGTGCCGCAGAATTACGAGAAATGAGAACAGCTCGCCTCGTCGTCTTGCTCACATCAGGAGGGGAGGTTGCCCTTTCATTATATCTCTGGAATCAAGCTACTCTCGGCTGGGTTGAGCCTATGGCCGAGCTCCAATTCACAAAGTCCTGCGTAAAGACTACTCCGTAGACAGAGATTTACGAGAATCCCTCGGCGGAGACGACCATCCTTTCTCCCCCGATCCGATGCGGATGTTCAAATCCTCGTGATTAGTGATTCTCCTCTATTCGCGAAATTGTGGTCTGCCTGGCGTTTAATAAACCCCCGGTAGCTCCAACAGCAGGCGATTGGACGGCTGCTTCGTACAGCTGAAAGAAGCTTAATCGGGCCGCCGGGGCTATCCTGCTAGAGGTAAGGCGAGCTCAGGCCAAATCTCTCAGGGCCATCCTAGAAGCTCTTTTTTCGCTCTTTTATTTCTTGACCATCGTCTTTCTGTCTACCACAGACCGCTCAGAATTGGGTCCTGGGAAGACCTTGGATGCCTGCCGGTTCATCAACACGTCTGTCAACGAAAAGCATCAGTTACAGATCGATCTGGGCAATTTCAAGACTACAACATGCAAACACTGCCTGCGGGCGTTGATGGACCATTACCCCCCCCCCACCCGTCCAGGTCGGCGACTACAGGGTATCGTGTGTTGATCTACTCCCCCTTTCAAAATTTCTGCATCTCAATGCTGAGCAGAAAACTCCATCTTTTGATTCCGGACTTGAGTGCGTCTGAACGGCACCCCCCTGTATTTTAATCGGCCACCCACTAGCAGCGTCCACAACCAAAAACTATACAAAAATCGGCCGTACACGCTCCGATAGTGGCCCACCTCCCCCACTACCTAAAGCCGTCCGTACTAATATCTTCACCTTTTTCCAAGTTTTACCTTTAAAACTCTTTTAAAATTCAGGAAATATCTATAAAACAATTCTACGAAAATTACAACCTTTATAAAATAGAGTTAATTATATAATACGGGTTTAGATTAGTGGTTAGGGTTAGCGGTTATGGTCAGGGCTAGGAATTAGACGTAGGGTATGTGAATTTGTGCTTGTGTTTTTTGTTAAGCAGGGGAGGGCCGATTATAATTCAGGGGGGGTTGCCGTTCAGACGTACTCCCGGACTTCTTCAACATCCGAAGGAAAGCCTGCAGGTGATAACCCACAACGACGGAGTACGGAGATACAGTTCCACCCTTTGGCCCAGAGATAGAGATGAAGATAGCCTTTCATCTCCCCCCTTGGTCTACGGTCTCCATAACGAACGTGGTCACCACACCAAACCGGCCTGGCAACATGGGGCGCCCATGCTCTCAAGCAGCGCGAGTTCCTGAGTAAACGGGCGGGCGAGGCAGCCCAGACAGAGATGGTGGTGCGGCGTGCCACCTTTCCGTCCACGGGAAGGGCTTGCCGCTTCAGCCCTCTTGCTAAAAACAATACCAGACGCAGTAAGGCGCCGCAACGGCGCGGTTGGACTATGTGTGTTAGCCCGTCCCTTTCATCCAACCTTCTGATATTGGACCCTTTTGCTGGCGTCTACCTTACTTTATACGGATAACCCGTCTTGGACAAGCCATTGGGTTTGACGTTGACGAGATGAAGAACCTCTAGCGGCCGTCGACAATTGACGACTGTACGGATACGCTGCAGCGTTGCAATAGGCAATCAACTGTAACCTTCAAAAATTCAAGTTCAGCCCGCAGGCCCGCAGGCCCGCAGTTTCCCACAAACCCCTGTTATTGGGTAAGTCGAACGTGGTAGCAATGTAGCATCCATGGGTGGCCCTTGTCAAACTGTGTCCCACTGCTGGTAAGCACTAGCAACCCGGAGAGCAGAATGTCGTGATGCTCATTACTGACTTGGCAATCTCTCTGCTTTGTCACCTTTGACTATACTGCCTCATTGGTTCCTTTCCACGGATCAAGTTGCTCTGGGAAACCATTGATGCCAATCCATGAGGTCAGTATCCTTTTGAGGCAGGTTTTCCCCTCCTTCTTGAGAGAGAGAGAGAGAGAGAGAGAGAGGAGGAGGGCCTTGATACATATATTCTGCCCATCTCGTACCCGAATAATGGATAAGCAGAAGCGCATAAGAGCTGCCTGGGGCGATCCGCTCGCCTGCATGGTATCATTAACGCTTGTCTCTTCCCGCGCAGAAGACGTATCCGTGCCGAACACTTCGTACGTGTGGCCAGAAATCACAAACATGTGTCTTTGCTGCGCCCAGCTCCCATTCTCCCAAGGGGCAACGGCGCACAACCGCTCATGTCAAGCTTTCGTGGCTGGGTCTTTGCACGACTTTGGGTGTGCTCCATCGCGGCTAACCCATGCGAAGGAAGCGCGGGCTGGACCTAGGTATTTCACACATTACGGAGTACACTACACGCTTTCGTTTCTTCCGCCCAAAATCCCACGAACCCACGGCAAATTTGAGACGAGAGGTTTTAGCGCCCACGGTAGGCAACTGGAACCCTGTAAGGCTTCAGCCCGTCAGCTCAATCATCAATGATGGTTGGTCCCGTTTGAAAAGTTTCTTCTTCCTCACCTTCTTCTTCCTTCTCCTCGCCCGTCAGCCATCCACCGCCAGGGCCTGCGGTGGTCTCGACCCCGTTCTCCGGGACCCCTGCAATATCTATCTTCTGCGGATACGCGAGTTGTGTGGTCGATTCAAGGATTGGGATCCTGCCCCGTGCTGGCCGCCGCCCCCCCCCCTCTACTAGTGTAGCAAGCTAGCCATGCCATGCCCTGCTCACTTTCACAATCTCACTCTCACCTTTCGACCAGACGTTGAAGAGAGTTCCAACCATCAGCCCAAAGGATGGGTAACACGGGGGCCCTTTGCCTGGGGTCAGATTTTACTGCAACGCTAGACTAACATGTCTTTCCACCCGTGGCCACTCCAGCTCCTTCGTTGATCTACCTCCTGCTCCTCCTCCTCCTCCTCCTTCTCGATCCCAGCTCGTGCTTCTCCCGTCCCGCACCTTGTCCAATCCTTCCGGCTCTTTTCTGGTGCCTGTCTGTCTGTCTGTCTGTCTGTCTGTCTCTCTCTCTCTCTCTCTCTCTCTCCCTCGCCTCTTATGAGTACGGTCAAGTACTTAAAAATGGCTCCCAGGGTAAGTTCCCCGCTTGTTTGCTTCCCTCCCTCCTCTTGGCTCTTCCTTTCTCTCGGTTCTTCCCATCTTCTCTGGTTGCTCCGTTCCAAAAAGCCTCGACCAAAGATCCCGAGTCTTCGATCCCATCACAAAGAGACTAAATCATGGCTACAACACAGCAGCAGTACGATGAAGGCCCGGAGCTGGCACCTCAGCACCAGTACCCCGAGGTCTACCACCCACCTCCCCAGCAATCCTACTCCGCCTCGCCACAGCCGGAACCCGTCACGCCGATGAAGCAGGAGGGCTCGACGTACGGGTACCCGGCCTCCGGCGTCGACCAGTCCGTCTACGGCGGGGAGACCGCCGGCGCCGGCGCCGGCGCCCAGCAGAAGAACAGGAAGACCGTCTGCGGCTGCACGTTTCTCGTCTTTCTCCTCTCCGTCATCATCGCCGTCTTGGCGGCCGCCGTCATCGGTCTGGCGGCGGGCACCGGCGTCGAGGCGAGCCGGGCGAACAACGCGATCCAGGAGCTGGCGGCCATGTCGGCGTCGGCGACGAGCGGCGGGACGACGGCGACGACGACGGTCACGGTCACGAGTGCCTCGGCGACGGCGACGGGGTTCAACGCCCTCACCAACGGCTGCACCGACTCGAGCGAGACGACTACGGGCCAGACGTACACGACTGACTTTTTCGGCAAGAAGACGTTCACCATGTACTGTAAGTTTTGAGAATCAAATCTCCTCTCGCTTTTTTTTATTTTATTCCTCTCTTCTCATCTATACTTTTGCACGACTTTGCTGACACGCCCACCTCAAAGGCAACAAAAACGCGCCCAACTCGCCATTGATGTCCCTCTTCACGGCAAACTTTGACAACTGCATGGACGCCTGCGCGGCCTTTACAAACTACGAGCCCGGATTCGAGGGCAACGCCACGTGCGCCGGCGTCAGCTTCATCCCGCTGTGGACGACGAGGGAGGGCGCCGTCGCGGGATCGGCGCCGGGCAACTGTTACCTCAAGCCGGGGAACCAGACCAAATCTGGCTTGGAGACGCCGAATATCGGGACCGAGTGCCACGCTGCCATCATGAGCTGATTGTTGATGTCTTTTCTGTAATAATTAATGAAAAGAAACAAAATAGTCCCAGGCCCTCTCACTCAATTTGGGGTTTTTTATTTTTTATTTTTATTTTTTGGAGCTGTGATGAGCTTGGGTTTTTGGCGCGTGGCGTCTTTTTTTTTTCATTCTATATACCACTTTTGTTGGAAGAAATATTACGTGTACTATTTGAATACACATTTTTGGGGCGTCAAAAGGATATATATAGCATGTGGACTGGGCAGAGGTACCTGCCGTGAAAGTCAATGGCATAGGAGAATCTTTCCTTTCAGCCGCTGTGTCGACGCATGTTTTTCTGCGATGCTCTACATGCAGTGTCCATATTTCACGCCTTGGCTGGGCTTCAGGGGGCATTGAATCAATTGAAGCGTTCAAATGAGCAATGATACAGGCCGCGATGAGGGTGCTAGGACTACTATTACTCGGCGCAGAAGATCGAATGTGAGCGAGTGGGAAGTGATTATGAGACTGTGACTCTCGAACGTGAGAATGGGCAAGATTTCGGAACGGCTCAGATGAGGCTCACTGACAGGACATCAACAACGCGGCATCACAGTCAGGAAGACGACAACCTCGGGAACTCTAACCAGCACATTTACTACGACAGTAGTTCTCGTACGAATCGTCTTTTCGCGGGTTCCGTATACAAACCCAGGAGCTCATCATGGTTTCCGGCCAATTTGCTTATCGACATCACGATCGGCCATTGTGAAGCTCCTCATGAAAAGTATTCAGCTTCCATTTCACCGTTTACTCGCCTGAGTTGTCGTTGAGGTGGAGGGAGGACCCAGGGAGATTTGTAATGAGCACAAGTAGCGACTAGAAATAGTCGAAGCTTTCAATTCATCTGACCCAAATAGGTTGTGGTTGTGGCTTCGAATTTCGTTGCGTCGACAGTGATCATGCTTGATTGATGATCATCGTGAGAGCTGAGATATGGTACCAGAGTGCGGGTTCAGATATCTCTATACTTTATTTATAAATGAAATCTTTTGTGTTGTTATCTTTGAATTGATGCTTCCTTATTTGGTGGTCCCTCTTATTCCAGACTCTTTCGTCGGACGCTATCCCTCACCATTCCTTCTTGAGAAGAGCTGAATTCCCGAAACTGGCCATCTCGTGGGCGATTGAGAGCGAACATTCTACTTAGTTAGCATGTGAGAAGCAATCACTCGAGCTAAAACAATTAGGTGTTGCTGAAACGGAGTTGCACTTGCCCTTGTTAGAACATTCCGACATGGGTCTATCAAATAATTCCCCATTTGCAGGTGATAGTGCGATCCGCACGCAGGCGAGCTGAACGAGCACCCCGGCGTGGCCGGTCTCAGCCCAGGTCGACATTGACGTGTAATGGCTTCATCAGCTTCATCGCAAGCCGCCACTGAAAGGTCTAGATTCATAGTAAAAAATAAAAAAAAATAAAAAACCCGAGGAAACGAGTGCAGATTCGTACTTGTCTAATTGCGCTCGCAGTCGTTCCCACGTAGATAAAATGACGGCCCGATCCCTCGACGAACTCACCAACGAGCGACTTAACCATCATCTCCTTCTCATCGCATTTGCAAATACCGCCATACAAACCTCATCATGGTTGGATCCCCTGCCACTAAGCATCCCAACGGCGCCCGCCTCCTTGCCCTCGACGGAGGCGACGTCCGCGGCGTCGTCTCCCTCCTCATCCTACAAGAACTCATGCGCCGGATCCAAGTGAGAAAGAAGCTGGAAAAGGAGCCTCTCCCCGTGGATTACTTTGAGCTCGCAGCCGGAACCAGCACGGGCGGCATCATCGGCATCATGCTGTTCCGACTCCGCATGACGGCCACCGAGGCCATTGCGCAGTACGACATCATCGCCGAGGACGTCTTCAAGCCCAAGATCTACGGTTGGAGCATTGGGTTCCTCGGAGATACGCTCTCGTCCTGGGTGAGTAACAGCAAGACCATGGTGCAGAGCAGTCGTTTCGACGACGCGTCCTTGATCACCGCCATCAACAGAGTTGTAGATCTTCACGGCTTGGATAAGGACGACAAGCGGTTGAAGGGGGAGGCTCTGCTTCAGCACCCAGCGGCTGGCAAGTTGTAAGTTGAAGAAAGGCCCCTCATGAGGCCCCTCCAGACTACGTCAAATTTTCCTAACAACTTGAATCATTAAAGGCTTGTGTGCACGACGGCCCAGAACAGAGGAGAAACGGTCCTGATGAAGACGTACAAGAACACAAACCTGTACACCAGCTCGACAGTAAACAACCTCATGAAGAGCCACGGAGACGAAATCACAATGAGCCTCGCGACGAGGGCGACCTCCGCCGCCCCGACGTACTTCCCCGAAGTCAAGTGGCCCGCGGGCGCAGAGAAGCCGCTCACCTTCTGGGACGGAGGTCTCTTGAACAACAACCCCGTCGATCAGCTGTGGAACGCACGGTACGACCTCGTCCAGCCGGGCGAGGCACAAGAAGAAGACGAGGAGCCCAGGATCTCGTGTGTGATCAGTCTCGGTACGGGCTACAACAAGACCGAGTCGCCGAATGATTCTTGGTTCCGGCTCACGGGGGTGGCGGCGACGGTGATGGCGTTTGCTACGAATACGGAGGCCAAGGGGAAGGACTTTTCGAGGCATATGGCGGCGCTTAATGGTAGGCAAAAGGGGGCGAAGACGGCGTATATTAGGTTCAATCCGACGCTTGGAGAGAATAAGATTGGGCTGGCGGATTATACGCAGATGAAGTTGTTGAAGAAGCTTGCTACAGATTATATTAAGCAAGCCTCTGGGGATAAATATTTCGAGCAAGCGGTTGATGCGATTTGCTGCTAGGTTTAGCCTGCAGAGAATTAGAAACGAAGCTGGATTTGAACCATTGATAATATATCGTACTTCCAGTATGGACACAACCCAATGTAGTTTCATCACGCTAGAACGCATCACAAGGTAAGGCAGGCTGATTCGATGCTAGAATAATGGTTTGAGGGAACAGTCACGCCCAAGTTGATTTGGCTCTGAAGATAGACTAGATGACGATACTAGTCCACAAGTTCCCTCGATCCGTCCTCACCACTCGTCTCCCCCGTTCCGACCCGCCGCAATCACCTCCTGCTGCAGTCGTGATCATCCTTTTTCTCCTTCCTGCGTTCCGTCGTCATTTCCCGCCATTCCATAGCATACACTGCGTGTGTTGCTGCTATCCAAACGTGAAAAATGAATTCCGAACGCTTGTTGACAAATAAAAAGGGAATTCGTCTCTAAATAAATAAAAAACACCCGTGTTGAAACTCCTTACTCTCTGGTTTGTGTGGTTCTCCCGGACCTTTTCTTCTCGTTGGGGAAAAGAAACATGTGGTCCGTTTGTATGGGGGGGGGGGGGGGGGGGTATCGTTGAGATATATGCATTTGCTCCGTTGCTTTCCCTTCCTGTCCGTTTCCGCTTCTCCTTGACTTTTGGTGTGTGGTGTCATTTGTGTGTTTGGTTTCACCTCATGCATTTACCGCTTCAATGCCGTGGATGAAAACGTGCCCACCTGAAAAAAGTTTTTTGTTGAAAAAACAAAGTTGACCCCCTTTTGCCCTGTTGAAAACGCCGCTCATGATGCATACTTAAGTAAATAGTAGTAAAGGGGGTGTGTTAAACACAAGTCAGAATGAATCGTTCGTTAGTTAGTTCGCCGCAACTGCGGCAGGAGCGCTGCCGTTGGTTTGTTGTTCCTTGGCGGCTCCATTTGTCTGAGGCTCAGCCGGAATGTCGCTGTATTCCTTGACCTCGAGGCCCTCGAGCAAGTCGAAGAGAGCCGTCTTCTGGTGGAAGTCGTTGTTCACTGGATCATGTTAGCATTCTTGTTCGACACGTTCAGACTGACGAGCAGGACTCACCGATGTTGATGAGGTACCAGTCGTTCATGATACGCTCGACAAGGGTTCTGCTGGGAGACCCAGCCTCGAAGCAGTGTGCCCAGTCAATACCCAAGCGGAAAGCCTCATCCTTCCAGGCCATGAAGCTGATCCCCTCGACAATGGTGGGCTGGACAATCTCCTTGCCCGGGAAGACACCCCATGTGACGGCGTTGGGGCTGTCGTTTGAAGCATTGTACTTCAGGTTGCCATTCTTGGTGGTGGCGTAGTAGGTCATGTCAGGGTTCTTCTCGACGCGGGCAACGATCTCATGGTACACATCGGGGTGGACGAGGAGTTCGAGGTAAGCCTTCTGGTAAACATATCCGTTTGCCGGTCCCCAACCGTGTACTGGGTGGGTTGACTTCACGCCGTCGACGGCAGGTTGAGAGTTGATGGTCAGAAGACCACGCTTGTTCAATCCAATGAGCTCTTCGCGAATAGGATCAGCTTCGCTTGTGAGAGGTGCCTCACTCCAGGGCAGGGAGTCGAGCTCCGTCTCAAGGTATCGGACAAAGATGTTGGCGATGTCTTTGACTGACTTGGGCTCGCCCCACTTCTTCCTGTTTTGCTCGTTCGTACCGGTCAAGCCAATGCCGTAGGCATCCAGCTCACCAAAAGCGGGAGACCGAGAATCACCCCAGCGTCCGTTGGGGAACTCGTCCCAGTCCTGGGTTCGAAGAACGTAGGACTTGTTGCGCCCCTTCCAGAAGATGGGACGGACATCCTCCTCTCTGCGTCCGTGAGCCAAAGACTGCTTCCAGGGAAGGGCATGCTTCACAGGGCGGTCGCTCGTGGGCATCCATTCGAGCTCCTCGAGAACCATTCTGGTGGCCTGAGCCAGGTTCATGGTGTAGAAATGCAGGTGGTGAATACCGGCAGCGACAATCTTCCGGCACATCTCGGCGACCAGACCCTTACCGACCTCTCTGACGGCAACATCGTCGTTCTTGATAGGCTCCAGAGCCTTCATCCACTCCTCGGGCACCTTGCAGTTCATGTGCTTGGCGCGGCGCAAGAAACTGGAGTAGGTGGCAATGGGCATAATACCGGGGATGATGGGGACGGTGATGCCACGCTCGCGAACCTTGCCGACCCAGCGAACAAAGTTGTCGCCGTCATAGAACATCTGTGTGACAATGAAGGCGGCGCCCTCATCGACCTTCTCCTTCAGGTGGTCCAGCAACTGCTCCTCGTCCTTGTTGTCGTCACAGCCCTCGGGGTAGCCAGCAACACCAATGTCGAAGTGGTCGTGGTAGGTGGCACGAATGTGCTTGACCAAGTCCTTTGCGTAGCGGAAGCCGTCGTCGGTGGCCTCCCACTTCTCGTGCTCTCTCGGGGGATCGCCACGGAGGGCAAGGATGTTGGTGCAGCCGGCCTTGTAGGCCTTGCGTAAAGCATCGTTGACCTTTTCCAGGCCCATGTCTGTGCAAGTCAAGTGCATGCAGGTCTCGAGACCGTAGATGGATTGGGCCTGGAGGACCATCTCGCAGGTAAGCTCGGCGATGCGGCCACCAGCACCCCATGTAATGTCGATGAACTTGGGACCGAAGTGGTACATGCGCTCCATACGATCGTAAAGGTTCTGAACACCCTGAGCCGTCTTGGGAGGGAAGTACTCGAAGGAGAAGGAGGGCTCGCCCGTCCTCTGGGACTCGTCGAGCATAGCCTTGATGTGCATATTGGCGATTGTGTGGGTGGAAGTTTTCTGAGTGGTTCAAAGACAAGGCAGAGATGAACTATGGCCGCCAAAGGGCTCGCTAGAGTCGCCGGGTGCTATAGACAAGCTTGTCAGACTCAATTGACTAAAGAAAGCAAAACAGGAGAGCAGATTGGGGGAGCGGATGGCATGTACGGGAAAGTGAAGCTATTTAGAAGTGGCGTGAAAGTGCCTTGGGCAAGGGAGACAAAGTGGCGGAGAGGCTAGAAGGTAGCGGGGGTGGGAGTGGAATGGCGGGCGGTAAAGTTGGAATGGTGGAGGGGTAAAAAGGCGCGTGTTTAAGGAACGCCAGGAAAAAAAGTCAAGACATTCTGAGGCAAGGGAAATAATAAGTCAAGAACTCACCAAACAATCTCGTTGGCTTAAAGCGTATGGTACGTCTTCTCCTAGCACACCGGTCCCCGGATCTGCGCGGTAGACAAGTTTCCCAGTAGTCCCAAGAAAAGAAAAAAAGAGGCACTTGAAGGAAATTGGTCTTTTGAGGTATGAAGGGGGGAAGAAGTTTGGAAATTTTGCAGCACCGGCCGAGATGTGCTGCTACCTTTGGTCCTAGGAAAGTAACAGACCGGGAAGAAGAAGAGAAGTGACGGAGGGTAAAAGGTACGTAGATACAGTTCCAGACCCCCCCCAGTGCTGGAACCCACGCTCTTGCTGCATCAGAGCTCCGAACAAGGAGGGAACCTAAGCATTGAGAGGGGCCAATGATTGGCGATTGCCCCTCCATTGCGTTGAGGTAGGTACATTTCACTGGGCCTCACTGAGATCCATGATCCATGATCCATCATCCATGGATGGGAGGTACGGATACCGCACCGAGCACCGCTAGTCTTGACTCTTCTATGAGAGTACCTAAGAGTAAGAGCGAGAATGAGAGTGAGAGTGAGAGTGACTCTGAGACTCCCAATGAGTGAGTGAGTGTCCCTTTCCCCCCACCTTACTACCCTCAGTGACCCTCCATCGATGAGGTGATCGTCCCTGCCCTGTGCAACTGCGGGGTGCGGCAGAAAAACTGTCAAGTCCCCGTAAAGGTGCTCACCCTCAGTCTGTAAGGTACGAAACCGTGGTGTTTCTTGAAATCCCCGTCTCAGTCAACTGTGTTCTCATCGCACAAATCAAGGTCGTTGTGTGAGTAAATTTCATCTGTTACAAAGTCTCTTACGGCAAGGACTCACATCAGTGACTGCAATAGGTGTCCTGATGGCATGTGCCTGAGGTGACGAAAGGACCGGATACTTTCTCGCCCGCCTCATCCCTTCACCGCCAGACCGGACGACCTACGTCAGGTACGCTGCACCCTCACAAGTCACAACCCTCTCTCATGCTTCCCCGACACACACATACGGATACGCACACACTAACCAAGCCAGCCGCTTTCGCACCGTGGAAGTTTATTCCAACCAGGGCCTTCCCTTCCCGCCCTTCGGGTCCGTCGTCGGCGGTCGGCCACTTCCAGCCTCTGGCGCCTCTCGCGCTCCACACAAAGCCCACACGTCTCCGACTGTTCGTCCTCCACAAGCCTTCATAGCTCCAAGAAGGGTCCATTTTCTCCAGATACCGCACCCTTCTGCTACTCGATCTTTCTGTGTTTTAGTTTCTACCACGTATCTCGTGATTATACACGGATGGGGGGGGGGGACTGTCGACTACTCTGATTGGCGCATCTGTCGCGGAAACGGCTGGCAAGTTGCAACCCGTTGGCTCAGGTTTCCTCCACTCACTCTCTGAACCAACAAACCGTTTCCCAGAATCTCGGGAAACCGGGAAACCGGGAAAAGCGGGAGATCAAAACACCAAATTCCTTCGCCCAAAACTATAATATAAGTCGCTGCAAAGGCTTGTTGGGCAGTACATCCCGGGAACCCTTTTTCGGAATGACGTCCGTTGGTCACTTCCGCTGCGCTTCAGTCATTCACATGGCACAGACAAAAAAGTCCTGCAAAACGAGGGATGGGATTCTGCGTCATGCCCCTCGACTGGATAAAGTTGGCCCATCGGGAAGCTTTTGATACTAGATCGGGCCATCTCAAAATACCCCCCGTCACACACCAACGGCCAATGTCCCCGAATCAGTGCAACCGAGTCCGACGGTGACAACGGCGCAAAGCTCCGAAGTATTACTTCGTTACACACACGGAGCGAAACATATTGGTAGCACAGCATAGTACGCGCGACGCTTTTTCCAGATCGGCCACTGAGAGCTCACCGGGCCTTTTCCACTCTGTGAAACGTTCGAATTCGGAGTGACTGGCTGACTTGCTCCCCGCATCTTGCTTCCAAGCGAAGCCAATAAGCTCCGGCCAAGCATCTCGCCTTCCGCGACTCCATACACTACCCCGGCCGCCCGTCTACTGCATGTCGCGCATCTAACCTCAGCCCGGTTACGCATGCTTCTTCTGGCTAATTCCTTCGGAGGGAGAGGGAGACAGAGAGAGAAGGAAAGAGAGAGAGAGAGAGAGAGAGAGAGAGAGAGAGAGAGAGAGAGAGAGAGAGAGAGAGAGAGAGAGAGAGATGGGAGTTAGATGCTGATGCCTAGTAAGTCTCAACTCAAAACGGCATTGATAGTGGCAACAGACCTTTCTCCGTCTGGGCGTCAACTATTAGCTGTCCACGAGTAAGTAAGAGAAGATTAAAAAGCTACACGGTCCAGAACGACCCTCAGCAGTGCCAAAGTGCGTGTGCCAATAGTATTGGTTAGACTCTTGATTTGCCTCATAGTCGGTCTACATGCACTCTACACGTCTACAGCCTGCAACACGTCTAAACGGCATCACCCAAATCAACCACACTGCCCGGCCGCATCTGCAACGCCTCAGCACCCCTCAACGACCGCCACCTATTGCTCTGCGCAATAACACTCCTATCAAACAAGAACCACCACCTCTCAAACAGAACCTGACCGACCTCCCAGCACGACGCATCATACGGGTCCCCGCCCCAGATCCGCGCCCCTTCGCTGGAATCCTCCAAGTCGTACGCAAAGTTCACCAAGCCCAGCTGCCCTCGGGCCGCAGGCGGCCTCGCCCCGTCGGGGAGACTGAACAGGTTGATAATCCGATCGCGGACGTCGGGCCAGGGGAGGAAGTCCATGATGGGGTGGTGAGGCACCAGAACCTGCGCCGCCGTCGGCTTCCACGTCGCGGGCAGCTGCTCGACCGGCGTGCCCGTGCCCAGGGCGAACGGCGACGTCGCCAAAGGATCCCACATTACGGACTCGGAGCCCAGGCGCGTGGCTACACGCAGTAGTCCTGTGAGAAGCTTCAGATCGCTCAGGGGCAGGAGGTAGCTATCGGGGAACTCTGGCAGCGAGAGCGATGCGCCGCTGTCCATGAGGGACGCTGGGTCGATGGTTGAAGGCGGGCTGGGCAGGACCGCCATTGCGGTCTCGCCGCCGTCTGGGTTGTTGTTGTTGAACATTGGTGGGTTAGTACCGTACAGCAGCTCCGATATCGAGCTGTCGTCTGAGAGATCGGCTGGCCACGCCGCAGATGCGTCCAGATTGAATCCCACAGTAGCGCCGTTATCCGGATCAGCGTTCACCGAAAGGCGGCGGTCTGCAATCGAGTCAATCGGGTCAATGGCATCAGGAGCAGCAGCAGCAGCAGCGGCTGCTGCCGGAGGAGGAGAGCCGCCGTGGTCGACGCATGTCTCAGACACCCGGCGTTCTGGGCCGTCAGCGCGCCTCTTCTCCTTGGCGAGGCGGTCTTGTTTCTTGCGTTCGCCTATCCTTTCAGGGTTAGTAAACCTGTGAGTCTGTTTTGATGCAGTCGACATGTGACAACGATGCGCCACACCAAAGGACCATGGTGCAGGAGAGTGCACCATGGGGGGAGGCGGTGAAAGACAACGTACGGTATCTGCGCTGGGCCAGGACGTTCAACATCCGCTTCCTCTCCGGTGCGTCTTCGTCAATGTTTGGCACGTCTAGGGTGGGAGGTGCTTTGGGGAGTCGTTGCCGCGTTCTGGGGCGGTTGCTGTAAGTCGTGGGAACCGCCGAGCTCATTGTGCTCCGCTGCCAAGAGGGTTTTCTGTGATGGCGAGGGGTAAGATTGTGATGCTGTCCAGGGACCCCAGGGATTGTTCCAGGTATGAATCGAAGTGACTTATTGGGCTGCAGTGAGGTGATTCGTGGAGAGAAGTGATGATTGAGCTCGGAAGCGGACGATGAGGTGTAAGCATGTCGTTCAGCGATGGATGCCGTACAGTGTCGAAACATGCATTATGTTTCCTGTCTAAGCATAACGGATAGACCCATTGGTGTGGATATCACCTGTTACTTAACAATTATTGTTGAATGGTGAGACTAGTACAGTTTTCGGCACAGTATGCTACTAGTGTCGTCCATGATCTATCTACCAACCTGTACCAAGCCACTTCTATACTAAGGAGAAACCGACACCATCGTAACGCTCTATGCCTACCTCTCCTTGAACATGATGGTTTTGAAACGTAGTACACGCAAAACTCGCTACCGGGGCTTTCCCTCTCGTTGCCTTCGTCTCTGCTAGAGCTGCGAGGAAGACGGGAGGCACCAGACACGAAGACAACCCAAGATAATATCACACTTTCTGACTAGAGACGAGAGCGAAGACAAAAAAAAAAAAAAAAAAAAGGCACAGGGGAAAATGAAATGACCCAAAGACTTCATTATGTGTGATGAGATTTTTATATTGGGTATACAAGTTGAAAATCCAACAATAGCAACCAAACTCCCGCCATCTCATTTCCGTGATTTCGTTCCGTTTGCTTTTTTCTTTTGTCAAAACCCGTTGAAAAACCGGGCGTTCTACATGTGCTTTTCTTTTCATATTATAGTCCGTCATTTCGACAGTAAACAACACTGGACGCTTGTCTCCATCGGTTCGTCAATGTCATGTCTGGGAAACGCAGTAGCTGCGTCCCATCACCCGAATGACTAACATGCAGGCCCCGCGCCACTTCCGAAGTCCATTCCCATGGCCATGTCAAGACCCTCCAGGTCGGCCGCACTCAGGTCAAAGTTCATGTCTTGCAGGATGTCGTTCATCTCCGCGTCCGAGAGCGTCAGGTCCATGCCTGAGGATACGGCAGGGGCGGGCGACACCGTCGGGGCGGAAGTCGACGTCGCCGCTGATGCCGATACGGATGCCGGCGTGGGCAGTGGTCGAGGCTGCGGACGAACGAGTACCGGCGCCTGCTGCTGCTGCCGCCCCGGAATCTGGCCCCTCGTCATCATCCACCCCTTAAACTTGCCCAACAAAACAGCATCATCCGCCGCCGTCTCAGTTGACCCCAAAATCACCCGCGCCTTGGCCCGGATCGCCTCGTCATCGGGGAACGACCCCGTCAGACTAATCTCCGACTCGACGAATTTCACCAGCCCGTCCTCGAGCTCGCGCGCGCAAAAGATGGTGGCCGGTTTCGGGTACCGCGTCTTGAACGTCTCGAGGTACTTGTTGGTGATGCTCGAGTCAGTCTGGAAGAACTTGATGTTGCGGATCGGCACCTCGGTCGTCTTCTCGCTAAAGGGCGCCATGTCGCCTTTGGGGAAGGCGTAAGGGGGCGCGAAGCCCGTGCCGCCTTGCTCGAGCGACCATGCGTCGCCGGGCGGGAGACCCGGGCCGGGCTCTGCGATGATGCCGGCGTCTCGCTTGAAGCGGCGGAGCCATTCTGCGTTGTCGGCTGCGGTTTGGTTCCATGGGTCGTCGCTGTAGGGTATGATTAGCACGGTACTTTTGCATTTGGTGTTCTTGGGGTGGACTTACTCATCGTAGAGAATGAGGCGTGCTTGGAGCTGCAGTTCAGCATCTGACGGCGGGTGTCTGTGAGGGTTGTCTGCTGACATGGCCGCCACGGCGTACTTCTTCAGTGTACGCGCCAGACGGCGGTAGCAGTTGGCGTCGTTCAAGAAGAAGGGGCCGGTCTTGACGCCGCGAGGTAGGGCAGCCTGATCGGGTGGCAAGTAAGCCGCGGCCGTGTCGGCAGTCAAGAAGGAAGGGATGCTGTTCAAAGTGTTGGTGGCCTGGAAGCTGACAGGCGAGATACCGGAGCCAGAATGTTGCAGCGATGGCTGGCTCTGGGAGCCGGGTGAGGTGGTCAGAGTCGATCCCGAAGCAGAGGCCGGCTGGTGGCGTTGTCTGAAGGCGGCGAGCCACTCCAAGTTGTCGGCGGCGGTCTGGTTCCAGCCGTCGTCGAATTCGTAAATGACCATCCTGGCCTCTCGCTGTAGGGCTGCGTCATCGGGCTCGATCCCCAAAGCCCTCTGCTTGTCCATGAAGTCCGCCAGGGAGTGCTCCAGTCTGCTGTAGTTGTGGATAGTCGAGTCGATCTTGGTGGTGTCGGTCGATCGCTCATTGACAACCACAATGTCCTCGGTTCTGGGTAGGTGGGCTCGCTGCCGGAAATTGGCGAGCCAGTTGGTCGAGGAGAAGATACACCTTACGAGCCAGCTGGCAATGTGATCCGAGGGACTGATTGAAACCTCCTCGACACGTCCAACAATCTCTGCCGCCGTTTGCTGCAGCTCATCATCCATAGCGGTGAGGCCCAGTAGCCTCTTCGCTCTGACGAACTCGTGAAGCTGGTTTTCCAAAGGACAAGTCTGGAAAATGGTATCTTTGGAGGCTAGTTTCAGGGAAGACAGTCTGTTCTCAGCCGCTTGACGTATAGGACCGTATTTGGCTGATAGTTTGACGTCCTCATCTGACATGATCAGATCACGCAGCCAGGAGAATTCGGATGAGATCTCTCTGATCGACAATATTTCAGAGGCGAAAATGATACGACAGGCTTCCAGCTGCATCTGGCGATCGTCCGGGAGGGTCTGGTGCTTATCGTAGTGGTTCTGCATAAAGTATGCCAGCTCGATTTTGATCAGCTCGTACGCGTTGCGAGGGGTCTCGGCTGGGGCGCCACTGGCTTTGTACGGATAGGGCGAGTTGCGCTCATTGTCAATGAGATCTGTATTACCACAAGTTAGACTTTGGGAGCTTGTCTACGGGATAGCTTAGGGGTCGGTGCATACATGGCGGGATCGAGTTCTCGACCATCTCGAGCACCGGTGCTTCAAAACCCCAGTCTCCCTTCCAGTCCGCCATCGTATTTCCGTCACTACGGTAATGGTTGGCAATGTGCTCCACTCGCGAACCCCAGCTGTCCAAGACCACACCGCAGAAACCGCATCGTGACCGAATCTCTGGTGTAGCGACCTTCCAGGCCTTCATGGACCAGTCGACGAACTTGCAGTCGTGGACGAGGCGCAAGTGCTGATTCAAATGATCCTTTCGATAGAAGCACCTCTCTTGGAGTAGCCGCTCCTGACACGCAGAATGGTTGTGGCTCTCAATGTGGGCGTTGTCGGGGTTGGCCTCCCCGCAGAACACGCAGGCGAGCTGATTTGTCGCCGGGTTGAGTCCAATAGGCCCGTCAGGAGCACACACCCACCTCTCGAGGGAGAGATGGAGGGACTTCTCGTGCCGTTGCCAGTCGTGCTTGGTCCTGAAGCTTTCGGTACAGAATGTACACTGGAAGGTCTTGGGAGGGGCAGCGAGGGCGGTCTTCTCTTCCACCTTGGTGCCGACTCGCCTCCTGCGGCGCCTACGGCCGCGGTTGAAGGATCCAAAGGACCCGAATGAGCCACGAGAGGCATGGGAATAGGCAGACGCGAACGAGCCACCGCTAGAATGGGAGGTTCCGTGGGAGGTTCCGAGAGAGCTGGCCGAGGAAGCATTGCAGAGAGATTTGCCTGATCCGTCGTCGGTGAAGTTGAAGCTATAAGGGCTCGTAAGACCTTGAAGGAGGTTAGCTTAATGATGCAATGGTAGTGCCTCGGACAGCAATAATCATACCTGATGATGAGGTCCTAGAACTGGATGCAACGGCCATAGCAATGGCAGATACAGTAGCGGGTTCATTTTCAGGCGGGGAGTCGACCCAACGCTCTAGGGGATTCATGTTGCGCACTCTGCCGTCCGGCGCAGGAGTTCCTCGTCTCTGAGGAATGTCAATGGCACCGCTGTAGCTGCGCGGGTGAGGTGAAGTAGAGCGAGGAGCTTGCGTTTTGCCCCTACGACGGGCATTGGCAAGCCAGTTGGTGATCTGGGTTTTGTTGAGGCCAGTCTGGCGCTGAAGCATCTCTTTCTCTTCGTCACTCGGGTAGGGGTGACGTGTGTGGGTGGAGAGCCAATTCTTCAGGATACGGACAGACTCGCGGGAGAAACGAGCGCCTACTTTGGCTGGTGTAGCCGTGTTAACCTGCGCCGCCTCCATGGCAGGCTGGTCGGCTGAGGCGGTCATGCCTCTCAGCGGGTCTGGTGTCGATGTGCTGGGCAGACCAGCAGCGAGAACGTTGTCCTCGAGGGTGCCGCGAGGATGGTCACCCATCGCCGGCCAAGCGTTCAGAGATGACAGGAGGTCCATGTGGTCATCTTCCTGAACGGCGCGCGGGTGGTCCCCCATGATGGGCCAGGGGTTTTGGGAAGGGATGGCATCGGATGTGTCGAGGTCGGCCAGGCCGCCAGGCAAGTGCTCGGCCAAGCTGCATTCGCTGCGAAGGGCAACACACGAAGTACAGTACGACTTGAACTGTCCCTCCTTGATCTGCTTGCACGAATAGCCACCGAGAATGCAATTGTTGCATGGCGTCTCGGGAGCGAACCACCAGTCCTCCTGGGCACTGGACAGTTGCGTGTCAATCAGTTCGAGGGGGTCACCAGTCAGGCCAGCTCCTGGTGCTGCAAGTTCCCCAGAAAAGTGCTCGAGGGCGACGAATCCAAAGTCGTCGTCGTCGGCATTCTCCAAGACCAGGTCCAGATTGGGATCGGTGGGCGGCACGTCCTGGGTGGGCATGTTGAAGATGTTGCCCACCTCGGTAGCGGCCGCCTCCCAGTTGACGAATTCGTCCATGCCGGTGTCCTCGGGGATGGTTGTCATTGTACTGACTGGCCCTTAATGCAGGGCGCGGACTGATTTGGGAAACTTCCTGAAGGGCGTGAATGGCATGGGAGAGATGTCCTGCAGATGGAATTGCAGATCGATAAGGGCGTGGTGGTGCTCCAATGTGTCGCGTCGATGTCGATGGTGCTTGTCAGTCGTCAAAGAGACCGGAAGGGCGTCGGTCAGCCCCGCTCCGTGTAATCTTTCTTGACGACAAGTTGACAACCAAGAACGGTCGAGATGGTAACTAGGCCCGGGCGTTCTTTGGAGTTGTGACAAATCCAAAGTCCCACGGAGGCAAATTGAAAAAAAAGGGTATAAGTAAAAGAAAAGGGTACAAGTCGGGACAGACGAGTTCTAGGCGACGAAATCTTTTATTCAAAAGGTCTATCCTTCCCTCGCTCAGTAGATCGGATCAAGCCAGCCAGATGGATTCTGGCGTTCGAGGAAGCGTCCAAGTCGGAGTCACCAATGGTTGGCTCGCCAGACCGGGATTACAATGGGTCGTGTCATCAGAAGGGCGCAAGTCGCATGTCTTTTGACAAGTTCACTATGCACACCCTTCGGACGGGGGGGGGGGGGGGGGGGGGGGGTGGCAGAGGGATCATACCCCCACATACTCTGCGAGTCTGCGCTTGCGCCGGCGTCTCTTCCTTGTGCGTCTGCGTATAGGAAAGGCTGGTTCGCGTTTTGGCGGAGGGGATGCGGAGTGTAAGCAGTAGTAGCTGAGATAGGGCGCCGTCACTTGGCCGGCGGCTTCTCGTATCATCGTGGGAGTTAGGTCAAGATAAAAACATTCTCAAGAGTCCATGTTCCCAATGATCGTATTTCTCTCGGCTCAAGTTGTGCAGACTTATTCATCGTTGCCAATCGACACAAGAGTAGGATGTTGATATCGCAAGTACGAGCAGACCCTGGGGGGGGTTTGATCCTAGTGCACATACGGATACAGCATGACAAGGCAATTTGCAGGGTGCTTTCTAGAATCCTCATGCTGTTTCTATCCGTACAACTAGGAAGGCTGAGGTGGTCGCAAAGAATGCAATGGGCTCGTCGCCCTCGGCCGATAAGCTGCAGATCAGAACGTTGCCTCGCTCTTCTATTTGACGACTTTGCCTGCAGCAGGTTATTCCGCAGCCTACCCATCTCATGGTATGTTCCGCTACTAGTCAATGGGGGGTGTTGGAACATGTCCGTCTGACGGTGAGGCCGTTCACACCAAAAAAAAACGCTTAAGCTAAACATTATAGCCAACCCTACGGGGGTGTTTCTACCCAGGCTGTTCAGCCAATGTTGTCCTTCTCAACATGGTCCTGTGTAACCTGTATTAATAATTGACCCGCCTTCTGCAGCCATCCACCCAGAAAACCATACTTCAAGCCACGAGAGACTGCGGCCGGCCTTGGCTCTTGAAGGACCCAAGGGCGTAGGGACTCGCATTCCCGTCTTACACCCATGTACGATTTCTTTTAACGTCGTTACGTCGGCCGGTAGATGAGCGGCTTGTGAGTCAAGATTGAAGCAGAGTCGAGGTATATGACCATGAAAGAGGCCATACTACAGTTCTAGAGGTAGAGTTGGGATCTCCCTAGCCAGTAAGTATTAGCTGGTCGAAGGAGAAAGAACAACTTTCCATTATCAGGTACTTTTGGCAATCAAGACCGACTCCATTAAACCTGGTTACGAGAGCGAGTTGCGGTCTCAAGCCGAAGCCGATTCCGCGTTTTATTTCCCAGGCTCCCGCGACGGTTTCTCCGCGGCTCCTCATATGGCCATCAGAAATGCTTGATTGCATGCCCGTCAGCCGCACCCCGACGGCCGCTGACCGCCCCCGTCTGGGGATGAGTCGAGGACTCGAGAAGCGAAACGACCAACCACCATCCATCCGTCCAAGTTCTCAGCGTGCGCTAGACCCGGAATCCTCACCCACTCCGGACCCCACTGCCGTACGAGGAAAACCTCGGAGCCTGGAACAAAGGCGCTTGTTAGGACCCTTTGTCGGCTCTGACTGCGAGGTCGGAGGGCTGTTTGGGTCAAAGCTTGTCAAACATCGGACGGGCGTGAGGACCGTTCAGCCGACCGAAGATGGCTTCCATCGGTCTGTTGCGGTTTGAAGTGGATAACTCGGCCGGAAGGATATCTTTTGGGTTGAAAATCAAGTTTGACATGACTACAAGTGCTCCTTGGGGTCCCCTTGGATTTCATCGAGAAGGAAGCGAGACCGGCGTGTTCCAAGATTGAATCAAGAAGTTGGGGCCGAGGTATCTCCAAGATGGTTTAACCATCAAGTTTGAAGCAGTGACTCAGACACGAATTAGCTGACAGACGGTATACAGCACCGAAGAAGGCCATTTCATATAGAGGCTTGAAGAAGTAGGAGATGAAGAGGTAACGCGTCTTCATTCCGTGTCATCTTGCTGCTCTATCTCAATCCTCGCTGCTTCGCTGTCTTCGCTGTTTTTGGTAGCGATATGATCTTCTCCGCTAGCAATGTGCCAGTCGGCCTCCGGTGACATTGCACCTCGATCCCGTCTCTACCACTTCCACGCTCTGTCCAGCCTGATCTCATATCACCACACACACTCTCTCTCTCTCTCTCTCTCTCTCTCTCTCAAGCAGCAGCACCATGGTCAGCAGTGCCACACTCGCCCTCTCCCTCCACGCCCTGGCAATCACACGCAAACTCCTTCCTAAACGCCTCCTTATCCATATCTGAAAACTTCTCAATGGCCATCTTGGCCACCGCAACCTTGGCATACCGTCCGCTCGCAGCCGTGGCGTGGAAGTACACCTGCCCATGGATCATGATGCCGCAGAGCACCTGCGTCTCGGTGATGACGCCGGCGCCGGCCTCGATGGGCGGCACGACCTCGTTGGTCATGAGGCGCCATGCGTCGCAGCCGAAATCATTGCGGAGCATGTGCGAGACGTTGGTGACGGGGTGATTAAGGGCGTAGTCGCTGTAGAGGGACATGTCTGTGAAGAAGGGCCGGACGTGGGCTTCGAAAAAGGCGCGGACTTGGCCGTAGTCGTAGCCCGAGTCGACGAAGACAGCGCCAATGTACGCCTCCATCATATCCGAGAGGTATTTGGGCGCGTCTTCTACGTGTTGCCAGTAGCTCACCGGGGCGGCGGTGGCGGTGTGCTCTGTGGTCTTAGCCATTGCTTCCTGTCCCTTCTCTCCGTCAGCGGGAGCTCCGATGTGAACTTCTTCCATCAGAGCCTCCTCTCTAGCACTCTCTTCGGCAAACTTGAGCGAGGCGACGAATTCTTGCGTTTGGTTCAGCAACGACGCCTGGGCAGTCAAAATGTGCCTATGAAGACCCAACTTCACGCAGAGACAGGCCAGGAAGCGATTGCTGACCATGGTGCTCTTGTGGCGTGTGAGCCACTCGGGGTCGGCGCTGGGGAACTTGTGGTAGAGAAAGTCAACGCACGCCATGTCGAGCAGGGCATCGCCGAGGAACTCGAGACGCTGGTAGTTGGGCAGAGAGCACTCATTGTGAGGGCAGGACGGATGCTTGAAAGCACTTCGTAGCAGCGCAGGCGACTTGAAATCGTAGCCCATCTTCTTCTCGATCTGCCGAGCCACCTCACGGTACATTGGAGAGGCAGGGTCAGTCTGCCACGACGGGGGCTTGTACCCAGCATAGTAGTCTGTCCACGAAGTCATGCGATGGTTCTTGTCATTCACCATGGCGCTGACAGCCCGGATGGCCATGTCGAAGTTGTTCGAGTTGCTGAATGTGAGGTACGCGGCGCCAATCAAGGCCTCGCAAACATCGGCGATGGACTTGTCCGCGAGAGCGTGGTTGGAATCAACGGTGCCTTCCTTGCCTCGGATAAGGCGGAGGCCCTGAGGGTACCAGCTGCGACGGTTGAATGATTTTGATCGCACGTATTCCTGTAGATGCCGGTCGATAGCCTTGTTGAGGAGGTTTCGGTTGCTGATCAACAACATCCGCTCGACATGGTACTGGAACTCATTGTTGTCTGGATTATTGGTAAAGAGGGCAATGGTGGTAGCCATCTTCAAACAAGTATCGCCAATGAACTCCAGGCGCTCGTAATTGTTGCCCATTCCACTTTGGAAGTTGATCTTTTCCGCGTCATGCTCATGACTGTTGTCGGAGTCTTTGGTGACGGCTTCGAGGGCCAAGTCAGGCCGGATGTCGAGGTTGAGCAACTCGCACAAGTCCAGGGCAACCATGACCTGGTCCATTCGATGAATGATGGCGGGAAATGTGAAAGCCATGACGATTGTCTCCATGGGCAGCTATGGTCATCAGTTTTTGAGTTCAGAAAGTAAAGAGATCAAGAAAGGAGAGAGCCTAGACTTACAGTCGAGATCCTCAAGGGCTCCAATATCACGTAGCAGACCTTGGAGTCTTCATTTGTGGCCTCAACGAAGTCGTCCAGAATGTTGCGTCTCAATGAGATCACTTCAGCCTCGACCACAGGCTGTGTATCGCGCCATGTTCGCTTCAGGCGGCTCTTCATCCAGAGACTCACACTGTACTCCTTGATGTTCTTCTCCACAGCCGAATCACGCCAAGGCCTGTGACCAGGGTCCGGTACGCCATCGGGCACGGGATCCATTGGCTTCAGGTCTCTGCGGACCCCTCTCAAGCGTAACTTGCGGGATCCCGCGTAAGGATCTATCACGAGCTTGTCTTTGAAGAAGTCTTCTGAGGTGTTGTCATCCCAATCCAGATATTCTCTATCCTTGGTCGTTCGAAGGTGGTTCCAGTCGACCAATGTAGCTGCGTTCGCCGCATGTCGAATGCCGACATGATGGTTCTGAGTCGTCGGGGCGAGAAAGTAAGGCATGTCTGAAACTGTGGCCTCGTACTCCTTGCTGAATACGTCCTTGAAAACACGGAGAGTGAAGGTCTTCAGAAGCTCTGAATCTTCTGAAGAAATGCTGATTGGGTTCGGCATGGACATGGCGAAGGCATCGGACTGCTGGTCATTTCCAAAGAAAAGAGGTATAGGAGGAAGATCAGGCAATTTCGCTCTCGTGAGTAGAAGTAATGGCTTCGACTCTTTGCCAACGGCGTCCGGCGAACCAAGTGTCAATACCGTGACGTACAGTTGATCAAAGGTACCAACTCGTGACCATATTTCAGGCTTCGTGCGCATCTTGTACTCTGCTCTTTTGTTGGCGCTGATGGCTAGGCGGGCATTCCGCATTGCAGGCAATTTCTTGGTGAAGATCGGCTGCAAGTTGAGATCGATGTACTTCTTCTTGATCAACTCCTTGCACATCTCGAATGCCGCAGAACAGCGAGCAGCCTGCTTCCTCTTGTGTGGCATTCCCGTGATACTAAGAATCGGCGATTTTGCCGGAAGCTGAACCTCGGCGACGAAGGATTGTCCCTGGTTGGTCACCACATACTCGGGTGTCAAGACTTCATCGCTAGACTGGCGTAGGGAGGATGCGAAGTTGGCCAACACCTCGAGGCTAGACATCCACGTCAGCTTGGCGCCTGTCTCCTTGATTGTGTATGTCTGATAGTGCAACTCTCCTTGCATCACACTGGCGTTGACGTCCATCCCCATGATCTTCTTGTCTTCCGGCAAGGCGCTGCAGAAGCGGCGGAGGACGCTTTGGTCATACGTAGCCTGCGCTACCGCTCGGGTATGCCTTCCATTGCCTATCTCAACGAAGGATAGGTATTCTGAATCTTGTTGTCTTGCGCGTCCCTTCGACTGAATGTACTGAATGACGGACTTGTAGAGGTCAAATCGCATGACCACATTGCAGGCAGGAATATCTATTCCCTCCTCGGCAACTTGAGTAGAGAAGATGCAGTTCACTTCACCACGTCTGAATTTCGTGATGGTCAAGAGCTGTTCCTTGAAGGACATGTTGGCGAGACCTGCAGAGGACTGACTACCAACAAGTGCTGCCGGTTTGAGGTGCGGCAAGTTCATGCCATCCTGCTTGAACAACTCGGCGAGCAGTACCGCAGTGAGCCTCATCTCCACAAAGACGATGCACCGATAATCAGTCGGCTGAGAAAAGCGGACTTTCAGTTCGTCCCAAAGACGAAGAACCTTGCTGGATACATCGTCCAAGGTGGGGGGCTTGAAGTTGTGGCTTTGGATGATATCTCGAAGCTTTTGGACTGCCGCTGTATGCTTGCCGCTACCATCGAAGCCCGTGTAGTTGATATCTGTTCTGTTGGCTAGTCGTGCGATAGTGTTTTCCGTAAGGTAAAGCTTCCAGAAGCGATCTGCTACCCATGGACCGAGTTCTGCCATGGCGGTGGTGGTCCATTGCAGCTCCTTGTCAAAGAGCTGGTTCCTGCGAATGAGTGCCCGTATTTGCTGCACAAGTTCAGATTCAGACGATCTCGCTAGAGGTGTATAGTGGATTTCCCTCTCTGTGATTTTCCGCTTGTTAGGATTCAGAGATAGTGATTCCTCGGAGACAGTGGCAATCTCGCTATGGAGGAGGCACTCAAGCTGAGCCGTGGCGACCTTCATGTTCGTCTGGGCGTCAACCGGAGACGCAGTCATGCCGAGAATTTTGGGTCTCTTGTTTTTGTCGGGCTCTTTGATGTAGAAGTCCTTGATGATTCGCGCGTAAGGATGGTTCTTCTTCGTATGATGTGCCTCGTCGAAGATGAGAAGGTTGATCTGGTCTATGCGGATGTAGGAGTGCATCAAGCATTTCTGCAATATCGCCGCAGTGCAAACTATGACCATGTTCTCTTCAAACTGTTTGGCCCAGAACTCGCTTGACCACATTTCGTCAACCATGTCGCCGCAGTAGCGGGCCACAGAATGCTCCAAGTTACACTCAAGAACCGCGTGCTGCTGAAAGACAAGCGATACCTTGTCAACCAGAAAGAAAGCAGTACGTTTCGGCTTTCCGAGTGCGCGGTCTTCGACCTCCTTCTCAAGTATGTGACGAAGTAGAAGGGCGGCAATCAGGGTCTTGCCGGTACCGGTGTCCAGGACTGCTATGATGTTCTTCTGCTTCGCTCTTTCGAAAAGTTCGATCTGATACTCGCGGGGAGTCTGAATGATTCTTCGGTTCTCATTTTCCTTCACCAAGTATGCAACAGATCCATGAGTCGGAGCCTTGGTCCTCGAGGCTGCCTCTAGCACCCGGGCTTGGTTCGATTCAATCCAAGACTGGAACTTGGCGTGATCCTGACGCTTCTTCTCTGAGATCTTGCGCGGCCTCTCAGGGTTCAGGCTCCAGCGGCGATAGTCATCTTCATCATCATCATCCTCCTCCTCCTCCTCCTCCTCCTCCTCCTCCTCCTCCTCATCCTCCTGATTGTGGTTGCTGTCCTCATCTGCTTGATCCTGCTCTTCGACGCTGGGGGAAGTCGCGGTTGAGTAGCTCGGAGAGGGTAGCTTGGTGGACCTCTCTGCTGAGCAAAGTTCTCCTAGTTCGGTCGTCGAAGGCGGCTTGTGACTTCTCTGTACTGGTGTCGAGGGCTGAGAGGGAAGGGGGGTCGCCATATCTGCGCGAATCCTTGATGAGGTGGGGTCTCTACCTCGGTTCTATTCTTGGAAAGAGAATGCAATTTCGGATGATGGCATTGAGTTATCGAGGGGAAGACTGGATGCGTGGAGCGTGTGTGCAGGATGAATGTGAATAACGTGCGATGCCGCTTCGGAATCAACTCGGAAGAGAATGGCTCCTTCTCAAACAACTTCTTCTGGGGTCAAGGCAGCGGAAGCGCGTCAAAGTCAATAATAATCAACTTTGCCGCTGGGCCGGACGAGAAGCAGGTCACTGTAGGGTGTCAGAAAATTGATGTAAATGGAAGAGTCTTGGTAGCTCTTGGAAAGAATGTAGGAAGCAAAGAATACCTCTCAGTGCGAGAAATCACACCTCAGCACTACGTGAGGTGTTTAATGTCAGTGACGTCTGACTTGGCAGTTGTGGTCGATGAAGTGAAGGCGGGAGGACTGAAGTGAAGTGGAGGTGGTGGAAGGAAAGCTGAGTGAAGGTGATGATGAAAAGGCACGATACAAGAAGGGGAGAAGGATTTGATCGTCTGCCTTCTAGGGCTTTTAAAAACTCGAGGATGGAAGGTGCGAATGGTAAGATGAGTGGAAGAGTGAAGAAGCCACTCTAAATGCCTCGGACGGCACTGTTCTCAGTGATGACTTGGCTCTCACTTCAATAAAGATGTTTACAACGAAAACGAACTAGACCAGTCGTTTGGAAGAAGGTTGGTTTCTTCGATGAAAAGGGCAGGAACGGCATGGAGAATCCAAACATTTAGACGGAGGATGGAAACAAGACTAGACTTATGAGAGTGGAAAATGCAAAGAGAGTACTGGTCAGCTTAGAAACATGTTTCCTCCGATTGTTGCCGGCATAATGCGGCAAGCAGCATGAGGCAAGCAAACTGATCGAATTCTGTGAGAATTTCGCCTGGCTTTGTTTATGAGCCAAGATACATACAGACAGTGTCCATGGCCCTGGGTTTTTTTTTAAATGAGACGCGAACAGCTGCCCTCGAATTGTTGCTTCATCGCGAAAGATGTCTAATGACGACTCAGGCACATTGTGATGCCTGTGTAAGCAACTCGGCTGTAATTTGAGATGGCAACATCGAGGTTGCTTCATATGATGAGATGAGCTGTCTCATTGAGGCTGCTGTTTACACTCATTAAATGCAGGGTGATGTTTGCAAGTATTAGGTACCTTACCCTTCGGTCGAGCTTTGCCGACATGGACCCCTGTTATTACCCCACCTTCACTCAGCTCCCCCGCCGCCGTGAGACTGAGGGAGCACTGGCCCCTGGGATGGGAGGTGGTCCCTTTGATAAGATAAGGACCCTTGCCGAGAATGCAAATCGCCACTCAAGGATTTGGAACCACGGAACCTAACGTTTGGCGCCATTTCTCTGCTGGTTTCTTTCTAAGAGCAAAGAGGCGAACCGTTGCAGTAGATTCCAAGCTAGCTACGAGTTCATCATCACACGCCACAGTCTAAGATACTTTGATCGCCGCTGCAGCTTAGCTTGATTATACCCATTCGCATCGGGCGACAAGTCTCCCCTCGAAGCTTTTCTTCTCATCTTCCCTGTAACTTGTCGCAATTCCCATCCTCCATTCTCTCCCAACCCCTCCACGCCCCCTCCCCACCACTTAATACCTTACCAAGCAACCAACGACCCTCTCGACGACTACCTCCCAACAACCCACAACCACAACCCGAAAAGCGACCATGGCAGACGAAGATCAACCCAAAACCCTCAAGTCCGTCTTCACCTCGGCCGAGAGAAAGCGCCTCACACTCGAAAACTCCTACGAGGCCTCCTCCCCGACCTACCTCGACGACCTCCAAACCGCCATCGCAGAGTACGAGACATGCCTCGACCTAATCTCCCGCGCCGCCCTCTTCTCACCCAACGAGTCCCTTGAGGACCTCTCCACCTCCTCGCTCCCCTACCTCCTCATTACATACCACCTCGCCGAGCTGCACCAGAAGCTCCCCTCCCGCCGCCCCATCGAGCGCCGTGTCGCCCTCGAGCGCGCCCGGGAAGCCTACGAGACCTTTCTCGGCGCCCTCGACTCCTACGACCTCCTAACCGACACGAACAAGATGCTCTACGAGCGCTACACCGACGAGCCCCTCGCCTTCTCCACCCTCGGCACAAACGACCCCGCCAAGCGCCGCGACGCAAAGATTGCAAACTTCAAGTCGGAAAAGGCCCTCAAGGACCGCCTCGAAGCGCTGCGCCGGAATCCGCGCTACCAAAACGAGGACGGCGACGACGAGGTCGCCCGGGACCTGCACCTCGCGCACGTCGCGTACTCGGCGCACATGGCGTTCCAGGGCCTCGAGGGTATCAACCGCGAGCTGGAGGTTCTGGCCCAGGCCACGGTGCCGCTGATGCCCTCGCCGACGTCCGTCGAGGAAGACGAGCGCCGCCGCACCGAAGACCGTGGCGCTGCTGGATATGCCGAGCGTCTTGAGCCCCCGCGCCGGCTGCAGAGCATGTTTGGGCAGGGAGGTCCCATATTGTCCACGGAGGGCAAGCCGCTGCAGCCATTCACGCTCGTCGGAAACAGGCAGCAGATGGCCAAGGATGTTTTCCGCCCCGGCCACAATCTGCCTACGATGAGCATCGACGAGTACCTCGACGAGGAGATGCGCCGGGGCGGCATCATCGAGGGTGGTGGTGACGCGAGCTGGCACCGTCCGGAGCCCAACGAAGATGACTTTGACAAGGCGGACGAGGAGACGATGAAGGCGAGAGCATGGGACGAGTTTGTCGAGGCGAATCCAAAGGGTTCAGGAAACACGCTGAACAGGGGCTGAGCCAGGAAAGCGGGATATGGATTCGGGGCAATCGGAATGGGAGTATGTAATTCGGAGGAGTTTGATGCATAGACTTAAAACAAAAAGGGAGGATACCACCACGCAACGATATGATGACGGGCCTTGGCGAGCTCACATTATGGCGAGAACGGCAAAGGTTTTTACTGATGTTCTTGTATTGAATACAGCATGGTCAACATCTACTTCAGTTGCCTAACTATCCGGTCTCATCTGTGCTAACCTGAACGTAAGCCAGTGTCATCAACCGCAGACCCCTTTTTGTACCCTGTGTAATCACCAGTATGATCTGCCACCATGGCAATCTCAATGCAAATTTGTTGATACCCCGCCAAAAACGCCCAAGACAAATCCCAAAGTCCACATCATTATCATGAGTATTGGTCCCTGCATTTACAATGCCGCGATCTAGACCATAACCAAATCATCGTCGTCATCAAGAAGGGAAGAAGAAGCGGTGCTCTTCGAAGAGGACTCAGCGGAGGCCGGCTGGTCCTCACGAGTCGAGAATGCCGCGCGAGCACCAGAGCCCTCAATGACGTACTCGGGCGTCTGCTCTCGCGAGCGGCTTTCCTCTGGACCAATCTCCGTCATCACCTCGTCGTCCTCGTCAACGTCAGTATCGAAGTGGATGCTGGTGCCGGCGTCCGACTGGTCGTGACTCTCATCGAGGACCATGGTGCTCATGGCCTCCGCCACGGACTGTCCGTCCGCAGGGACGGCGAACTTGGCGTTACCGAACTCTGAGTCTCCGTCCGTGAAGGACTCTGTGCGGACTGATACGTCGTCGGCGATGACCCTGTTCGGGTTGAAGATGGTCGAGATGCCGTCTTGCACGTCCACACTGCCAGGGCCGATGGTGCTACCGCTTCCCTCCAGGCGAAGCTGTCTCAGCTCGCTGCTCATCGAACCCGTGGTACTAGAGGCGTCTGAGGGGATCGTGATGCCGGTGTGGTAGGCCGGTCCCGGACCCGCTGGGCCGTAATCAGCAGGCGGCAGGGAGTGCTCAAACACACCTCCGGTACCGTCGTCGTTACCGCCGGCCCAGAGAGGCAGGAACTTGAGCTCGTTCTGGTGCAGGTTCAGCAGCAAGTGCGGCGTCAAGTTCATCCTAATCTCAAAGTCGGCACGGACGCATTCCTGGTAGAACGGCCTGAGGAAGTCCTGGAGCGGCTTTTGGAATTCGTGGTTATCGAATCCGTACTTGTATGCGCCTGGGACGTTCAGCTCACAGGTGTCTTGGGGGTTCTTCATGGAGAGGGGGCGAGGGAGGTTCAGAACCGCCATCCAAGTGTCATCCCAGGCGAACGAGGGGTGCGCGTAGAGAACCTCCTTCAGGTGCTTCCACAAGGTCGAAACCACGTTGTACATGTTCATCTGGCCCGAGGCGCCCGTAGTGAACACCTCGGATAGGGACGTCCACTTGTTGCCGGTCGTCTCGTACAGGAAGGGGCACAGAGCCTTCTGCACATTGTTGAACTGGTTGTAGATGATCTCGAAGCGGTTGAAGTTCTGAATGTCGACGTAGCTGGCTCGGTGGTCGTCAATCTTTTGGAGATCATCGGCATCGAGAGGCTTCCTGAGCAGCTTATAGACCACGTTGGTCTCCCAGAGAGTCTTTAACGAGAACGAGACTGTCAGCGCGGAGACCTTGGCCTTGACCATGACGGGGTCGTCGGGGCAGCTCGAAAGCATGCTGATGAGGGTCTTCAACCGCGCCCACTCCGGAATCTGCAGGTCGTCGAAGATGGTGTCGCTGACCAGCTGGTTGACGGGCCACGATACACGCTCGACCATGGCTCTGGCCGCGTGCTGGATGAGGTTGTTCAAGTCGTCGCCGGGATCGTGGCGTTTGCGTCCAAAGACGGTGTAGGCCGCGGCCTTGGGTGTTCCCTTGACATCGGCGGCTTCTTCCAGGGCCAGCTCGTTGACCAGGATTCGGAACGCTGTGCGGGTGACGGCGTCCAGCTTCAGGGTGACTCCGAGCTGAAGGCTCTCTTCGGGCAACACTTCGATGAAGGAGGTGTTGTTGGGAGTTGTAATCCATTGGAGAACCAGATCGCGCTAATCATCATGTTAGGATCAGATCATAGTAATAAGAGTGACGAAGAATAAACTCACCACAACAGTGGTACAGTCCAAAATCTTGGCCACTGCCACCAGGGTCCAAAGTCGAGCGGCCGAATCGATGAAAACTCGCTTGTTTGCAATGATGCACATGAGGCGCAGGATGTTGACGCGATGGCGGATCGGGCAGTAGTCCGGGATTCGTCTGTAAGGGGGAATCGGGGCAGCGGAAAGATCCCCTCTAGATTTCTTCTCGAGAACCCTGGCAGCCAATCCCTTGTCCTCTCTGTACAGCCTCTCCTTATTCTTGCTGTTCTCTGAGACGACGTCGCGCAAACTCTCTCTGATGGCCGAACTGATGGCATACTCCATCTCCGGGTCCCGCTCCTTGTTCTCATCTCGTGCCGCTTCGCTCGTCGAGATCTTGTCGATAATCATGTTGAAGCTATCGAAATTGGTCTCCTTCCAACAAGAGCAAACGTCGTCATGGCCACGCACGACGTAGTCGTCTACGCCGTGCTTGTCGAAAGCCGTCCACCAGTCCATGATACCCGGTGTCAGCGAAGCTTCGGTCATCTGGAAGACGAGATCGTCGCCCTCGGAAGGAGGCGTGAGATCCAAGACATATTTGATGCCAGGGGGGAGACTCTTGGCAATCTTGCGCCGACGCTGAACACGGAACTGGTAGGTAGGATTCAGCATCTCGGCGAACTTGGATGACCCAGTAGCCAAGAGCTTCTTGGAGTGCATCCGGAATCGAACCGAGTTCCATGAGTATATGAAGCAATCAACGCTGTCTGCTGGCTTCACAGGAGTCGGGAAGTCGACGAAAATCAAGGTATCGCCTTTGTTGAGTTCATTCTCAATGTCGTGGAGAAGGAACTGGCAGTATCGGCGAGCCTGACTATGTGGCATGTTGTTCTCATTGGAGCGTGGTCCCTGTTGCGATGGTACGTTGGTACTGAAGGTACTGACTGTCTGCGGCGCGACATCAACAACTTGGAAGAGATCGCGGACATCGGTTGTCTCTTCAGAGAATGTTGCCACAGGGAATGGCTCTGTAGCCAAGCGTTCAGGCAAAGCCTCCCCATCAAGAAATGACTCTGTAGCCAAGTGCTCAGGCAAAGCCTTCTCTTCAAGAAATGACTCTCGGAGCGCATGCGCAACGTACGTGACACCGCGACCGGGCTCATCCTCAGGTGCCTCCCACCAGTCCATGACTACAGGTGACCAGTCGTTCTCTGCAGCCGCTGACGGCGCCTTGTTCTCGTCCGGAGCCATCGCTGCGACGAGACCGGAATGTAGGCGACGGGAATTGAGCTTGATATCGTGGCGAGGAGAATCTAGTTCCCTGGGCTCTCTGACAGGCTATGGCAGACTGTTACCAAACTAGTCGGCAGGTTAACGACGTCTTGGTTAGAGTAGGAATCAAAGCTATGAGTGGCTTCTCTGGTAATAGAAAATAGCTGGGAGAAAGGGCCTAGACGATAGAGCCGGGAGTTTCGCAAGGCAACAAGTCCGCCAGTTCGCAGTTTGGATACCCAAAGATGAAGGTTGGTGGGGTTGCGTAGCCTTGTCCAGGCAGCAAAGTCTCGGAGTCAGATGTCACTTAGGACGGTTCTAAACTCTGCCGATCGCCTCAGCCACGCGGCTGTTTTATCGAGAGCGTAGACGAGGAAATGATCGAAGGAAAGCCTCTCGCGAGGAACGCGTGATGGTTTGCAAGGCTGGATGACGGTGGATTCCGAGCAATGAGAATGTGGTGGATCAGAAGGAAAGGTATGAAGCTGTGACAGTAGAGGTTGAGAGGAAGAAGAGAGGCATGGATGGAGGGGTAAGGAGAGGTACCTTAGCTGTGCCCCGGTGACTTGAGACCGGGTCTAGGAGGTATGCAGGCAACAAACGTGGGTTTCTACCTATCTAGGCACAGGCGTTCAGGCATTGGGTACGGTGAGCACACTGCGGGAATGAGAAAGGCAACTGGATGACCAGGCATTAAGCAGCTCGTGACTTGAGTAACTCTACCTTACTTCGGGTGCAGAAAATGTCTGGTATGTTGAGGTGCTTTGATCTAGTACAGCTTACACCTTGCGAGGAGCAGGGATACAGCTGTGGCATGTATAGGGAGGTAGTTGGGGTACCTTACTTCCAGTGTCTACATGGAAGATGGACAAAGCTCCCAGCAGTCTGGAGTGGCCATCTACAAACAAGGGAACGAATTGGCCGTCTGGGAATTTTTCAGAGAGAAGGGCAGAAAGACGCCAAGGTGGCAGATGACGACTATCAGTGGACTTCGGACTCAATTCTCTTTCTTCGTACCCTTTGAGGGAAAGAAAGATGAAGTGGAATGGACTTGTTGAGCGCCGACTAATCTACCTTACTATGTAGATATGTGACTTAGCCAGTAGCAATTAGGCAAAACCACAAAACCGTCAACCGTTTCCTTGGTAGGCCTCAGATTGGACGGAGGAGAAGACTGTCGAAGTATATGCTCCTCGTTTGCTTTGTGGCAAGGCGGCCTCTTAGAAAACCAGACAGACAATCAAGGTATTTTAAAGACTCATCAACCCTTTGACCTTATTGTCGCTGTTGCCTGCTCGATTGACCAAAAGTGGGGGAAGCGGGTGACGTACCCTGTGCTTACATGAGGTACCTCCAAATACCACGGGATTAGCTTTCAGCTCCGTTCCGGCCGGCCGGCGCTGTGTAGACCGAGAGTTGAAGGTCCGGTCTGCTTGACCCCACTTTGAGGCCGGCCGGCGTGACAAAGCGACTCTTGAAAGTAGGGCGTCAATACTGTCTGATGAAGAAACCCCATCTTGCCTGACTGAAAGATGAATCAAAGAAAGACCACATCCATTGCAGATTGATTCTTAGTGAGCCCCCAACTTGAGTATCAAACAGCAGCATGGCATATGGCCTACTTCATGTTAAAACAAAGGACAAATGTAGAAAGATATATTCCAAGTGTTTAAAAGTGGTGTAGCTACGGCTTTCCTTCACGACCGTGCAATGGTACTTGCATGCATGGCTATGAGTGCAAGCTTGTAATGATGCCGGAATCTGCCTTGAGCAAAAGGCTGGTCTGGTCGTATGTGCTTCCTTTGCACGGCACTGGCCAGAGAATTCTTTTGATAACTCGCACATTGTGTGATGAAGAGTCCCAAAGAACAGTCCGAATCACTGCCTAGAACTTAGGTGCCTCAACTTCCAAGAATATCTTCTCTAGGCTTATAACATCGATTCCTCAGTCTTCTTCACTTCAACTACCAGAGTCTTTTCCCAAACTTCCCCAATAACACTCACGCTATCGGATACGCAACTACAGGGAAACCTTCAGGGCACCTCTGCCTTCAACTTTACAACATTCTACACCGATGAACGATACCCCCTTCATCTGAAGCGAACATGTCTGATTCACGCCCCAGATTCGTCAAAGTACCGGAGGGCTGGCTATGTGACCCGGAAGAAGTCGAAAGATCTATACGGCCACCGCCACATGACTGCCCTGACTGTCATATAGGGTACTACTCTGAGAGCGAACAGCATGCGTACAGCCACTCCTACCACCACAGCATCTCAGATATCTCTGCAGTCAATACAGCGTCGGCATACGTCAAAGAGGCTCAAGAGAGCAGGAAGCACATCACCAACCGCCTCAGCTCCCACGCCGATCTCCTCGTGAGCCGCTGGCGGAAGCGAAGCCAGTCAAAACGTCGCGAGCTACCGAACAAGGCCATGCCTGAGCTCGAGGAGTCCCAGTGGATCAACTCCAGCTACGGATACAGCGAGGAGAAGTTTCGATTCGGTAAGCGGACTCTGCAAAGGCGACGTCACCTATTGGTTCCTTGGCTCAATGTGGAGGTGCTCATGACGAGTCCGGCTGTCCTGTTCGCCCTCCTCCATCGTCGGACTCTATACCCGCCAGAGGATTTCGCCCCACTAGACTGTCGTCAGATGGAGTTGTTTTGGGCCTCTGGAAACTTTGACGTCGTCTTCTCTGCCAAGTGCGTCGTCATGTCCGGATCCCGGTATGGCGATGTTGTCGACTGGAACGCGCAACAGACGCACACTGGATACACGCTGGGATTTCCTCGCGCACGACTTGTACTCGAAGCTCAAGCCTTCCTCATGGATGTTCTTTCCCGGATCACTGATGCAATTCTCGAGGGCGCAGATACCGCAAGCGCCAGTACGAGGACAGATAAATGGAGAGCCCAGACCTCGACTGGTTTCCGACACCCCGGTGAGACGGAGCTCTGGTCTCCCTACACGAACCCAGCCTTCTCTCGACCTCCCAAGCTCGACTTGGACTACATTACATCTATGGCCCAGACGCTCATAGAAGAGGCGATCGACCACCTCATCGATCTTCAGTGCGATCCGGCATATCTTCGACGGCACATCAAGGGTCTCTTCGGCACCACACTCTTTCACGTGGCGGATGAAGAGGATGCGTCAATGATGGTGGCTCAATACATCTACATGGAGTATCAAAGATACTATTCGTGGTACTGGATCGAGGTCGAGTGCAAGCATGCGCGAGATCTACACGCCAGATTCGCAGACAGCACGCATCCCGGCCAGTCGATCCCTCCCAAGTACAATCTGGCGCTGGGTGCTTGGGAGCTTCTCCTCGTCAACCAAGTCTTGGAGCGAACTAAGCGCTTTAAATCAATGATGCCCTGGGCTCCGGGACAAGCTCGACATTACAGCCTATCCAAGAAACCTGGCGTGCCCCTGGAAACGGTCGTTCGCGGGACGTCGCGACACTCGAACCCGAACACGAAGGAAGCTCATGAGAACGACCCGCTCGATTGGTGTCTCCATCAAATGATGGGCAAGCCTGACAACCAGAGGCACTTTGACCACGCCATGCTCTTTGCAATGATTGACGATCATCTGGACCAGAATAACAGGAAGGAAGCAGCTCGTATTGACGAGTTTCTCATGCGCGAACTGGCTGACATATCTGCCCTCCACGAGTCACTTATTTCTTTGCGTCTCAATCGACCTCAGAACACCTTCAGGGTCATTGACGATGTGTATCGGACGGAGAAGCATGGAATCTGGAGATATGCGAAGAACAAGCCCAAAGACCACTCGAAGCAAGAGTTCAAGGAGATGGGGAAGCCCCTTGTGGACGGCTTCTGCAAAGGAAAAGCTCCCAACGGACCGAAGAACAAGGCATGGCTGAGGCAAAGCCAGACCCTGCGAAGCTTTGTAGAGGGATTCTTCGAGGACTTGGGGAACTTGGTTCGAGAAGATCTCCACGGCACTGGCCTTGAAGCGGAAACCATTGAAGAAACTCTGGGCGCTGTGCTTGTCCAGAACAAGCCTAATTATCTGGGAGCGATTGCTCGAGAAGAAGCGGAGATCATGACCAAGATTACCGAGGTTGAGAAGTCTGCCCCCGGCACCTTCCGAGACACAAGCACAGCGTCACAGAGTTCCATTCGAGCTGATCTGGCCCAGAAGAGCCAGCGAGAGAAAGTCAAGACCCGGCCCGACAACCCATCCGCGAGCATCCAGCCAGTCGAAAATCCGGAAGCTCCGGACATCGCTGCCCTTTCGATCGAGCCTGTAACGAAAATCCGCGTCTCCCAGCGCACTCTTGATGTGGTTCATCTCATGTACCCCGAGTCTCAGACCAAGCCGAGAAACATCACATGGGATGACTTCGTACACGCCTTGTGCGATGCCGGTTTCGTGGCGAGCAACAACGGCGGATCGGCGGTGCGGTTTGAGCTAGGATCCAGAGGTGAGTTCGGCGATAAGGGGGCGATCATCTTTCATAAGCCGCACCCGGTGCTCAAGGTCGATCCCGTCATGCTTCATGGCATGGGAAGACGGCTTACAAAGTGGTTTGGCTGGACTCGTGATCGATTCACTGCCGAATACGCAAAGTAGAATTAAAGAGACCTGCGAGAGAAGATTAGATTGGTCCCATGACATAGTAAGGGAACGAAATGGTGGATGGGCCGTTTTGCTGTGATGGTGAAGGTAAATTGAAAATGCAGGATAGCAGGTAGTTCAACCTAGCTTACATACTTTCGAGGTAACTTGCTAGAGGAGTATTCACAGAACAACTTTATGAATTGATTGTGGATCGAATGGCGAGGTCAGCAAAGGTGTGTACAGGTAGAGCGAAGTTGGAGTCCGGCCTTCGCCCCGGAGCGGACCTGGCCAGTCCGATACGCATGCCCCCGAATACCGGCCCCACCCCGTGTCCCCAAGTCTGCTGCCGAGGTAACATTCCGATGGATCGTGTCAGAACCATACGTGCCCCCCAAATGTCATGACATCCACGAAAACCTCGGTCACTCATGATTCATAAGTTGATAAGCTTATCCAACTCCTGACTCGACCCCCCACGATTTTTCAATTGCCGCATCACAACGTAGGATCCAGGAAGCTCCCGCAGTAAAAGCTTGTTCTGCAGCGTTTGCCCGCTGCCAAAAGGGTCGTTCCGCGCACTGATGCATCTTCATCGGAGCACCCTACCTCCCCGAAAGAGGAGAGAAAAGGGAAAGAAAAGTTGGAATGGTCAGGATGCTTCCCTGCGCTTAGGGTATTTCCGATTGACACTCGGTGTACATGAACTCAGTATCATCAGTTCATTTCTCATCCACGTCGCATCCTGATAGCCCCCAGCTTCCCCAAGCTTCGAAGCTTCCCTCCAGAATTGCATGTTTCCAAAGGGGAGCTCCCCCGCACTCAGCAGGATCATCGATAACAGCAGTGTTCTTCTTATCAGTCCCCCAGTGTGGCATTCCCTGATTATTCGCTTTCAAATCCCATTCCCTGCCCCCCCATCAGCTGAAACTTGGCCCAACTCTAAAACCAAACAATCCAAACCAGCGAAGCGCATACTTCCGCATCACGCATGCATGCGCACTTGCGTCTAGCTGCGCACACGTGCCGCCCGTTGGCGCCGTCTCAATCAACTCGTCCAGTCTAAGATACTTACTTTGTTACACACAGCTTGCAGCTGCCAAAAAAAAAAAAAAAAAAAAAAAAAAAAAAAAAAAAAAAAAAAAAGCATCTCCCTTTTGTCCGAATATGCACTCGACGTCCTCAATTTCATCATTGGTTTGCAACCCCAGAGATGTTTCGCTACACTCTCCCTTCTATAGAGTAGTCATACCACTCTGACCTCCCATCTACTGACCGCTCATTGCCTTCATGATACTTATCAAACCTCCCCCGCAACTCGCATCCTCAGAATTACCTTGGGTGCCATAAGCATTACCCCATAGACAAGGTCTGGGCTCGGCTTCCAACCCAACACCAGCCAAGCTCCAAACCACATCCATCCAATCACATCCCCTGACCCCAGAATCAGATACCGCCCGCCGCCAACCTGCCTGCGTCCCGCATGTCGCGTGTCCCCCTTCCCCCTCCATGCCACCATGCCTCCAGCCTCCCTCCCCCGCCGAGTTCTCACACGCCACCATCAGCAAAGCACCGTACCACTGCCCGCAAAGTCCCATCAATTGCCCATTGCCACCGGTTCCAGACCAACACGACACCCACTCACACTGCCTCTAGCCTCCAAGTACCTCTCACTTCCGTCTCTCCCTATTCGCAGCAAGCACATTTCCCTCCCCTTCCCTTGACCGCACCGCAAACCCATGCCACGGCATTCGTTCCTCTTGCCATTCCCCTTAGGATTCCCATACCCAGACAGCCAGTCTGTCAATTTCAAGCAGGGTCTAGAAAAAATACTCGACCTCTGCTGATCCAAGCCGCAGCCGCAGCCGCAGTCCCTTTGTCCTTGTACCTTAGTAATAGTAAACGTACCAGAAACTCTCCCATGCCAATCGTCCGATCCCCAAGCTTCCTTTGAACACACAACGCACACACCAAGCGGCACTAGTGACATCTTCCCCGTCCTTCCCCAACAAAAAACACTTTGTGTGTGTGTATGATCCCTCCCCCTTCCCCTCCACGTATGCCGCCCCCCCCGGGAAGCTGGGGAAGAAGCTAAGAGCTATCGAGGACGTCGAGCCGTCTACTTAACTAGAGACCCCTCCCTGATCTTCTGCTCTCTTACATGTATCCATTTTATTGCAAATACCACCTCGAAACGTGAAAACCCCACCGTGAACACATCAATCATCACCAGCCATCTCTCATCAAGCAAAAAAGATACCTACATCTCATCATGCAACCCAAAGCCGCGATGCCCGTCCCCCAGATCCGCCCCGCGATGTACGTCCAACCACCATTACCATCATCACCCCACATCACCCCCATCACCTCCTCCACCTCCCTCCCTTTTCCCTTGCTGCTGACCCCATCCATCAAAACCCCCTACCCTCGAACCAGATCCCAAAAAAAAAACTAACACAACAACCCAGACGCCACCGAGGCCTCATCGTCGTAACCGCAGCCGTCACAGCCGTCGCCGTAAGCTTCAGATACACCGCCCTCTCCAGGAGGACAAACGACCAGAACCAGTGCTCCAGCAATCCGTACTACGTCAGCGTCGACCGGAGCGGCGGAGGGATCTAAGAATCTCTCTTTACAGGAGCGTCGTAACAAAAACACACTCCCGATTTCGAGAATTAATCAAGAAGAAGAAAAAAAAAAAAAAAACCCCATACACCCAAACGATTACGAGACACGGATGGTTCGGTATAAGGGAAATGGAAATGGAAATGGAAATTTAACGTTCTTAATGAATTGCTACGGCTTCATCTCAACCCAAACCACACGCGGCACTTGTATGGTCATACATTAGACATCAATCGGGGGCGATGATCAAATTGACTTTTTATGTAAAGTATGAATACAGGAGACTTGGACGGATCTGAAGTGGGATGGGGCACTCAGATTCCGATCCAGACCAGATTTATGGAAAAAATTAGAAATCCACAATCATTAACTCCATCCACATGTCCAAATGCAATCGCAGCCAGCTAACGATGTATATGCGGCATGCCTCAAAAAAACCACACACAAATAACACAAAACAAGAAAGGCAGGCGAACAAATGCACAAATACAACAACAACCTCCGGGAGGGAGGCGGGAAAAACAACGTCTCAGGTTCCAAACGCCCCAGCGATGCGGATGCCGGTAATCACCAACCATGGCCGAGGTATAGCGCGCCGGAAAATGCCCAGCAAAATTTCAAACCGCGACTCCCCCTTTTTACATTGAGCTTCGCTTCGTCGGTCCCATACTCGGCCCCTCGCTGTCAGACTCGTCGCCTGATGAGTGTGCCGGCTCCTTGCCCTTGCCCTTTGGCTTGTCCAAGGGGCCCAAGTTGCTCTTGCGGCTGGCCGGGCGTTTACCCGTCGTTCTTCTCACCATCTTTGGTCTATCACCTCCTCCGTCTTTCTGTCTAGCGATTTCGGAACTTGTCAGGCCTGCAACCTTTTGCAGCTCCTCGCCTGACGAATTGCGGCGTGTGGTAGGCGCCGTCGAGTTGGACGTTGTCTTCAGCCCGCGCAACTCCCTCGCAACATCTGCAAAGCTTTCTTCCAGAGTCTTCATACGTGCCAGGACGAGCTTGCTCATCCGGTTGCTGTCACCAGCATCCTGGCCTCGTCCCGCACCGCCTAGTCGTGCATCCTTCATCATAGCCATGGCCATCTGTGTTTGGAAGCTTGAAGGCATGCCTCCCGTTGGGTCGTCAGGTACGATATTCTCGGACAAGATGCTCATGTCAACCGAAGACAACCGCCTGAGAGGGTTCGGGCGTAAGCGTTGATCGATGCCCGTGAGAGCTGCTCGATTCGGCGCCGTCTGCACTGCATCCCGTGGTGGCATGATAGGTCTGGGCCGCGTGTTGGTGACATATGTTTGTTGCCGGCGGGGGGAACGATGACCGCTAGCTGTGGCCGGTTCAACTACCGCAGGACGACCGTTCTGCACACGCGCACGCGTAGGCGGCGGATCGGGCGAAGAATGAGAGGATGAGCTAGGCGGCCGACGCAGCTCCTGCGGCGCGTATAGAATAGTGTTCGTTGACATCGTCCGGCTGTGCGGCATGCGACGCGCAGAGCGAGGAGTGACAGAGACGGAGGGCCTGCCACTTGACCCCAACGATGAAGATGCCGGGGGTGGCACGAACCCTTTCGTTCTGGGCGTGGAGTTGAAGTAATCGTCAATCGAGGTTTGATGAATGACTGGACCGCGACGGCTGTCGCCAGCATTTGTTGCGATATCTTCCTCTTCCTCTTCATCGTTGGTGACGAGTTCGTCGTCGCCGTCTGCATCTGTTTGCTGATTCTCCTCCTCCTTAGCTTTGGCCGCTGCGACAACGTTCCGGAAGAAGGAGCCGATGGCAGGCTGCGAGATGAAATCTGCTGGGTCGCTAGCCGCAGATCTGACATCTGATATCTGACGAGATCTCTGTGTCCGCAGCTCCCTCGAGAGGCTGAGTCTTCTATGCCAATCCGGACGAGCGCTGGCGCTCCCATTCTCCAGGGTCGGCCACTGGGAAAGCTGGAGATGAGGGGAGGGTTCTTCCTCGTCATTGCGATCCATCCAGTTTCGGACCGCATGTTGTGCCTTCTTCCTCTCGTTCCGCCGTTGATTTCGCAGAGTCGCGAGGCCAGGACCTCTTCGGAAGACCTCCTCCAAAGCATGATCCTTCTGGTAACCGGTAATGGATTCTTCGCGAACGCGCACGTTGGGGCTGAAAAGAGCAGATCGGCTTGCTGGGTCTGCAAAGGAAATCGTCCGATCCCTGCCGTGGTGGTGATGATTTTCGACAAGGTCCGTGGGCTCGTACATTGATGGGGCGAGCCAGTACTTTTCGTACAGGAAGATGAAGAACAGAAGAGGAAAGTGCGTGGCTTTGATGATTGTTCTGTTCAGCTTTACGAAATGCTTCAGTGGCATGCAGTAACGCATGGGCATCAACAGCCACGCGAAGATATTTCCTGGCGCAACGTAGGAGAAGAGCGCATCGTTCTTGACCATGGAGATTGTGTTGATTGCAAAAAGGAATCTGAATTTTGTTAGGAGTTGTTTCTGAGCGAGATGTGGTTGGCTACTCACTGATGCTCCTCTTTGGCATTCGAGGCAATCTTCATGAACGAGTTGGTCAAGACCGTAATGAGAATCGTGCTAATTTTGTTAGTTCAAGACCTTAGCGAGGAACAGGCTTGGCTTACACAATGACGAAGTGACACATAATCAAGAAGAAGCCCATGAGGCCCCTCTCGAGCCAGTTATACCCTGGCCACAGTTCCCAAGCAGCCGGGGTAAAGCCCATGAGAAGCTGGAAGATCCGGAATGCGATGTCAGCAGCGTTGTTATTACCGTCAGCCAGAGTAAAGAAGACGAAGAAGCCGCTGCACGATATGAGAATCAAGACAGTGACGGCCACAAGGTCAACAGCCATCAAGCGAAACGCAATGAGCAGCTGGGAGAAGTACTGGTAATGGTCCAGGACGCTGAAGATACGGGGGAGCAACAAGATGGCATTCGCCGCGAGAACATCGTAGGCAGAGTCATTCCAGTGCTTTGCGTCCACGAGAAAGACCCCATAGACACGCATGAAGTAGTAGACGATCAACAAGAGAAGGATTCCCAAATCGAAAGCGTTCCAGAAGCTCATGATGTAAAGCGAGAACCCCTGTTCGTTGAACCCGACAAGCTCATCCAGCATGAAACCGGCACTCCAAAACCAGAATATCAGCTCCAGCGAGCTGATCCGCGCAGAACGCTGGGCCAAGACAGCAAGGAACAGGCCAATAAGAACAAGAAGTGACAGCGTCGAGAGGAAGAACCTGTAGCGCGGCACACGAAGTCGTGAGAGCTTGAAGAGGGACGCCTGGCGAGGATCATAGAGAACCACACTCCTTCTTCCAGGTGCCGACGGCTGCTGGCCCTCCTTTTGACTATTGCCGCCAAGTAGCGGCGTTCTGGAATCGGGTTTTCCCTGACTACCAGGCGAAGGAGGAGGTTCTCGGTGCAAGCTGTCTGCAGACGAATAAAAGCTGATGGCTCCGTTCCAGATAGCCTCCAGCTGCTGCACGACTAGAGGGTGTGCGAGGAAATGCTTGGCAGAAGCACGAATAGCAACCTCGAGTGTCGAAGTCCGGGCCGCAGTAAGGCGAGCCTTGTTTCTTGGGTCCGATTTCGGTGCATTTGCTGGCTGGGCGCCGGGAAGGCCCTGAAGGGGGTAAAAGTCGTAGGATAGAGCGTCGATAAGCTCGCGGGTGTTATACTCTTTCAAGAGCTTCAGGGCCAACAATTCGCACACCAGAGCCCTGGTTGAGCTGTTTCCAGCATTGCCTGGGTACATCTGGGCCTCCTTGTTGAACTGCAGGCAGTTGGCCATCAGGCAGTATAGGGAGGCTCGGTTGAACTGCTGAGTCCTGATCTGCTGTTGCATTGGCTTGACCAGGAACTGGGAGACTTGGGGGGAGCGTATTTGGTCCCATGATAACGTCGTTTCGGTACGGGTCTGAACGATGATGCGAATCGCGTGGGTAATGCTATAGATGGGTAAGGAATCTGCAGGTTTGCGGTCAGCTTGAGGTTGCAAGTCTATAGGGGTAGCCACCGTGGGCTTCTGGTTGTCTTGTACCGAGAAATGTCTCTGAGAAGAGAGGAAGGACAGGCAAGGAACGCTGAATGTGATCTTCGTCGTCGACGTTGTCGTGGTCGTCCCCTGAATGGCCTAGGCCGTCGTCCTCTTCCTCATCCTCCTCCTCGTCCTCTTCGTCGTCATCTTCGGCCTCGGTGAAGTCTCCGGTTGCGCGTCGTGGTGGTTCGCCAACGTAGTGACGATAGGCTGGGCCAGGGGAAGGGGATTGCCTATCGTGGAATCGGTCGACGCGACGGCTGCGATTGCTCTGCTTGGGTCGAAGCAGAGAGGAAAACATTATCTGGGAATGAGATGCAGCCCGCCGCCTTATGCTATCGTGTCCTCGTCCTACGGCGCCATAGAGGAAGGGTAGGAGACGATTTGAAAGTGCGCGAGAAGAAGGGGTGGGGGGGTTGGTTTTCGCGTAAGCGCAGGAGTTCGTTTCGAGTCGGTTTGCGGGAATCCTGGGGGGGATGCGTGGAAGAGAAAGCGAGGTCGTTGGAAGCAACACCAGGCCAAGGCAAGGCGAGGAGGGTAGGAAATAGAAAGTGAGGTCAGGTCAGGATAAGTTGGCCGAGCACAATGGTAAATAAGAAAGTGCTGGACAGGTCGGGAGGCCGGTGTAGGGTTCCCCGTGGTCGAGACGAAGAAATCGATGCACTGTTTTGTGGGGAAGCTGGCCAAGAGCCTTTCTTCTGGACCAGGAAGAGGGATGTACAGTACAGTAAGACCAAGTGACAAGGAGCAAAGGTATTGATCCTTGGAAAGAAAAGAGTAAAAGGGACGTGGGCGAGTGGTAGGAAGAGACGACGACAAGCAACAGGCGCGTGGAGCGCGGATCGAGATTCTTACGAGGACGATGCGATTTTTAGCGTAGTCGGACAGGTAGAGTGCTAAAAGGCGAGTGATACTGCATGAGGCAGTCGACGCCGGTAGGGGACGGGAAGGCAAGGAACAGGCGAGTAACAGGATGTGTAAGGTATCCGTACGGAGTAAGGTATGGATGGGATGATGTTCACCTCCTGGTCTATGTATATATTTCCAAGTATGCATGTGTATATATCTATGTAAGTACGTATGCACCCCAGCTGCAAATGCACGCCAGAAGCGAAGCAAAGCAAGATGGTCTGCATCGATGACCTCTTGCAATGAGGAAATCATAGCCGGTGACGATAGCAGCGGAGGGGATAGACTGCGATAAGGAGTCTGGGGTGTAGCCATTCAAGACCGTTTACCACCCACCATCCGATGTTTCTTTCAAGTTTCCACACAACCAACTTAGCAACAACCGAACGTGAAAGTACTTTCCATCCATGGATGAGTGCGCAGGTGAGGATCGGGAAAGGAAACGCGGCGCGCCACTGGGGGCCAAGTGGAGTTGTAGCGTCGCGAAATGTCGTGGTTTTCGCAGGGCAGGTGCACTCCGTGGCAGGCTCGCTCTTTCCATGGAACTTAAGGAGCAAATGGAAGTGACCAAAAATGACCACGGGCAGTTGGCAGTGATGGGGCAGGCCGCAGGCATGATGGGCATCCAAGATCCAGAGCTTCTCGCCTGGCACGCCTGGGCCGCTTGAGAGTCAGGAATGGGCTAGCGCAAGATCCCTGGGGGTGGGAAGTTGGCCTCTAAAAAGTGGGGGGTTCCAACGCTGCCAATGCGCCACAAATGGAATGCAAAGTGCGTCAGGCAAGATGCGCCCACCTCTGCCTGCCTCTTTCTCATACTATGTAGTTCTTGCCTGCTGCTTGCCTCAACTTACAAGAGCGTCCCGGTCAATGGGAAGGAGGGAGCACTGGAGTGGACAACTGGAGGAAGGACCCAACCTACTAAGCTTGCTGCGGCTGCAAGTGCTCACTCACCCTAGCAGACTAGCAGATACATCCTGGAAGTTCATGATGCCCACGTCCACATTCACGCATCGCCGCAGCACCGCAACTGGGTACGCACCGGGGCCAGTCCGCTCTGCGAAATGACACAATCAAAAAAAAGGCCCGGGGGAGCTCCATGTCTGTGTCGACATTCGTTTGCTACCCTGGAAGCCGATCCATCGTCCAGCCTAGACGTTTTAACGCCAAACTACCTCCCTAGCACGAGTACGTAAACCGCCCGAGTCTTTTGCAAGTCTTCGTCGCATCAACTACAAAGTACTAATTGGCATTGGTGCAGGAGGGCGTGTTTTGCTACGAAAACAACAAAGAGAAAGGGGTGAAAGGGATACCGAGTCTCCGAATCAATATCCTTACTCTCAGTATCCATACCTACCGTACGCTGCAATACACAGCAGATGCATGCTAATAACATGTCAATTAAGCCATATTTCTGCAAATGCACGCACATACACGAGAAAAGTCAGGACCGACAGGCGACGACAACATCAGACGAAAAACGGGCGAGACATGCAACCACATGACTTTGTTAGGATGAAAAAGAAGGAGACCCCGACCTACAAGCGCCAAACACTCCGACGACCCGACGCACTCAAACTCCCGTCCCCATCCCGGTCTGTCAGACGAGAGACATTCGACCGCCAGACACACAGGTACACCTAGGTAGGTGCCTGCGTCTGCGTCTGCCTCTGCATCCACATCCACGTCTGTGTCTGCGGCTTCCTCCCCGACGTCGTCCGGATCAACATCCGTAGTCTCCTTTTTCTCGCAGTATCTAGCTATATGTACAAGAAAAGGCAAGCCATGTATCCGTACACTCGGCAGCCAAATGCGAGGACGAGAAGAAAAGCGAAGAAGAAGACGTATGGGGTAGATCCAAAAGCTGCCGAAACTGCCATCCAATCCGAGAACCAAATTCAAGTTCGACCTGGCAGATGGGCTGCATCCGCGGCCGCGCATCGTCACTTGACATGCGTGACACACGATGCTCGAATACTGACTGGTCTGGGCGGCTGGGCCCTTGTCATGGGTCGATTCTCGCTTCTCCTACATTGCTTTCCAAAGTTGAATCACAACGCCTCACTCGGCATCTTCAGTTCAAGACAGTCACAAAACCGACTCGACATGTCTCTCCACCGCTAGCCTGAAAACTAGCCAGTTCGCAGGAGAAACAGGGCGAGTCGGTCAGCAAGCAGTGGTGAAGCATCTGCACACCTCACCTCAAGAGCCCCAGAGTCGCAACAGTGAAGCTTGAGTTGCATCCTCTTGCTCCAAGAGTTCAAGCCCCCCACAGGATCAGCAGCACACCTCGAGCCATTCCCTCGCTTGATTGGCCTACGAGGGCCGTCACCGCCATTGGCATCCCACACACACGGATGCACAGATGGCACCTGTTCTGGGCCAGGGTGCGACGCTGCATTTCGGGGACACCGCCGGGATTTTGCTCTAGCCGGGGCCCTGCTCCCACACCATCATCGTTTCTGCTCGATGCTACTCATCCAGTTCTTTTTTTTCTTGTGTTCTCAATCCCGCCTTCAAAGAACGGGAAGGGAATGCTTCCCGTCTGCGCTGTTTTGGTTCCCGAGAGCGATCAGAGGCACAGCTATTCAAGACAGGTACACACACAAGTGACATAGTACGCGTGACTGAACTCGACGATGCCTTCACACAGTTAGCACTTACACATGGGTGTCGAACCTCTTCTGGGGATAATGGGTCGGTTGGTGAGCTTCTCATCAACTCGTCCAAGCAATGCACGGAATCTCAGCAGACGCCCGTCATGCCGGGTTACATTGAGACCAACACGGCCATCGGCTATTTATGTCGATTCAGATCTCGAACAGATAATACAGGGTAGAAGCCGCCATACCCAAGCCAGCATCGCGAACTCTATGCGTTCCACCAACTGGCCACACCGCAGCGCAAACCTGCAGGCCTGGCAACAGGAAATTTCGCAAATTCCCTCGCATTGCACAAGCCTCACGAGTCAAGCCTCCTCGCGCACCTTGCCGGCCTGCTTTCTTGCTCCCATTTTTGGTTTCTTTCCACCTCTCAAGTCCCAACTGGCTTAGCCAAGCATTCATGCTCCAGGCTCTTCCGAGACTAGTGAGCTGTCCTGCTTGCAGGGGAGCGGCCCTGTCAGAGACGATGGGCTGGGTGAGATCCGTGGGGTTCCTTAGAAGCGTCCAAGACGGGTGATTCTCACCTAAGCTGCTTCCCACTCACGTCCCGTGGAATGTCAGCTTCAGTCACTTGACCTGCTACTCACGCTACCTTAGTATACTGAGTTGTTGGCTATTTCAACTACTGGGGGAAGACATTTCGTTCCAGTCGAGCAGTATAAAACACAAGTATGGCACGTGCAAGTCCGTACTATCACCCGCAGTTTCCGTAGCTAAGATCAGGGTGCCTGGAACTCCAAAGATGCTCCAAACTTGGTGTCTGACGAGGGGCTGGACTCAAATTGGCGCCGTGAAGAGCGCAGAACATGGGTTCAAACCCCACCGTCTATCCGTATGTGTCTTTCCGCCAGCTGCGATGGCTTCTTCACTTATTGAGGCGAGATACTTTGTACATTTGCAGACTACTCTACGAGCGGCCATTGCAAACCTCTAATGTACTCATGGCGAGTCGTTAAACACGGAATGAAGGTGAGGTGATCCAAAGAAATATTATTTTCTAATCAAAGTACTATCAGAGAGTGCGCGGTCTCGATGAATCCGAAGCATTTTCCAGCCTGGGGGACTGTCGTTGCCCCAGCTGCCCATGCCTACCCCAACTCTAGTGGAATGCCCCGCCAAAAACTCAGCACCGGCATCGGCGATGGCCAGGTGAAAGCAAGTAGTGGTGTGCTCACCTAGGCCGGTGTGCGCAGGTGAAAATCGGATTTCCCACAACCATGTTCAAATAACAGGTGGTTTGGTAGGCTTACAAGCCAGCAAACACCAATGCTTCAGACGAGCCAAGTAACCAAAAATTCGTAAACTCGTGGCCCCTCGAAGTAAATCACAACATCGATCGCATCGATTTGCAAGGTTATTTGGGGGATGTACTATTGCAAGTAGCCCGGTCCATTCCAATTGTGACTCGGCCAATTTTGGAAGTGATTCACAAGCGGACGGTCCACTCGTGGCCAGCCACCGTTTAAGTATAGTTTTCTCCCGCCTCTCACGGCTCTCTCCATCAGTGACCACTCAAGCTAGGTGAATTTGAGTGAGGAAAGAAATTTCTGCAGGGACAAGACTGTGACAAAATTCTGCAACCTCAGCCATCAGGGCGGGCTGTTGGTGGCATTGGCGAATTTTGGTGCTGGTGACGCGGGGCTAATTCCCCCGCCCTCTGGCTAGAAGCGGCAATGACCCAAACCTACCGCTATTTTCTGTCAGTTTCTGCCCACTTGGTAGATGGCGCTAG